TATAGATAAAGGAGTAACGACTTTAGAATCTTCTTAAGAATTAGATTAGAGATTACGTCTTCTCTTAAGACTCTCTTTAACGATACTTACGTTATAGTCTTTCTTATCTTATTTACAATAATTATATTTATTAGATAAACTTATAGATATATTATATTAATGCTAATATTATCTAACTTCGTCTATATCGATAATAAGAAGAATATTCTTATAAAAAGATTTACCTTCGAGTCTAGTTCGTTATATTCTTATTTATCTTTATTAAATAGCGGAGAGAGATATATCTATATTATAAGTTATTTTCTAATCTACTTAATCTTTTTTCATATTATTTATAACGACTTATACGCCTCTATTATAAACTCTCTAAACACCTTTCTAATAATTCTCTTAATTAAATTATTTTTAAAGTTCTTAGCGACTTTATACTTATTCTATACTTTCTTTAAGAGTATTATTCTTTAATTTCTTTTTAGTAATTTATAACGTCTTTATACTTTTTTATATTTTAATATAAATTCTAATCTAGATTATAGCGATAATTTAATAATCGAAATAAACTTCTCTATAGTTACTTAAATAGAGTTAATAATAATTACTATTTAATAATCGATACTATCGTTAATAAGATTTTTATTATTTCTCGAGGAATTAACTAGATACTCTTTCGATACTATAACTCTAGCGAGTATTTCTCTTAAGATCTCGATATCTAATTTATTAAAGTTTTAACATATTATTAATACTAACTCTATTACGACTAGCTTAAACTTTATAAAAATTAAAAAATAGTTAGATTTACTTTTAAAATTATTTTCGATATTATAATTAATAATATTTATTATTAATACTAGAGTAGTAAATAGTAGATCTATTATTATTTAATAGTTTTCTTTATATATTATCGTTTCTATTAATAATACTTATTCTATAGCGAATTCTTTCGCTATAAATATTAATTCTTCTACTCTCTTATTAATACGAGTATTTAATTTTCTTTATATTATATAATAAAGATTAAAGTCGCCTAGTATAATCTATTCGTTATTCTTAAACTCTATAAGCGTCTTATATAGTTCGTTAAATTTATCTATTTATTAATTATCGAGATTATAAATATTATATATATATATAATTCTATTATTTTCGAACTTAATATTAAGAGTATAGAGGTTCGATAAGTAATATAATAAGTATTATTACTTTAGTGATATTCTCTTATTAATATAGAAGTATATTCGTATATTATTATAGTAGAGATAGATTAAGTTAAATCTATTCTTTAGAAGATAATATAACGTATTTATATTAATATTTCTCTAGAGCTTCTAAATTACTACTATATTAATATTATAGATCTTTTTATTATTAAAAAGTTCTATTATAACTATTCTAGATTTTCTTATATTATATTATAGTATTAATAGCTAATTAAAGTATATTATTATTTCTTAATATTATTATTAATATTATTTACTCGCTTCGTTTAATTTATAGAGTCTATATCTTCTTTCTAAGTATTCTTCTTTTCTTAATTATCGATAAATCGAATATATCTCTTTTTATTTCTATTAATAGAGATCGTAATTCTCTTATTATTACTCTTTTAACTTAGAGGCTATCTATTATTCTCGAGATTATTAATTTTTCTCATCGCTATATCGTTCTTATATTATTTAACTTCGTCTATTACTTTAAAGAGCGATCTATTTCTAGATAAGACTCTTATTAATAATATAGAAGTATATCTTCTTTTACTCGACTAGAGATTTAATATAATAATTCTTTCGAGATTTAATACTCTAATTCCTTCTCTACTAATTATTCTATCTTTATCTATTAATCTATTACGCGTAAATATTAATCTTAAAAAAAATTTCTTATTTCGTCTATAATTAAATATATTTTAAAAGTAATTATTTAATTAATCGCTTATTTAATAGCTAATCGATACTTCCTTCGTTATTATAAATCGTAAAGAAATCTATTATCTCGCTATTCTTATTCTCGCTATCTCTCTCTTCTTTATTATATATATTTTATTTTAAGCCTTATATAGTCCCTCGTAAACCGAATATTTATAAGTATTAATCGTATATTCTTTATAATAATACTTCTCTAAGCATTTCTCGTATACTAAGTAATTCTTTTTAGAGTATATAATCGATAGATAATCGTATTTCTAATATACGAAGTATTACTTCGATTTATACTACTTATTATAAATATAATAGCTATATAGTTTCAAATCGATAACTAGACCTTCTTTTAATACTTTATTTTCTTTTCTAAAGATACTAATTTAATAATTAATAAACTCTTATTATAACTCTCTTTATTCGCGCCGAATTAGTCTAGCTATACTATATCGAGGCTTAGCGTATTAATATTCTCGTTCTAAACTCTTTTAATTATCGTAGTTATATCTTTAATATCGAATATATTAATTCTCACTTTATAAAGTAGAAGATTATATATTTTAGTAATTACTCTCACGCTATTACTTATCTTTAGAGTTTAATTCTTACTTTTTCTTAGTTTATTTATCTTCTTCTTATTTATAGCTATAATATATATATCGCTACTCGCTAGCCTTCTAGTCGTTTTAATAGATTTTCTTATAATATCTATATTCTTTATATATTTATTAATTATCGTAGTTATCTCGCTCGATATCTTTCTCTTTAATACTTTATTTATTATCTCGTCTTATAGCTTTATAATAATCTCATTTAGCTTATTATATAATACTTAATCTTATTTCAATATTACTAATAATATAATAGAGATTTCTTCGATAATAAAAGAGAATATCGAGAATCGACTTAGTACGCTAGCGTAGCTAGTCGTTAATATATTACTTTCTAAACTAGTTATCTAATACTTAATATATATAATCTTTTTCTTTATATTATTATCTCGATTACTTAAGTTAATAGCTAGTTTATATACTTCGTCTAAAACTATCTAAATTTTAAATTTATTATTCGCCCTTTCTATAAATATTATCGCCGCTCTAAAAATAGTAACTACTTTATTTATTAATAATTTCTAGTCTTCGTCTATTATTTTTAATATAGTATTCATTAATAACTTTAATATAAATACGTGCTTCTTAAAATTGTAGTTATTATAATCTTATTAAGATTAACTAATCTTATTCGATATGATTATAGAGGTATAGACGTTCTCTAAAGCTAATTAAAGAGGTACTAATCTTACTAAGTACTTTAAATACGTATATCTACTTTCTATAGCTTAATAATATAGCATAAGCGTTATATGAAAGTTTTTGGCAGATGGCACAGGTGCTACTCGAAGTCTTATGCTAGCCCTATATAGTATAGCGTGCTTTGCTTGGTGGGGCTATATCATCAATCCCACAGAAACCTTGTCATAATCTAATTGGTGACCATGCCAATGGGCTACGCCTGTTTGTTTGGGTATAGGAGAGCTAGAACTTTCGATTCACGGGCAGTAAAAATCCCCATTTTTGGAGTAATGAGTCTCCACTCTTGTCCGGCGCCGCGTCTTCTTTTCCTGGGGCAGTAGATGTGGGGGCAAGCGGTCATACGCTGCAAGCCTAAACATGAGTATAAGTTACTGTTTAATGACGAACTACTAGTGATCACCTTTTGGTCTAGTCTTAACGATGAGCAAAACCCCGTGATTGGACAGGATATGATTCCGTGGGTATTTTAATTCGTGCACGCTAGTAAGATCAGTCTTAGCTTGGTAATGAAACCACTACTACTCAATGGCCACCCTCCTCAGCCACCCCCTCGAGCTCGATATCTCGAGCCACACTCAGCCTCCGTCTGGACCGACCGTCACTCACCGAGCGCCAAAACTTCAACGACGACCCAATCACAAGCTTATGGGAAACCTCGTTTCCATCAACCCTGCCGCTTGCGAACAAGCAGACGTATGCAGAAGCCAAACACATCTGCTATGGCAAGAACACATGGGTCATGGTAGCATCGGTGCAGCGAACCTACAACACCCTTCCTCCAACGGCCGCTGTTACCTACGTACGGACCGCCCTTTCTAGAATCTCCCTGGTCGCTGGTCACTTGTTTCGAGGAACCAGGATTCGGGATAGATTAGCATAGACAGGAACTGCCGCCTGCTATGTAGACTAAACGCCCTGCGCGCGTTACGGATCGAATGTGCTGAAACAAATCGTTGCCGATTGACCCTGTCCATGATACTCCAAACCACCCTCTCCACAATGACTCAGCCATAGCTAGCTATCTCAAGCGGTGCCCTGAGATGGGAGAGTCGAAACAGGAATGTCTCCTGGACTACTTGCACAGCGAGCAGACTCTCACGTCTAAGGTATTTATTGTAGCCTTTGCCTGCGTTGCCCGACACAAGCAGTCTGCAGAAGGGAGACGTATGTGTCGAGGATGGGGACGTGACGAGAGCAAAGATATTGGCATGGGCGTTCCCGAACTGCCGAGACGCTGTCATAGCGTCAAGGCTGTCTTCATGACGAGAACGATGTCTCAACTCTCCATAGATAGGTTCCCCATCCTACGTCTTCTTCTTCGTCTTCATGCCATTCCTCCACCCCATCCCCACCGCCGCCACCAGACTCAAAACAAGTCAACGCAACCGGTAAATGTAACACATGTATCAACACCCTATCATACCCCACCTCAGCCCCCAACGGCTTCCCCTAGCACTCGATCACCGATAGCGACGAGCTGTTGCCGAAAACGAAGCACATTCCCGCCAGGAGATACCCCTCTGCCCAGTGCGTCATCCCCGGACCCGGCACACGAAGAACCCCGGCAGGAGCCCAGGTTCGCAGCATAGTGGTATTGGGAGGGGTAAGAAAAGGATTGAGCAAGAGAAGTGTGTCTGCGAGTTCATTGCGGTTGGGTATGTCCACGAACATGAAGATATAATGAAGAATGTATTAATATCATGCACTTCAACCCCCACAACATCAAGTCTCAGGATCCGAGAAAGCGTAGATGATCGAGTCAGGCAACCTAACCGTCCCTTTCATAAACAAAAGGCTTCGATCCAGCAATTCCCTGCCTATTCAAATCCTGCACAATGAGCCATCCTTCCCACCAAAGACCGCTCCTACATCTCTTCTCCGTCTCCGCATTGTACATCTCCACTAGCTTCATTTCTTCCTGGAAAGCCTCGAACTTCCGAAACTCGTCGGCTTCTGATGGCTCCTCCGCTGACGATCCTGCATCTCCTTGCGCTAGGACTGACCTCTTCATTTCCTCGATGCGGTCTACCGCGGCAGCGATTGCGGGTTGCTGTCTGGGTAGCTTGCAGAAGCGGCAGTGCTTGCTTGGGGGGCCACGGAGGTAGGTGCGGCAATTGTGGTTTGTGCAAGTGCATCGGATATGGATCGAGCGTCTAGCATCGGCACTGGAGGCTTGGGGTCTTGACTGTCTAGCCTCTTTAAATTGCCTATCGCCCTGAGCATGCTTCTTAATGTATTTGGCGATGTATAAGAATGAATCTTCCTCGTCGGGGTTGGGTGCGCTTGGAGAATCCTCTGCGGGAAACGATGGCTCTGACGAGTTCAGTGCGATTGAGGGATCCTTTATGGGTGACGTTGGCTCCGAAACGATTGCTTTCGATGACCACGTGGCGGGTGAAGAGGGTTCTGAAGAGTCTCTGAGCGTGGAGGAGCCGATAGATGAGACCTTCGTGTGGCGCAAAGAACGTCTGGATCCGGAGCTGAGCGAGCTTGGCGACGCCGACTGGAGTGTTAAGCTCGAACTTGAGAAGGCGCATGGGCTGGGTGTAGGATGGATGTCGCATTGGGAGAACTCATCAGGCACTGTCAGACCTTGTGTGTATTGGAGCTTCAGATGCCAGCAGAGTGTGGGCGTGTGCCCCTGACTCACCGACTTTGGTCGGGGAGTGAAGCCAAAGTCAAAAACATCAACATGCGATGTGGAGTCGTGGTGATCGGGTTGTCCGGTGGTATTCCCGCAAAATTTAACCTCTTTTGGCTCATCATCTTCGATTTTGAGCCCTTCAATGTCGTCAAAGAGGTTCAAATTCTTGAGTCTAAAGACTTCAACCTCGTCTCCTTTGCGCTCTGCTTCTTTCAGCTTTTGCTTTCTTAGCGTCAGAAGCTCCTGGACTTTGCGGTAGCTAACCTTGCGATCAAATCGCTGTACAGGTGCTGAACGGTAGACGTCTTCGTACTCTTGGGTGGACCCAAAGCTCGTACTTCGGCCACGGACTTGCGATTTTGCCGGAACAGGGCCTGCGTCGCTACTGGCTCGTCCTCTAAGCCTGATGGAGCTCGGAGTACTACCAGATCGCTGACTAGAGCCACGACGGAGTCGCGGAAAAGTCGCCTGCTGGTCGACGGCGGTAGCATTCGAAGGTACTTCGCCAAGATGTATGCGCGGCCAGGGAGAAAGCTCGTTGGAAAAGTATGGTATGCGGGACATCGTGACAGGAGGTTGTTGAGAAAAGTCTTTAGTGAAAGGAACGGAGCTGGCGTGGTTGCGTGTGTGAAGTCGACTATAGAGAAAGGGTTGGAAGTGAAGCAAAAGGTTAAGATGGTTGTGGAGAAGTGAAGCTGCCCAGTTTTAGACTCTGCGACATCCATGTTGCACAGATAATAAAGACAAACAATGCCATTGAAAATGGCATGAAGCATACTGCCGCAGCCCATTGTGTTTCTTTGTGTGGCTTTGTTCTCTTTGTTTTCCGCGGTTGGGAGGTTCACTGTGCCATTCGGATTTAATCTTGCAGATGGCAATGAGCAGTCTAACAATCATTCATGTGATCCACCATGGAATTTGGCGACAGTGTTCACAGTCCTCGGAAGACTTTCGTAGAACGGTGAAGGGCAATCACTTCGTCAACGCATTCCGAAAATCCGAGCTCCATATCTGTTGCCTTCACCCCGTTCATGTAGGCCACCATGATGTTGCTCTTTTGAAGGTCGGTCGTCGTTGGGAGAGCGAGCAAAGGCCGCAAAACTTCAAAGATGAGGCTTCGCACGCTGTCTAGTTCCGACGGTCTCCGCTCAGGAAAGAATGTGCAAGTCTCCGTCCAAATTATCTTTATCGTTCTGAGGGCGGGAGCTGTGAGCAGTACCCGGCAAATTTCTTCGACGTTCGTCTTTGTGATGTCCCCATAAGCGCATGGGGTGAGTCCGTAGGATTCCCGAAAGAGCCAATCAAACATGCCAAATCTAATATGTGCTCTTCTTATGAACGGTAGGGTCAGCACCATAGGTTCCATTCGGAAAAGAATCGAGCTGAATTGGTTTCGCTGGGAGGCAAAGAAGGTCCAATAGTTTTCGCCGTAAAAGACCTCCTTGGCCTCATAGAATATCTGACGATTCGTTTCCAGAATCCTGGACTGAAAGCCAAAGCTACAGTAGCCGAGTGCATTGGAATCATCCTGAAAGGGGGACTTGATTAAAGGCGACTTGAAAGAGCGTAGCTCTCGGTAGATGTGGAAACGTATTTCTAGTGGTAGTGAGAGAAAAGAAGACATACTTGTGGTGCTAGTCTAGCAAATCGAATGAGATAGATGTGCAGTATGAAGAAGATATGTAGAATAAAGCCAGCCTGCGAGAATGCGAGGGTAGTAGGTAGTTCGAAGGGAGAAGGAGAGAGAAGGAATGAGAAGGAAAGGGAAGGAAGTGATACAGCCTGACTAGGAAGGAGGAGAGGAAAGCGGCTCGGCACAGCCTTGGTGGCCAAATTCCGCCCACTCACTCACTCACTCACTCACTCACTCGTCCATTGGAGTAGTCTTTCCATCTTTCTTTCATGTCCGTCCTCTCAATCAATCAGTGATCTTTTTCCTTTTTCGCAGATGCTTGCTGTTCCCCAAGACACTTTTTGGTCATGTAAGGGACATCATTGCTGGATCAAGAGACGCTCGGGACCAAATCCCTGTATTTTTCCAATCCCGCTTAGCGCCAGGTCCGACCAGCCGAATGGCCAGCTCACTCAATGCTCAAAGGAAACCTCTCATAAAAGTAAAGTCTTGAACCAGTCTAATCAATGCTGCAGTTGCTGCCATGCCTGCCACGCAATCCATCCCCTACCCATCCCCGACTCAGCCACGGGAAGCTCATGTCAGCCATCAGTCAACCGGATGACTAAAAGTAACCAGCCAACAGCCTTTGCCTTCAACGCGCCCTTGCTTCGACATGAAAACATTCTCTCCCACACCGATGAGATCGGTCCTTCAGGTGACTACCCGGCCGAGGCTCGGACCCCTGGGACATAGCAGTCAGCTCCCAAGTCGGCTGTCGAAGCGGTCAAGCCAACGCTATGCTCGGGCGGCACAGGTACCTGGTCTACGGTCTACCCTCCTTGAGATTCATCATTGCTGACAATTTCCCTCACACCAGATGTTCCCGCCCCAGCCAAAAAAGGTCCTGAATCTAGTACTCCGACGACCGGCATGGTCTTCCCACAGAAGCTACAACAACAATAGCTACGGCTACTACACTCCCGAATCATTCTGGGTGCGCAACAAGCCAAACATAGTCGTCGGAAGTATCATTGGCTTCTGCTGCGTTACATATTATTACAAATGGACCGCCGAAAACCTGGCAGCCAAGGGCAACCACGCCCGTGCAGACCTGATCCGACGGAACTTCGTCAACTCAGGGGAGAACCTCAGAGAAGGACGTTGGTGGGTAATGATCAGTAGCTCGTTCGCCCATGGCAACCTGATACATCTAGGCTTCAGCGTGCTACCCATATGGGGTTTTGGACGTCCTCTTGTCGGACTACTCGGTGTGCCCTGCTTTATGGGATTGTGCGTGATTTCCGCAGTCTCCTCTTCGAGAGCCTACATCTATTGGGAGGACACGAAGGAAACACTGCGTAAAGAGATGTTCAACCGACGCTGGGACAAGCTCAAGGACCCCAGAGTCCTGGGTATACAAATCAGCAAGGAAAGGGCCCTGGCAATATCCGGCAGTGGCGGTGCTAACTACGGAGGGAGTCAAGGTGCCTCAGGGATCGCTTGCGGTCTGACCGGTGCATGCGTGTGCATCATGCCGTGGGCGTGGACTTCAATCTTCTTCATCCTTCCTATGCCTCTCTGGGCTGGCGAAACGCTCCTCACGATAGCAACTGTGGTGGGCATGGCAACAGGCTACGCCCCCATAGTCGGGCACGCCGGGCATTTGGGCGGAACCGCAGTCGGCATTGCATACTACTATGGAATTGCGCGGCCCTGGCTTCGGAGGACTGGGAGATTCTAAGCCGTTCAAGGACACCATGTCAGGATGGATCATCGATGGGGAGGCCGTGTGCCGCCAACGATGTCTGTTCAAAGACGAGCGATATTTACCACGGCCCTAATGAATTTCAAGTTCATAATCAATAAGTACTAGCATAATCTACACATCCTCTGCCTTGGCCCCAGCCGACCCAGCCTCTTCAATCGGGTGCTCGATGAGAAGAAGGGCCTGGAGCCATGACGTGATGAATAATAACAAAAGCTGCTACGATGCTACGAAAAAGAAGAGCAGAGGAACGCGAAAGACTACATTCGGTTTCACGTAATCAGGACACGAGTCCAAAAATATCAGTTTTGTAAAATTAGATATCTCTATAACTAAGAAATGGCTTTCCACCAATGCCGATACCCAAGACAAAAACAATGAACTGCCTTATCCACGGACTTTCTATCCGTCCACTCATCAAACCTTCCCCAGACCCTACCTCGCCTACCTACCTACTCTCCGGGTATGCGTGCTACCCCAGGTACTTCCTATCCGAACGTGATTCCCTCTCCCCCTGACGCCACACCCCTCAACTACACTACGCTACGCTACGCGACGCATGCACCTCCTTACCGCACACACACCGTGGAAACATCCTAGCAACATGGCCGCCATCACGGTGAAAGGAAAAAGAAGCGGCCGGCCAAACAGAAGACTAGACCGATGAGACACCGAAGTAGGAGCCATTAGGATAGGAGCTTGAGTGTTTATTCGCTTGCATTTCCTTTCTCAAAATGTAAACGACGGTCCGAAGCCAGGGGTATATGATGGGTGGGACTCCCGGAGTCACGAACACCAGAGCCCTTTCGGTCATGCCATGCTCCAAGAATATTGGCAAGATAAAACCCCGTGATCCCGTTGGCCGTGAATCTCCATTTCCATACCCTTGCCCATCCGAAACGCTCATTCCAGGGGCTCCAACAGCCCTGCCGTATCCGTTGAGGGGTATCGCCAAATCAAAAACAAGGGGTGAAATACAGCCTGTATCCAACAACTCCAATGCGCTGCAAATATCGTAAAGGCCGTAACGCGATTCGTAATATCCAAATGAAACTTCGTCATCAAGGGCCTGTAGGGTCTTAGCTCACAACAACAGCAAGCATCCCTATGACAGCCGTGTACCTGAGCATCGCATTAGCATTCCCTCCCGACATTTTCCACGCCCCAGGCGCGACTCACGTAGCGATAGCCTTGCCCCAATCTAGCAAGCTACCTGGATTATTAATTACCTCCGGACTCAACGTGCATAAACTTGCTACTCCAACCATCGCACTGATGACCAATCTAGCCACAATCTGCGGTACCAATTTGAACACGATGATGGTCGACAGTAGTCCAAAGACCACGACGGTAACGGGCGTCTCCAGGGCAGTGCCGGATCGAAAATCTAGTCTAGGGGCTGAGGGAGATACGCAGAGGAGGTCTGAGTCTTGGTTGAGGAAGGCGCTTTCAGACTCGACGACGGGGGTGTGCTTGGTGATCCAGGAGCGGTAGGCGGTGATGTCGGCATGGGAAGCAGGTTCGAGAGACTTAGTCAGGCTGCTATAAGACGTGAGGGCGCGGTCTAGGTGAACTTCGTTAGTGACCTCTGGCGGAGTAAAAGATGGAAAGCGGTGACTTGCTGTATTGCTCCATCTTCGCGAAGCTTCTCCCTACCAGATCCAATCTGTGCCATTGCAATTGAGACGGCAGCTTCGCCTCGGCCCTCCGCGAAGCGGGCCTCCTCACATTGTTCTGTTCCTCGTGCGCAATAGCATCATCTAGATCTTTCAACTGCTCCTCCATCTCGGATATTTCATCTTGCAGATACAGCAGCATGCGATTGTTGAGCATTTCGAATTTGCGATAGATAGGCTTCAGCAACGTATCGTCCTTAGAGTGAATGTTTGACGCCAGGAACTCGTAGCCTGACATGCTGGCCTTGGGCCGAGGCCGCTCTTGATATGAAGTACCCCTACTCAGGTGATGAGGAAGCCTCGGTGACATCTCAGACAACTCAACGCCCGCGTCATGAGCAGTCTGGGCCAGCATAGGCGGTGATGGGGCGTAGTAGGCCTCGGGGCATTGGTTGTGGTCCGTCTCTAGCGAAGGCCAATGCTTGTGGCCGAAAGCTGAATTGCGATCAGTAGCAGGGTCGGGGTTGAGGTTAAAGCCGTATCGCTCCATGCGATAGGAGTCTTGCACATCCTGCTCGGTACCGGGTTCGTCGAAGACTGTCGGTAGCTTGTGCTGTAGTATTGGCGACCCCTGATCAGGACTGCTGGAGCGCACCGAAATTCCGGAATCCGAGTGTAGACTTCCACGTCCCCAGGCGCGCTGTACGCCGTCTTGAATCGCTCGCACTTCCAGGTCACTGTATCTGGGAGATCTCTGTGGTTGTGCCATTATCCTCGCAGGACTCGAGTTGGAGCTTTCGCCAGACGATAGCCCTTCCTCTTCCGATTGATTGTCTTCGTGTTCTTTCTCTCCCACAGCGATGCCCGAGAGCTCTTGCTCTTCCTCTTCCGAATGAACGTCTTGGTGTCCTTTCTCTCCCACAGCGTCGCGGATACCTTCATCCTCCTCATGTTCCATGAACGCAAAGACGTCAATGTTCTCTTTGTTCGAGTTGTTCGTACTTCGAGGCTGATTAGGATGGTGTTCTATCCGCTTGACAGGCTCCTTCTTCGCATCTGGCCACTTGGAGGGTCGTAGGCTCGACGGCAAGATAGATCTGGGGGTAATGGTAGCATTGCTACTTGCTGAAGAGACGGTAGATATGACCGAGGGAGGGGCTTTCTTGTGGGAGGATGAGGAGGAAGATGACTGTTTCGAGTGCCGGCGTCGAGTGCCCCCGAGGGAAGGCATCGTGGGTAAATTTCCAGTAGATTGGCCGTATCAATCAGTGCTGGGTGTCAAGTAGTATCAGTTGGCATTCTGGAGAGATGACTAGTCAAAGTATCGTTCTAAGTTCTAACTGTTCTGCTGTTCTCTGGATCCCGAAGATTGGGGGGTCGTATCGTTGACTGAATGGCGGAGTTGCTAACAGGAGGAACCCTCCGTCAGCACGGTCCAATAAGTAGACAAATATTAAGCATATACTCCCAAGAATAATAATCATTTTACCCACACTCACCTGAAACCAATGTCTGAGAACTCGAGAGGGCCATAGCCCAGGCGAGGCACGATGGAGCGAGTGTCAGAGCCACCTCCTGTTCACGAGGTTTGGCTCTGGAGCGGCAAACCTGCGAGCCATATCCTAGCAAATAAAGCGCAGTGTCTTAGGTACTTGCGGTGGTGTTGGGCAGGATCGGTCTTCAATACGCGAGGCCAATTGGAGTGGACGGAAGTGCTCGTTGGGAAGAGCAGGGCGGGTTAGATACGTCAGGAGGCGGCGTTCTGGGAGGGTCTGATTTGACCGATAGGGAAGTTTCATGTATGTCCAACTTAGCTGCGCATTGCGCCTTTCCTGCTTTTGTGCGTGAATCAAGTCCAATTATGGAAAGGCCAACACCCCTCATACTTCTTGTTCTACTACCTAATCTACTTTTTTCTAATTGGTAGGAATGATAAGGATAAGGTATAATTGCTTGAGCTCGTCTAACCCTTGCATTTAGAATAGCACTCCTAAGAACTTATGAGATCGAGAATCGAATTATTCTTCCTCCCTTTCACATGTCAATTCCCATGTCAACCTATCATGCCGCCACTCCGTTCTGTTGAGGGACAGGCGTCCCGTTCTGCTGCCCATACTGACTAGCGGGAGGTTGTGGCGTGCCCGATTCTTGCCTCTCTGCCAGTTGAGCTTTCTGCCTGGCCATCAAAGCTGCCTGCTCCTCAGCAGTCAAGTGTCCCTGTTGAGTCGGAGAGCCAGATGACCTTGCGCCATTGACGAGAGGCGACGCTGGAGTCTGTGGGTTGTACTGTGAAGAATGCGTGTGATAAAGCGTTGTAGGGCGCTGTGGCGGAGCTGCCTGGCCTTGGGCAGAGAATGATGAGCGCTGTTGATGTGGAGATGCACTCCCGGCCGCTGGAACAGAGCCGTAGCCGTAACCCTGCGGAGGCACCGCTCGTTGCTGATAGTCAGTTTGACTCCCTCGATAAGCCTGTGGTGGTTGGACGGAGTTCGGAGGACGGGCCTGAGGAGTCGAGTATTGTTGATTGTAATTGTAACTTCTCCCATTTTGGCCTACCCCTGAGTAGCCGCGGTATCCATGCTGATAGGAACCGAAAGACTGCGACGACTGCTGGCCGTACTGCGCGGCGTAGTTGGAGGAAGACACCGCACGCTGTGGAGGCTGTTGGCTCTGAGGAGGATAGGTGGGTCGTGTTCCAGCGGAGTAGTTGTATGAAGCTGGTCGATTTGAGTATTGCGGATTTTGAAGGTAGCCCGAGTTTGATGATTGTCTGGGTGCAGTCTGAGCTCCGTACCCAGGCTGCTGCTGATAGCGCTGAACAGGGGTAGCCGTCGGTGGAATATAGCTACTGCTGCGTGTGGGGGCATTTGCGTACGCGCTGGCAGCCTGTGGATTACTTGGAGTTGCTGCAGGCCGGACTGCTGCTCTTGCGCCTGTAGCAGAATCGTCTGACTCCATTGTACCCTTTTGGTTCTTGCTCTCGACCTTTAGTTTAGTGCTGATGTTGAGAGCACCTAACTTGTCGCCATCCAGCTTGGCGACCAGATAAGGTGGTAATGTAGATACAATCAGGGTTAGCTGAGCCTTCAGCACCTCGTAGACGTCAACTTCTGCGGACGACGGGCTGGTGGGAGTTCCAGTGAGGGCGGTCGACTGAGGGTTCTGTCCACTCATGGTGCGTGCGTTAGCTGCGAGTGTAAGATTCCTTATGCGCTGATGAGAATCGAGAGTCTCAAGCAGGTCCGATATTTCTGAGAGAATAGTATCGGCTTCTTTGCTGGTCTCGGGTGTTTCGAGACTAACAATCTTGGACGGGTTCATTTCTGGCGGGATTTCCTCTGACTCCCAAGTTTTGATGGCTTCTTGAATCTCCACTTCATCTATACCATCTTCATCTCCAACGCCGTTGGCCTCTGCCTCATACAATCCAGCATCCCTCATTCCCAGTAACTCGTGGTACCTCTGCTCCCCATATTTGCGCCACCAGAAGCGATTCTTCTGTTGCTCAGCGACGATCGCTCCAGAGTCATCGCGGTCAGGTGCAAAGCTGGAGTACACACTGCGAAACAAAGCATCCTCCTTGGCCTGATTGTGCGCCACCATTGCCTCTTCTGATATCGAAGTCTGAGGCTCACCAAAGCTCAAAGCTCGATCTCGCTGTTTGCGCTTTGATTCTGGAGACACTATCTGAGTGGAGGAAGGAGCCGCATTGTATGTCAGCCACTGGCCAGTCGACAATGGTTGTGTTGTATAGCCATCTCGCCTGCCAGACTTGCTTTTGGACTCAGCCTCGGTGGGATTATACCAATTGACGGACGAGCTTCTTGTTGCTGTGTGTCTTGACTGCTTTGGTAGCGGTAGAGGGAGTAACCCAGGTGGAGGTGGAAAACGTTCCCCCAGTGTGGGTGTAGGTTTCTTGTCCTCAGTATTGATGATGCTGTGTACCGGGACTATCTTAGTCGCAGTAATGCCATTCGGCAGTGCAGCCTCGTTGAGTGGTCCATCCGAGATATTCGTCTTCCGTAAGCTGGTAAACAGCTGCCCTGTTCGCCCACTTCCCATATTGCCCAAAAGGGTCAGAACATTGTTTGCTGGACCATCAAAGTTGGACTTGGCGTCTTGCTCATCCGAGAGTTCACTTTTGACATCGTTTGACAATCTGATTACTTCAGGCCTGCAGACAAGTTCCCTCAACACTAGCTGGTCAAGCTCATTTTTAACTGCTCTGGCGCGTGATATCTGGGCATGTATTGTTTGATAAGATGACGAACTCATTCCGACACTAATCTTCTCCTGAAACTCCTCCGTGATACTGGAGACTGCGTAGTCTACGTCTTTGATAAACTCCTCGATTGAAGTGTAAGCGTTGCTCCTAAAGAGAGTGGCGACGGTGGTTTTCTCAGAGGACTCGGAAAGCTTAGTACGCTTTGCATCATGTGATTCTTGTGTAGAAGTGGAAATGGGGCGGTCGAAGGTAGAAGGAGTGGTGTCTTGGCTGTAAATAGATTGAGTCAGCATCATTCTGGTGGCTGAGGGTGGTAGCGGCTGTCAAGGGTAGCTCACTCTCTCAATATTTCCATTATATCGGCTAGCCATTCCTGGAACTTCTCTTGTTGATTCACTTGCCCGCCGCCATTCACTTGTCCTCCTTCCACCTCTCCAACTGCTAAGGTATCCGCCCGCTTTCGTTTTCCCGCCATTCTTAATTATATCATCAACTCCAGAGAGCAAAATAATATCTCAACTGTCACAATCCTAGGTATTGAATTGCATGTGAATGGTTCAGAGCCGATGTCCTGAACCGTGTGAGTCTTTAAGCAAAACCCACTAATCCTAGAATCTTCGCATTGGTGTCATAGGACAAGAGCAGTGAGGTCGGCGGAGTTTTCAAGTTTTGCGATTGATTAGGGGCCTTATATGAGGCGTATTCAGCCAAAGGCCGACGGTCTGTTGAACTTTTGATGTTCCCTCGAGGCCTAGCCGGCGGACGATCGACGCGAGGGTTGATGGACGAGGAAGTCGCGCAGCACCGCTCACCAAAGCCAGGACACGCGTGAAAAGCTTCAAAGGTAAACCTGCTTACACAGATACAACGGAAACAGTGAAGTGTTCGGCTGGTTGAATTGAATAGCTGGCGAGACAGTTGTTGAGAGCACTGAAGTGTAATCTTTCTTCAAGACAGGAAGGCCCGCTAGTGGGTAGGGCTGTGAGATTGGCTGACTAAGCACTCTACAATCAACCAGTGACTGCCCCTCCACAAACATAAATGCTTGAAGTCTTGTGCATGCTTCTAACTACCAAAGATTCTACACTATAGCTTCAGCTCACTCTCCTATTGAACCACCCCAAAAACCCTATCTCTTTCTCTTTTCTACTCTCGACATATCACAAAGTCACCGCCAATATGCCTCCAGGGAGCAGAGGACGAGCTGGCAAGTTCAGCAAGCCTACTAGAGGAGGCATGTCACAAGTCCTGCGATTGTCTTTGACAATTTTCATTGACCCTTAGATAGGCGGCAAGAAGTTTAGCAAGAACCTCACTCCTTTAGATGCAGATGGCAATCCAACCAGCATGTGGGGAGTAGGCGGGCCTTTGTCCCCTGTACTAGTAACGCAATCTGACCCGATGCTTAGGACCAGCGTGATGCCAAAGCTCAGTCGTCGTCTTCAGAAGAAGACTCATCAGAGGAGGAATCATCATCATCGGAAGAAGACCCGGACAAACCTCCTATGACACGTGAACAGCGTCGTGCTGCCGCCAAAGCAAAGAAAGAAGCAGCTATCAAGAAAAAGTCCTCAAAAGCCGCCGCTCCAGGTGACCTACCATCATCTTCGTCTGAGGAAGAAGACGACGATGACCTTGCCCCCGCGAACCCAAACCATACCGCCAAATCCCGCTCCCAAGCCTCCGCTGCTCCCATCCAACCTACAGATGGCCCCTCCAAATCATCAAAGTCTACACCCGTCAGTCAGCTCTCCCGTCGCGAGCGTGAAGCTCTCCAAGCACAGCAAGCAAAAGAGCGATACCAGAAGTTGCATGCCGAAGGCAAGACCGACGAGGCCAGAGCAGATCTGGCGAGGTTGAGTCTGATCAAAGATAAGCGAGAGCAAGAGGCCGCAAGAAAAAAGGCAGAAAAAGAGGAGAAGGAAAGCCTAGAACAGGAGCGACAGAAGGAACAAGATGCGAAAGAGAGCAAGAAGAGGGAGGCTGCTATGGGCTCTGGTGGGGCCAGCGGGAAAGGCGGCAAAAAAAAGCCATGAAAGTGTGAATGTCATGAAATGGAATGCACGTGGAGATTGGGTATTGTTGAAGGAGATGATACTTAGGCATGCATCTGAATTATGATGGACAGAACCCGGCGACATCTTATCCGTCAGTCCATATGAACCAATGGAAATACTCTTCAAAAATGCAGGCGTAATACGCTGTGATTACGGTTCATGACGAGAAGTCAAGCCAAAGACCACATTTCTTTGTTCCTGCTTCGTAAGACATTACTCGGGCTTATGAATACCCCAGGTGAGTCACATGTCTGTAGAACATGACACCCAATTTCGTTCATACTCAGTCTTCACCTCCGCTGTGTATGCAAGAGTTCACGCCCTTTCGCAACTAGGTACTGTCAAGATGTGATATTCCCCACCCGGGCCCCAACATGAGGAGGCTAACCCCCCGGGCGGCTTAGTACCCTAAGTCTGACTCTAAATTTTTAAGGGGATTCGACTTCGCCTTCAACTTTAGGGTGCGGGCAGCGCATCAGCTGAGTCTGATAGCCTGTAGTCCAGGCGCACGAGGCTCTGCAAAACAGTCTCGGGACCCATCCCCACACTCCAGATTTCGGCCGCTTTCATTCAAGCCCTGTCAATGACTCTTAGACCGAGGCCACCTGTGCGTCATCCTCTCCAGGCACGAGGGCAACGACAGAAGCCTACAGTACGAGCCAGGCAGCCACACCGTGCGCTTTGCCCTTTCAGTGTTCAAATGCTCTGATTTATTCTATTCTCTTCTAATCTCCCCTTCCACCCGTTCATATATGCATCGCGAAAACAGATTGCGTTCTAGTTCCTCAGCATTACCGTTTGCACGGCGATGATGGTAAGTTCCCGCTTTCCGTCTGGCTAAGTATCGGACCTTCTCCGCTGGTACTGACTTATTCTAGGCAGCCTCTGGCGCTCCGGACGTCAGTCGTTTCGGCCTCTCACAAGTCTATGCCCCCATTGGTGGGGGACTTGTCGACGTCGTCTTCGTCCACGGTCTAAACGGCAATCCACATAATACATGGACGAGCGAAAGGTCAAAGACCTTCTGGCCTGCACAGCTGCTACCACCTATACTCACTGATGAGAGAGCACGGATATTGGTGTATGGATACGATGCGGACGTCACATCTTTCACAGACGGGGTATCCACAGACAAAATACACAACCACGCCGAGCATCTTGTTGCGGAGCTGGTAGCCAACAGGCGGATCCGAAAAGCTTCAGAACGTCCCATCATCTTTGTCGCCCATTCTCTTGGCGGACTTGTGGTCAAGCGTGCCCTGATTTACTCGTCCGAGATCCGTGGGATCTATACTGAACATCTACGGTCGATATACGTATCCACGTTCGGAATACTGTTCCTTGGTACCCCTCACAAAGGCTCGGACGTTGCGGAATGGGGCTCTCGCCTGGAGTGGATCTGTAGCGTCGCTCTACCAAGCAGGCTTGTCGACACCCAGCCTCAACTGGTGGATGCCTTGAAGAAGAAGAACGAAACTTTACAAAATATCGACCGTCAATTCATACAGCTTATGAATAGATTCCACGTTTATTTCTTCCACGAGGGGAAGCCTACCAATCTGAAAGGAACCTTGAAATACATTGTCGATGAGGAATCGGCATCTCCAACTGTTCAGGATGTCGAACGTGCTAGTATCCAGGCGGATCACTCCCACATGTGCAAGTTCGAAAGCGATGCTGCTCCAGGCTTCGATCTGGTGGCCGAAGGGATACAACGATATGCAGGTGAGGCACCAGCAGTTGTCAGTGGACGTTGGGATGAAGAAAAGAAGGCACGGCTTGCGCAGAAGCAAGCTGCAGTTGAGGAATTGATTCCAGGTATTTGTTGTTTATGGATTCCAGCACACTTACGGCTAGCTAATCTATATAGGTAGTTTGAAAGCAACGCCTCAAACAGACTCATCCAGCACCAACTCATCTACGCCTGGTAAGAAACAATTGGCATTACCTGGCACCGAGAACCAATCCCCTATGCAAGACTTTGAGAATTACGAGGTTGAGGAACCCGCAGATAAAGACATGGAATTGGCTTGACTTGCATTGCTGCCAGGGTCATCGGTTGGCAGCTTGTGTGTTGAATCAGACTGTACTCTGCTTTGCATGTGGCGCTTCGTTGCCGTAAATCATTATTCAGGGGGCTGATTTGGCGTTTTTGTAGATACCTCACAAATACTTCCACCAAAAGATGCCCGCAACCCTCCACAGATTGAGTCAAAAAACAATGCTACCAACACTCCAGTCTCACCTGTCAAGCCAACAGAGCCCTACTTTATTGTACCCCCCGGCTTTCGCCCAAATACATTTTTCGTGGGTATGGAGAAGGAATATCAAGAACTAGATCGACGGCTCTTCGATAAGAGACGGCGCGATGGAACGGCATGCGTACTTCTACATGGACAGCCTGGCAGCGGCAAGTCCCATCTAGCTCGACAATACGTCAACAAAAACCGAAAAAAGTTTGGTGGAGGAGTGTTCTGGATCACAGCCAAGTCGAAGGAGGAAAGATACCACGCCTTTTGGAACCTCAAGCAAAAAGTCGTCTGTCGAGACAAGCCAGAACTGTGTGACGGCATCAATGGCAAGGACTTTGTTCCACTGGTCAAAGCCTGGTTTGAAGGACGACAGGAGTGGCTTGTGGTCTTTGATGGCGTCACGGTTGAAAGAGATGAAGACACCACCGATTTCGCGAATTTCGTACCGGACAGTCGAAACTCGAGCATTATCTATATCTCGAGAGCTAGGAGTCTCGAGTCTAAGCAACGACTACTACGGCCATTTCCTATCAAAGTTGGACCTCTGAAGGAGGATGACGCTAAGAAGTTGCTTTTCAAGGAACTGCACATCAAAAGACCAACAGAGGCTGAGAAGAGGAAGGCAAATGAGCTGGTTCGGAACATCGGCGGTCTGCCTTTGGCCATCAATGCCATCAGTCAGCGCCTGGCTGACACCCATGAGCCTCTTACAAAGTACAAGCTATCATACAGCGCTGATCCGACTATCGAAGAGACCTACAACAAGATTCTGGACGATCTCCAGCGTCTGGGTCATATGGAAGCATGGAACCTAATACATATACTATGCTGGTTTGGGCACGAGATTCCGGTAGAGATGGTGCACCTTGGATTAAGGATCCTTCGCACCAATGTCGAGGTCAGGGCAACCGAGATTGGAGGGAGACCAGATATAAACACTACGTTTGGAGAGTTGAGGCGGTACGCACTTATCGAAAGAAACGAGCCTGACGACGTGGACTCCATGTCATCGAGCCGGAACAGCCTGGTCGACCCAGAGCCAATCGACATGCTCAAAATCCACAGCGTCGTCCAGAACTTCTGTTGCGACTCGCTGAACACCAGAGGTTTACTCCCACAATGGCTGGGATACGCTGTGGGGCTGTTCTCTTTCTCTTACCACCAGGCAGATCTCAAGATCAAACATAGGCCAGATACTGCCCGGGTTTCTGATTATCGATACTACAAGGTACACGGTCAGAGGCTCTGGGATCACTCTGTGCATTACGAGAGCAAGACCCAAGATCTTGGGAGTATAAGGCAGATCCTACAGCCAACATTGAGCATAATCAATGAAGAGATCCTGCAACACGAGCCTAGCTCGTCCCAGGAAAGCTTGAAAAATGGCATCTTCCAGATCTCCATCTTCGACAGGACAAGTAGCAGCTCGGATTCTGGCCCAGGTCCTCTCACGCCTGACCATCGACCTACTCCTCCGCCACTCGACAATGAGACTCTGTTTGGATTCCCAAAGGGCAAGACAGCAGACTCGCCTGGAAGCTTTGATGCTGCTTCAGTCGGAACACGTCCCAAAATAGTCGGCTACAGCCCGCGACTGCCAGATTTGGACGACATCGGTTATGAGAGTGAGCAAGAAGGTCAACGTACATCGCGTCCTATGCAGCAGGATCTTTCTGGTCATACCGCACGGCCCTCACCCCCGTCTCTCGCACCAGCTACAGCTAAGACCTACGATGAAGATTGGCAAGTCGTGCCGTCAGCCTGGAAGCCAAGAAAACCCCGTGGCCGTCGTGATCTAGGAAGCTTTCGGCCTACTACGGCAAGACCACAAATAGACAGGAGGAGTGTGGCTGGATCTGTCGTTCAGTCAGACCCAGATGATAGGCAGGTTAGGGAGACTTCTCCAGCCTTTAAGTCGCTAAAGAAAGTGCAATCCCGTAGTCCTCCACCTTCGCGAAATGGTATAGCATCACTCTTCCAACGTGGACCACTAGGTCGTACTACAGCTCCGCCTGTCACGCAAACAACGTGGGCCGGCATTGCAGCGGGAAGAGCAGGTCAGCAACCGCAACAACGAAGCAATGGACCAAGTTCCGCTACTGCTGGTCGACCTGCGGCACCTATGATCATGGAGCGCGGTAGATCTCGTGAAAGCTTGAGAAGCAGGCGAGATAATGCTCGGTCGTCCCCTTCGCCTTTGGGGTCGGAATTCGTACCGCGTCGGGGGTCAGCAGCCGATACAGGAGAGGAGAACGTTCGCACGGGTCCAGCGTATCCTGCCTATACGAATGAGCGCCCACCGGCCGGTTTCCAGTATACTACTCCTTATCCAGGGTCCAGTTCCAGTCTTGCGCAAATAGCGCAAGGGCGGCCTATCGACGGTAACTTGCCATATTATAACCCCCCGCCACTGGGGCCCAATTTAGCACCTCTTCCAGTCGAAGAAAGTATCACCATCACAACCAAGCGTCCCCTCCCTCCTTACCTCTACGAGCAGCCACCGTCGCCCTTCTTCCCGCCACCAGAATCTCACTACTCATCGCAACCGCAAAGTCGAACCAGCCCTCATCAACCTTATCAACAAGTGTACAACGCGCCTTATCCGCCACCAATTATGCCTGCAATACCAAAAGGCTACTACTCGCAACCCATGTCACGCCATCACTCCGACCAATCTCGCGACTCTACAGCAGAAACAGACCCAGTTCGCTATCCCTCAAACATTTCACCACGGATTCTGCCCTCCGACGCCCTGCGGGAAAGACATTCAGACGGCCGCCCCTTTCGCAAGTCTCCCAAAACCGACTTCGCCCGACCCATATACTCAGCTCACTCGTCCCCACGCATCCAGCCCCACGACCTTTCCCACACTGGCGGCTGGGCCTACCCATCGCCGTCCCACTCAGCCCCGGATCCCTACGACATGTCCATGTCCCGCTCGTCGTCCGGGCCTGGCGTAGCAGTCTCAGACGCACCTGGTAGAATTATACGTTTCGACAACGCAGGCAGCGTGCAATTTGGTGAACACCAGCCTATCAGTCTTGAAGAAGCGAGACGGAGGACCAAGCAGCATGCCGTGAGGTTGCAGGACAGGCACAGGGAGATGGAGGCGTTGAAGGAGGTGGATGAGGAGAGTTGGAGGCGGAGGAGGGTCGAAGAGCGGAAAAGGCAGAAAGGAAGGGTTATGCAAGAGGGAGAGGGGAGGAGGGAGAGTGCACCATATCCGGAGAACAATCTGATTCCGACTGAAGAAGGGATCGTGAGAGAAGGTAGGCCAAGGGGGTTGAGTGCGCCGAATATGGATGAGGCAGTGGGGTTGGGTGTGAACCTGGGTTGAGTGAGAGAAGAGGACAACGCATGTTTGGTATTGATCTTTGTTTCTCGTTCATTGCATCGCGATCTGGCGTTCCGAGGGTATCTGCATGGCATCTGTACGATAAAAGTCTTGGGTTTCATTGTGCACATTTACGAAGCGCTTGCTGCATTTCCCTCGCATTTTACGAGCTTTAGCAGAGCGACGAGCGGAAAAGGGGATCTCGGTTTAGTTTTCGCATGTCTCATTATATAGAGATTAATAAATGTGCGACTTTTGGTGGGACTGAAGCTATCCTCTCGCGTCGTGCGCCAGGCAGGTGTAATGTTGAGCTGTCATAGGATTCTTCTTGTAGACCAAACATGGCTTTGAAGCCGAGGAAGGCTCTCGAAGCTGGTACTTGCCACCTTTGCATGGACCACATGGTACCTCAATGCGGCGAACGTTGCCTAGTCACGTGATATACAGAAACGCGGGTATGAGCCAAACTGGCAACTCGAAGTACAGAACCCTCAGGACCAAAACTCGGCTCTTGGTTACCAGCGTTAGCAGAGAACTAGGAGGCCCCTGGTACAAACGCTGCCATTCTTTTGGGCTGATCAGATGACAGTGGTCAAGCTTTGAACAAACAAAGGGGCTAATTACCGAATCATACCCCGAAACTATAAATCCTTACCGAATCATACCCCATTACTATCATCCTAACCAAATTTGGGGTATGTTCGGTAAGATTAATGCTTGGGGTATGACTCTAATTTACCAACTTGCTTGTAGACTATTGCGTGAAACTATATATGAGTCCGACTGGGTGTGGACAGGCTGGGGTCATTTGCCCACTGTTGCCAGCTTTAGGTCTAAATAGGTGTCTGGCTGTCAAGCGCAAAAGCCTGGCTGGGGGTGTTCTGCGCTGACGCCAGACTATTATAAATGGGTTGAGCTGCTACCCATCGGCTTTCGTCTGATATTTAGCTGGTAGGTACCATTAAATACGGTCGAGATATTTGCTCCTTTCTATGGTCGAATGGCCCGGTCGCGAGTTTTTCCTTTGATTTTTGTCATGAATGCAAATTAGGAATCTACCCCAGTATGGAAGTTGCAATCATAGTCCACGTGATGATTCAGTATTAGATGTTCGGTAAGGTTCTAGTTTCGGGGTATGAATTAGTAATTAGCCACAAACAAAGCCCGTAATACTGAATGCAAGGGGGCAGCCATCACATCTGACATTCTCAAAACTCTCAGCCGCCCAGGTAATCGATCATCATGACTGCCAACGCCGACATAAGACCCGACCACTTCAAGCTGGCCGAGCGCCGAGGAACCTTCGACCGCATCGACTCCAAGTTCCGCAATTTTATATCTTCAGAACCTGGCGCCAGAGTCCCACCGGAAAAAGACCGCTATATATGTGCTTCCCTCACAGGCCGGTTTCCACGGTTTGGAGGAAGCGGTAATGGTAGCCCGTCTAAACGTCCCAGATCCTCTACATAACCCTCGTATGCCCCTTCGCGCACCGTGCCAACATAGTCCGCTCGCTCAAGGGGCTCGAACACATATTCCAGCTCTCAGTCATGGACTACGAGCTCTACCCCACCGGCTGGTCGTTCACCGGCCGCGCCGGCACCGCGGTTCAGGACCCCATCTACGGCTCCAAGCGCTTCAGCGAGCTCTATCCGAAGGCGGATTCGGAGTATAAAGGGCGCTATTCGGTGCCTGTACTTTGTGACAGGAAGGAGGAGACGATTGTTAACAATGAGAGTCCTGAGATTGTGCGGATGATATACAGTGGGTTCGATTCCCTGCTGCCGTTGGAGATGAGTGAGGGGAACTAGGGCTGGGTCGTTGGTGGGCTTTATCCTGAGGGTTTGCGAGGGGAGATTGATGGGATGAACGGGTGGGTGAACCCTGTGCTGAATACGGGCGTTTACAAAACCGGATTTGCGACTGAGCAGGGGAGTCATGAGAAAGCGTGTATCGAAGTCTTCGAGGCATTGGATCGGGTTGGGGATATTCTAGCTAACAGCAAGGGAGAGTACTTGTTTGGTGAGCACATTACGGAGGCAGATGTGCGGCTTTATCCTACGATTGTGGGGTTTGATACAGCCTACTATACGCTGTTCAAGTGTAACCTGAAGATAATAAGGCATGATTATCCGAAGATCCAAAGGTGGCTAGTCAATCTGGACGGGCAGAAGGGTTTCGGGGACACGACGGATTTTGAACACGTAAGTTATCTCTTTAAGAGCTCTCAAAGCAGGAGAGGACTAATGTGAGGGTGACAGATTAAGAAAGGCTATACTTTGACACCGCGGAACAATCTTGTGCTTTTGGGCCCGACGCCGGATATGCTCCTGGCAGAGAAGTAGCTGAGATAAGAAAAGATCTGTTGTCACGATTTGACCCATATAGTTGGCCAGGCGAGGTCGAGATTTTAGTATTTTTTTGTCTTCCAAAGATGGGTTGAAAGCAAAATCTGTCGAGGGCTATATTGGTAGGGACATGACTTACAAGGTGCAGGAAGACCCAGGATTAACATTCGCCTATCATCGGCTGAGAGGCTCAGGTTGGGTAGTTTCTCATGCTCGTCGAGTGCTCGGGCTTCTCAGGTTGGATAATGTCTTATGCTCGTCGTGTGCTCGGGCTTCCTGTCTGCGTCCTTAGATCCACTTCCATGCCAGTGTCTATCAGTGGAGACTATCAAAGTGCAAGAGTCCTTAATCATCTATACGAAAGAGCAAACAGGTGTGGAATACTCCTACATCGCGATGTGCAGGATTTCTTTGTTACGAAAAGTCTCGGGTCTCACCGGATAGCCGGTGAATGTTAGAGCGACGAACGTGCTGGACTCTTACTCATCAGCTGCTGATCCTTTGAAGAAAGGTACGATAGCTAGGTCAATGGCTGACAGCTTCATTCAAATACTGGCAAAGCGTTCTAGTGCAAATAAAACAAAACTGGCAAGGTTGGGGTCCGAAGACCAGCAGTTGGCCAAAGCTGGCTTGACTAGGTATTCAGTATACTGTTTACCGGCTTTGCGCAAGCGAGCAAGGAGGGCACTTCTGCTGCTGGGCCTCGAACCTATTGAAGGATCGAACCACCAAAGTAACGAGTGGTCTGAATACATCAGGATTCCGACGTGGACGCCTGGCGACAGCTTGCTGGGCACAGAAGTCGAAAAGCTACAAGAGAAAGACTTTGCGCCATATTTAATTGCTGGCACCGCATAGGTAAAGTCTGGCTTGGGCCATATTAAAGCCTTCGATCATGGTGAAAGAGTGGGAGACTCGTCAGATGTTTTGGCTGCCCATCAGGATCTAAATTTAGACGAGATGGGTGTAAAAGATACCTCGATTCCCTTCAGGCCTGTAGAGGCTGCATTTTGGCTGGCATTTACAGACTGGGATCAGCGTCTCCGTCTTCTATCCACCTCCTTTTTGGAAAGCACTTCATCCTGGAGGAAGTGTCTGGTATTCAAGAATCCTCTGATAGACGTCCGCACGAAAGACCAGCCAGGCCAGATAGGTTTCTAGGACATGACCGATGTGTGCCGGATTTCAATAGACATCTGCATCGGTGAACGACAGACATGGACTCCCGATTTCAGCGAAGAAACCATGTTGGCCTTCCAACAATAGGGGATCGTTTATGTCCACAATGCGGTCCTCCATCAAACACTATCTTCAATGTTACTTCGTTCATCTTCTTCCTGGAGCCATCATTGCAAACGGGGAGAGACAGAACAAAATCTACGCCTACTCCACTCACCAAAAGCAAACTCAAATCATGGCTGCTTCAAGCGGCATTATAGCTCGGCCGTATACGCCTGTAGACTTGTTCCTCAACATCTCCTTTTCCACTCTTCTGGAAATCCCTGGCAAAGATATCATCCTGTAGCAGAATGCTCTGGTCAAGGATCAGATTTGTGCTATCGCAAGTCCTGGGACTACGTCTAAGGCTTTGGCTATACTATGTGTAACGGGAGAATGCGATCATCAATACTACGACGCCTACGAGAGCAATGTGAAGCAAGCCCTGTTCGTTGCAGACGCTAATGAGCAGATCGTCTACGGCCTGTGGCTGTGGCTGCAGGCCGTCGACCAAATTGCGCCTGGTCAATGGCTGGCATATCAGGACTATGGTGCCGAGGGACATTTTGCCGTTCTTCAACGGGATTGCTGCATTGCCTGTGCTTGCAAGATGATTCAGGAGGGCTTCAGCAGTCGTGAGGGTCATTCGTTCAAAGTCATTCGCATAATTTATGGAAGGCTTGCTCGCCAAGATATGGAATGATTGACTAATGATATACGGAATCAATCCCTCACCTCAATAGCCAGAAGTGCCAGCTGAAGAGGAATTGGGCGATTCAACCGAGTGCCAGAATAGCAATACTCCGAGCCACGCTCCACCTCGCCGACAGTAGTAATGCTAGGTTGATCATTCGTACTCGGCCCTCGCAACCACAGCTTCTTGGCATGGGCTACGACGTTTTCCCGTTTTCTGTATCTCAAATGCTCTCATCGAGCCAAGAGCTCAACAAAAAAGCCTGGCTTGTTGACATCTGCCTTGGAGATTGTGTATACGAGAAGTCAATCGTTAAATAAGGGTACTTAGTGAGATGTTGACAAAATGTCTCACTTCCTTTCAACTTGTACAGGGTGATTCAATACCCCCAGAGAGGACCGCTTCGACAGACTTGCTCTGGGTTGAAGCCAAAGGCATTGCGGAACGGATGTGTGAAATAGTTCAGTGAGTTTTGGTCGAAGCGGTAGACTGGAGATTGGGTGGGAGATGATGCCGAGGCTTGAGATACACTAAAAATATATCTAACTGTTTTCCTCTACTGTATCAAACAGTACTCCACACTCAATTGAACCAATCCCTGACAACGTCCTTGCTACCCCCCTCTCCCGGACTAAATACATATCTCAAAGCTAAATCTGTCCAGTCCCTGCAATCGTACCTCACAGCGCAGCCCCCTGCAAGTTGCCCTCATATCTCGGGCTTTCCTTTCGAATCGCAACTGGCTCTAGCGCGGATTGCAACAATGGATACTGCTGCTGCTGCTGATGGTACATAGACTGGACGCTCGAACCCGATTCGGACCTCTCATCCGGCATTCTCAACGGCGCCTGCTGCCTGTTTTGGCCTTTTTCCAGTTTCTGGCCGCCAGCATGCCGAGGCCCACTGAGCCTCTTTGGCCCATGAAGAGTGCTCCATAGCGCTGTGGCCGCCACTGAATTTGGAGCGGAGGTGGAAGGGAAGGAAAGGGATGAGGAGGGGGATTTTACGGAAAAGCGGTTGCAGGCCGGGGAGGCAGCCGCAGATGATTGCGAGGTTGACTTCGATGGTTCTGTTGTGGTGATTTAGTTTTGGGCCTTGTAGGGGGTATGGAAGTGGGGAATTAGTAAAGTAGGCTTACATCCAGTCTTTGATCTGTACGATATCCCAGCTAGGGCCTGCGGCGTCAGGCGAGGTGTAGAGTATGTACTGTCTTTTGATGGCGATAGCTGCAATGCTGCCTTTGATCAGCGGACTGAACGACAGAAGATGGAGCGGCTTACGACTCACACACCACCGTTGGCAAAGACGATCGAAACGCCAATCTTCTTTGCTCTGGTCATATGCAGCGTCCAAAGCAACGGCATCGGCATAAGCAGGAGCATGATGTTGCAAAAACCAAAGATGGTTTCCACATCATACGACTCCGGCTTGCACACCCTGGTAGGTGCATAACGCAGCTTGTAGTTGAACGAAGCGGCTAAGGGCTTGCAAGAGAAGCAGACCAAGAGGACAGTGACCAGAGACCAAACAGCCATAATGGCGCCAACCGCCCAAGACGTGCAGTGGAATCTCGGGGGAAAATTCTGTCAACAGCTTGTAGCAGTCGATGGCTTACTATACGTCGTCTCGATCACCCTGGCCAAATTCGCCATCCTCATCTTCCTCTACCGCCTCGGGATTGGCTTGGTAAGGAGTACGAACGATCACTAAAGGATTCAAATACGACTCAGGGACTATGCCAATATGCCTCCCGAGATCATATCGATATATGTCTACTTGCAACGTAGCGATGGAGGAGCCCCGTCAGGGAACCCCTAACCACACGGGCGACTGCAATAAGCAATGCCAGAACTGAGCTGCCTATTCCATGCACACGATTAGCCCCAAACAACGCAAACGTGAGATAGCAGAACCCTACAGTCCTCCACCCGCGAGCTCTTGTGATGAAGCATTTCGTGTACATGCGGCCACTGACGGAAAGAAAACGGACAATGACAGTGACGAGATCGGTATTCACGAGCTTCCACGCAAGGGACTCATCGTTATAAGCAGGGGAGCCTATAGTGGGACTCGACATCTTGTCTCTCCGCCGAGCTCGATGTGGAGTTTCGTTTCAAACGGTAAGAGACGAAAGTTGAGACGCATCGGATGCATCGAAGGGTTTGGAGCTCGGGGGTCAAGGATACGCATGGGAAGGGTATGAACTGAAGAAAGACAAGTGATAAAGGAGGATTGAGGACTGGCGAGGGTGCGTCAACGATGCTTTCTGGACAAGTCCACGAACGCTCTGACCCTGCATATCAGCACATGGCGAAGGGAACTGCACCAGCGTGAGGAGCACGAGCTTCATTTTCGGAGAACTTCAGAAGCTAGAAGTACTCGGTCACAACGAGGGAAAGCCTTGCCCTGGTAGACCAGATTCAATCTATCCAACAGGTAAAGAGTCACGGAGAATTCCATGAGTTTCACTGATAGTATGAACCCCCCTTGGACCGCAAGAGCCATTCAAGGTTCAAAAGGAGAAATACAACCGCGCAGAACTCCAAGCATTTCTTACAAAGTCAGCGAGCACTTAGACAGCCCCTCTCAATTCCCCCTCTCAATAGAGAACCAATGATCCCGACGGCCGTTGCGATGGACCCGAAGCTGGCGACAGCCCTAAAAACCCATCGGCCAAACCTGTCATGACGCCCCTGACGCGTCTGAGCCGCCGATACCCCAGTTACCCCAGCTTTTCACCAACTTCGGCGCTCGAGCACGATCTTCGCCCGTCGTTGCAACGCGGTAGGAATGCCGAAGAACACTCGTGCGGCCTTCCAGCGCTTCCCCAACCGACTCTACGAGTAAATAGTCTGCTCGGCTCGCTCTGTCAAACTCGGATGCGCTGATCCTTATTGGCATCGCACCAATCGATGTCCAAGAGGCTGCGTTGTCGAATGCGTTCGCTCGTGATTATGGAACTATAGTGCTCTGCCGCGAGTACCTTTAGGCGCATGGTGTCCTCGCTGACAAGTGTCAGCCAAACAGAAGGCTTTACTGGCTATCAACCACGGCAATAAAAAGTCCTGGTGTAAGAGCCATGGTCCCGTCGCCTAGAAGAAGACAGTCCAAAGTGGCGCTCGATCAACTTGGGGGGACTGCTAGGTGTTGTGCAAGATCAGGAAAAGCAAAAACCAAAATGAAGCAAATAAAAGGCGGCCAAGAACGGAAGCAGGATCTTCAGCAGGGCATTGATTCCACTCTGGACGATCGATCGTGATCTTCAACACGTTGGAGCAGGTAAGAATGCAAGATAGGTCTCTACACTCTTCTGCATAGTGCCGAGGATCCAGCCTTTGGATCGTTGCCAAGGCCGTGGGCGAGAGGTCTTTCCTTTTTTTTCTCCCCAAAAAAATCAAGAAAGACACCCGAAGCGGTATCAACGCATAAAAAATCAACAAGTCCGTATTGACAGATAGAGTTTTTCGCTTTCCAAAACTCAAATTGGACAAATCTCTATTCGTGGAAACATCTTGTTTGGGATGAAACCCAAGATCGACGGCACAAGATACAAATGCAACATCTCAGACTGCAAATTCCTTTCAACTCTGTCAACCGGTCTGTCGATTGCACCGTGGGGCTCGAAAACTTTGCACCCTCCTTTCGCACGCCGTTCGTTGGCGTTGAGACTGCACGATGCAGCCGGAGCCATCTCGAATCTGGCGTTGAATCGTTGAGGGTGTGTTAAGACTGCTGAAAGACCAGAATAGTGGCGAAAGACATCAGAACAAGGAGATCGACCTTGTGACGTAAGACACTTTCATTGTGTCATGGGTCCTCGGTTTCTCTTTCCCGCTTCCAACTTTGGGACAAAAAGGTACAACGTCGGCCTGGGCTCCAGACAATCCTGTTGAGCAAGAGAGCCAAAAACCCAAGGCCAAAATCTAAGGTGTAGCAAAGACGGCTTGGTCTTGTGCTGTAGGGGGTCGATCGTTGCAGGGTTGCTGGAATTGTGACTGCTACGTTCCGAGTACTTATATACACGAGTCTGACGCTAGTCCCAATACGGCTTCCACAGACGTGTTGAAGATATTCCACCGTCCTCCGTTCAGTCCAGTGTTCCGTCATGTGTTGGGCGGGTAGACCGCTCCCCGTTTAACAGGAATACTTAGATGTGCCGGTCAACACTCTTAAATTGACATTATGTAGGTCGATTGGTCCATGCTTTCGGTCAGAGAGCTGTCAGGCGAGGGAGCAGAGTTGGCAGTCGAGGGGGTATCGATAACTAAAAATCGCCACGACGGGCTTCAAGGAGGAACTTTCTGAGTTTCTGATGCTTTTCCTGGGTCAGTTTCAATCATGAATGAAAGTTGATTGCGGGTTGATGCCCATCATCGAGACGTGAGAATGATAGGGTTCAGCGCCTTAGGCTGCCACTCTGTTTGACGCTTTCCTGCAGCGGCGCAGACGAAGCTAAGTATAGAACTGTAAAGATGTGTTCATGTAGGTTCCTCCAGCCCAATCCTCAAAAGAATGTGTTTGGACTCCGTCGTGGGGCAGCCTCAGTATTTTGATTTTGGGTGAAACTAGGTTTATAGAAAACCCATCGCTATGTCTTACCCTGGTTTTCCAGCATAACCGTACTTCGCTTTAGCCTTTCTCTCCTCGATCCTCTCTGCACTTTTTTCCGCAATAGCCGGTCCGTCAAAGACGTAAGTGACGCTGTCCTCTGCACGGACAGCCTTGCTCCATTTGCTGTAATTTGGCAACGCATCAAACCCCTTCAGCACGCTCTTTGGAATCAAACCTGTTTCGCCATACGTCTGGCATCGGATCACGAATGGTGCTATCAAGGCCTGCATGTCCAATTAGCCGTCTACGACTCTCATCCTCGAATGCTTCAACGGTAACACCAGTCACGTACCTCCGCGAGCGTAATGCTTTCACTACCTCCAAAGAAAGGTCCAGCACCCTCCAACATCGGCTCAATCTCTTTCTTCACAGCCTCGACCAGTTTCCCGCCCAGCTGCTCCTTCTCCTCCCCCTCCGCCATCATGACCGGAACCGTATGCGTATTGATCTTCCCCACCCATGTATCGGCGAAGAATGCTATCCTTGCCCTCGTCAACGCACTCGTTGGACTTTCCCTACTCGCAGGCCAGAAGCTTGAGTTGGGGAACATATCCGCGAGGAAGGTGCTGACGATAGCGGATTCGGTGACGATCTCATCCTGCAGGATGCCATTGGAGATTCTCATGCTTGGGACGAGTCCCCGCGGGTTTATCTCGAGGTACCAAGGCTCGCGAGGGCGGTCAAGAGGGATGATGACTTCTTCGTATGGGACTCTGAGGGCGCGGAGGGTGATGTGGGCGCGGTGGGCCCATGGGCAGCCGTGATTGGTATATAGAATTACTACGGGAGGGAGTCAGTTTGTAGGGTACTTTTTCAGGTTGGGAGCATTACTTTTGGGAGCGATGCCATTGCTGGAGTCTGTCCCATTGGAGACATGATGAACATTTGCAGACATGTTGCCGTATTGTAGGTCTAGCTAAAGGGTATATGATCAGTCAAACGGCTTGACTGTCAAGGTGATGAAAGTTGAGAGTTGCGAGCTGCGAGCTCTGTACAAGTAGAGCAGCTTCATTTTCGAATTACATTATTAATGCACGTCACGCCATCCGGAGATAAAGATAGGTCTCACTCATCTCAGGCTCTCAAGCATTTAGACACGCTTAGCGGGGTATCCTATGAGCCAAACCTCACACTCGTTCCTCGCTTCGGGGGCCAATCATATCGCAAGCTCAGTGCGGCATGAAAACTACCCCTCCCAAAGATAAGCTAATCGCTGCTAGCGCAAAAGCTAGGGAACACAATCTTCTCGCGCAGGACTGAGAACTTCCTCCGTTCTTCTCATCATCGACAACACCCGAAATCCAGAAAGATCATCGTGACTGAAAGCACCGGCTCTGCGAAGCAGTCAGTCTGCAGACATCGCAGGGTAACCCTAAGCGCATCGAGAAGACAACAGTGAGTTGCGTCTTTCCTTTCCAATCCTGATTGAAATCTCTTTGCAAAAAGATCTTTTTTCTCCTGTTATCCAGCATTCACCGTTCTCCGCAATTCCCTCGACTTCCACAATGCTGACTAATCATACCAGATCACTCCGGAACCCTAGCCCTAAGAGCATTATTTACACTTGCAGCCATGCCGGCGATGTTGGAAGACCCCACGGCTCCGGCCATCTACCGTGTCTCTGGCAATCCTCCCTACCCTACGCCTGATGATCCGCAAATACCGCACTCCATAGTTCCTCGCAAGGTTACTCTCCGCGATCGCATAACCATCGCCTCCCTGCTCCCCTTCTCCACCCCCACTGCCGTTCCCGCACGCCTCCTCTCGTACCTCTGCTCCCAGCTAAATCTCGAAATTGAAAAAGGAGACACTTACCCCATGATGACCTCGATGTCTGTTTCGACATTCGGAACTTACTGGTTCCAAAATTTTGGCGCGATCATGTTGCTAGGGGAGGTGGAAAGTGTAGAGCAAGTCTGGGAAATGGAAGATGGAGGGGAGGGGTGGGAAAAAACCTGTCTGGGAAGCTTTTACGTCAAGCCAAACTATCCCGGAAGGAGTAGTCATATTTGCAACGGAGGCTTTCTAGTGACAGAGGCAGCGAGAAACAAGGGAGTCGGAAGGTTGATGGGAGAAGGGTATCTAGAGTGGGCTCCCAAATTGGTATGTCCTCTCCTTCCCTCTGCAAATGCTCTCCACAGCCATTTCACAATCTGCCCACTGATCCTGATTCAACCTTTCTCTCTTTTTTCTCTTTGAAATTTCTCTCTCGGATAGATCAAGTCTGAGACAAAAGGCTTATCTAGTATAAACTACCAGGGCTATACCTACTCAGTTTTCAACCTCGTCTACGAAACCAATGTAGCATCATGCCGAATCTGGGATGCCCTCGGCTTCAAACGCATCGGCCGGATCCCCTCGTGCGGAAACCTCCGCTCCTCTCCTAATGAATTAGTCGAAGCCATAGTGTATGGCCGTAGTCTAGGTTCTGACGCCGAGGACATTGTCAGTGAAGAACGCTTTGACAAAATCCGCTACTATCTCAAGCACGGAACCTATCCAAGTGGTGCTGACCGGGCGGAGAAGTCCAGACTGAGGAGTGCAGCGACGCACTACAAGCTCGTTGGTGGGGAAGAAAACGGGGGAGGTGAAGAGAAGCTAATGCTTAAGGATAAAGAGGTGGTGAGTGATCCGCAGCGGCAATATCAAATCTCGAAGCAAGTGCATGCACAGCAGCACGGCGGTATCAATAAAACCACGGCTACGATTGCGGAGAGATTCCATTGGGTCAGGATCAAGGAGACTGTCAGTCTCGTCATCAAGAACTGTCCAGACTGCAAAGATACAGCTGCCAAGGCACCTACCGTACGGCCAATGGGCGAGGGGCCTGGCCAGTTCAGGAAAGCTGCCTTTGCGAATGGACAGAATGGACCGAACGACCCCAACAGCATGATCGAACGGCTCGTCAACTTCGACCAAATGGACCCGCATCCCGGGCTGGATCAGAAAGATCTCTCCATCTCAAGAAGTCCAGAGATGGACCATCACGCACCGACAGCGATGATGCGCCGGCTGCAGGACTTCAACGGCATCCCTGTCGACCCGCAAATTGATCCGCGGATAATCCAGCAACAGCACGGAGCCGGCCATTACGGTGGCGAGGACTATACGGGTGCGCATAGAGTCGAGAACCGATATGTTGATTTGGACATGGATGGGTCGCAGCATCAGCACCTGCCTATGGCGATGGCGACGGAGAGGCATGTGAGGAAGGGGGATGAGCCGACAGGATATCAGACACAGGGCATGGCGCATGAGGCGAGGATGCAAGATGGGAACGCCTACAAGGATGAGAGGATGCACGATGGGGACGACTACAAGACCGAGAGGGAAATAGATTTCCAAGAGCTTTTGAGAAACTCGTGATCCATGGCTGTTCCCTCTCATCCAAGAGGACACGCTCGTGTCCTACGAAACCCTGGGTAGTGAAATACATGTACATATAGATCATTCACATAGCTTGATACCTCGTGCTTTTGGAAAGGCCTGTGGGAAGAAGTGATTGAGTCAAGCAAGGCGACAGTAAACCGCGGCGGCCCAAAACGAGTCAGGAATTCTCAAACCCTCGATCAAAAACAGCATCAAGTGGCGTATCTAACCTATCTAACGCGATCTTACCACGCAGTTTCAATCACCATCAACGAACGATACCACCTCGATACCCTAGACCAACATGAGATTGAGAAGGTTTCAGCTCAGCCAATCACCATCTGTCCACATTTCGCCTGTAGAGTACCAAGTGCCCGTACCTACCATACAGGTACGTATGAAAAAGCAGCAGTTGTCATTGAACCAATCTCTCTTGAGACACAAGTGCCATCTCACACAGATCACGCGATCGCGCCAGTTCGCTTTGGCCACGAAGGATGCCTCTTTATTTTTTTAATAAGATCTCCCCCTTCCCACCATGTCTTCTCGTCCCGACCAGAGTTTTCGAAGCCGAAGGGTCCGTATGCCGCAAGCGTTCAACTTCAATTTTCGTGGTTCATTACGAGTTCCGGGCCTGTTTTCCCGGGTGGGTTTGGCGGATTCAAAAACGTCTGGGATACTTGGCTTCGGGCATCTTTTTAGGAATAATGGGCGAATGGACGGTTCTACACCATGGTAGGATGGTTGGAAAAAGGACGATCGATGACAAGGATGGTTTGCATGGGCCACCATCCTTCTAGATCACACTGTTGTATGCCTGTGTTACTATTGTGACCCCATGTTCCCTTCGAGACCATTCACCCTCACACTAACAGTCTTCAGTTGGTGTCGACACCTCTCTCTTGGTTCAGTCACCCTCCCTCCCTTCTTGAAAGAGCTGAGCCTTTGTTGCGACGGAGACTAGGGGTTTTTGATGTTCTACAGTGCACGAGGACATGGTATAAACTCTTCAAGTCTCCAGGTGTCTTCTCTCTGCTTATTCTGCCCGTTACACACCCAAGTACATCTGAACCTATACGTATCATCCATCCATAAGCCTCAAACAACCGCGGTCATGAAGATCAACGTTACTTGTGTTCACTCGCACTATGTATGACCTTTGCTGGCGTCTCTCTCGCCGCCTTCGACACAATCCCATGATACATTGCTACCGCACTGAACTTGGCCTTGAAGGAAAGCTCCACCGCTCTCCCACTGCCACACAAGCCTCGGCCTAAAGCACGCACCCCAGGCAAGCTGGCATGAGGATTGGCAACCTTAGCTACCGGCGTCTTTTAAGATGAGTGCACTCATAGGCAACAGCCCAAGAAGTCATCGCAATCGATGTCCAGAAACAAGCCGTTGTGTGGACGACAAACTTCGTACTTTGTGCTCATCCTGTCAAAGACTCACGGTGTTCCTACCACCGCAGTTGCTTATTTTCCTGGCACAACGCCTGATCCATACCCGCCCGACCAGTTTACACACGTTGACATTACCCCTAATCAAGCTGCCACAGCGTTCCCACCGCCTCAGCTTTCCCTCAGTCTCCGCCGCAAGCCGCAACGCACTGCCCGGGTAGAATGGATCGAGAGCAAACGACGAAAGCACCGTTGTATAGTAACTGACTTCAGATGAATCGCTGCTCCGAGTCTCCCAGCCTGATGTAAAGACAGTTTCGACCTTGGGTATGCTGATGCGCTCACGTTGACGCCGCTGGTAAGAAGAAAGCGGACGGTCAACCGGTTGCTGAAAACTTTCATCTCTCCCTTCAATATTACTCGAACAGAGAGCAGATTCTAAGTTCCCCACTCACTTCTTCTCCAACGCAAACGTAACACTGTCAACTGTCAAAGGCTGCAGCTCCGGATCTCCTTGCACAAGCGTGACATCTTGGACCCTCCTCAAACCCGGACGGGACAACCGCTTCGATCATCGGCACAGTCTCCACCGGCACCGCTGGAGGAGTGAAAGTAAAGCTCGCAACCGCAACCTCCCCCCTTTGAATCCTGCAACGCTGATCGTGCACTGCATCGCCACTCCCGCGACCGCCTCGTCCGTATGCACCGCGCATCCTAACTAGAGACTATACAACGTGACTGCAGCCGATGTTGACCTAGGGTAGATGAGGGTGATCGTCGGAGTGTCATTGGTCGCTTGTTCCTGGTCGGTGGTCAGGATGGCGATTGGCGGAGTGTGGGGCTCGATCTCGCCGGCTGAGGAGAGTGGCAGTGCTGCTGAAAGAGAAGGCATCGTAGAAAAGGCCTTCGTAGACACCGGCACCGGTGGGACTGTCAAGGGGGAAAGTGGTAAGGCTGTCGAACTAGAGTAAGCACGGGTTGTGAGGCTTGCAAAAGGGAAAGGGTATGGAGCGGGCAACTGACGTTAGCAGTGGCGATGGTCGCGGAGACGAGGCTTGCCACTGCTGGGAGGGACAAGGGAGAAAAAGCTGATGCTTTCATCACGAAGTCGGTGGGAGTTACAAAAGCAACAATTCCCTACGCATAACAACCGGTGAAAGCTAAGACTGCAACAACGAAGAACAGCAACCAACAGACAGATACAAAGCCGAAGAGGCGGCACCTTCGGACTCGGCAAACCTCTGAAGGTTGCAAACGACCCGTCAAAAACCTCGCCCGGTCATCCATGCTGTGCGAGCGCTTAATGCAAGCGCCTTGTTTTGATGTAACCTCCGAGAAGTCGTATTGAGGAGTAGTCGTAACAACAACAGTAGGTGTAGAAAGACTCAGACCGATCCCCACTTCCCAGCGAGCAATATTGGTCGTGTGATAATCTAGTGCTTAGCCAAGCTACGTGTAACACCCTCGCCGGATTGAGATGCGCGATTTTCCTATTTGCTCGGGTATCTGCTGTAGACTTCAGGGCAGGTAAGCACATCGTTCTTGGTCTTACGATCGATATGATCGGAAAGACAGACGTATACTTCGCAATGACTTCGGCTCGAAAGCGAAGAAATTAGTCGTACACTACCAAATAGGATATTCCCCATTTAAAGAGCACATGCTCTACTAACCAATCAACCTACATACTTACATACACACCTACCTAACAACCTCACCAAACACAACAAATCGACGCCGTCACAAGTAGGCAAAGCACCCCTTCCCAACCACCCCAAGAATCGACCGGAGGAATTCGCGTGCTTTCCAACCCCGATGCTGACTGTGTTAAACAATCCCTCCGTTCCATTAGACGCCCTAACCAGTTTGCTACATATCGCAATCTACCAAAACGCGTGGCTAGCTAGCTAGGTATGGATGGATGCAGGTACATAGTGATGTATTACCGCAACACTCCCTCACCCACCTCCACCTCTCCACCCGCGCCGCCACTTCCATCAAAGCCCAACCGACCGTCCACCCTCGACGGAATCAGCTCGAATGACAATCTCTCCGAGCGTCGCCCTTCGAAACATCGGCCTATCGATCGAGCGGAGTGCCGATCGAACGATGCCCTTGGGCGCGATGGACGTGGTAAGGTAGGGAGGGACATAGATCAAAAACAAACATACCAACCGCCAACAATTCATACAACTCTTCGAAGAGAGAGGGCGGTCGTCAAGACTACTTCCCTCCCCTCCCCTGCCCTGCCCTCCTCTCTCTCCACCGAACAAAGCCTCGCAGCCTACCCATCTCGACCCTTCCCAACCAATTCAACCAACGAACTCCTCACTCTATCAACCTAGACATCAGACATCACATCCCCATCCCCATCCCCATCCCCATCAACCACGACCTACAAACCCGTCCCGATCAGACTCTCACTGCCATCCCATCACGATAACACATATATACATACACACATACACACATACACACACACACACACACACACACACACACAAGATACACACAACATAGATACCAAACCCCCCCCCAAAGAAAAGCCCAATCGAGACAGCCCATCTCACCCCATCCCATCCCATCCCATCCCATCCCATCCCATCCCATCCCACCTCACCTTACTTAGCGCTCCGTATCAGCCAGCGGACACAGTGTCGCGAGCCGCGGGCTTTCAAACACTTGGCGGCACGGCCTTATCTCTTTCGTGACGGGCGGTCGAAAAAGTAGTCAGAGTGGTTTCAAGCTAAGGTAGCTTTGAAATGCGATGCAACAGCCTAGGTAAGTTCCAACGATTAGAGTAAATGTAAGGTGGATGACCTTGGATGCCGCGCCGCGATTAGATCTTGTTCTCCGGATTACGTAAAGTACTTTACTTGACACGTGGATCCCACAGTGATGATCGAGAAAGGGAGAGGTGAAGAGTAAGGCTCAATTTGGTTTCTCACATGATGCACATGCTCAAGACACGACATATATACCCTCTACATTTGCAACCAATTTGCCATTCAGAACCAAAGCTCGCCACCGTTGCTCAAATACACAGACAGCAAATTAAACAACATTCCTCGCCGCTCGTACAAAGATACTCTTCCTCCGCCCAGCGGCCGCATCCTCCATCGGGTCCAAATCGAACGTCCGCATACCCGTCAACAGATCCATCTGGTGTGCCCGGACGAAGAATCCGCCCTTGTTCTTAGACCAGATCTTCCAGAAAACGTAGAGCGCGATGACGATGGGCGCGGCGAGATATTCTTGGAAGAAAGCGGTGGCGGTGGGAGAAGCGCCGGGGGGCTGTGATCAGAATCAGCATAATCATCATCTACAATTCGGGTATCAAAAGGGTGGCTTACGAATAGAGCTGTGTAGAAAGTGGCGATGAGGGCAATGATGTTCAAGAAGAAACCAATGTAACTGCCAATAACACCGAATTGAGCCCGGAATGGCAGTTCGTCTAAAGTGTGTCCCTGTACCATCCAGCCGCGGCGGAAGCGGATATGGGAAAGACAGATACTGCCCCAGACGAAGAAGTAAGAAAGACCGGAGAGAGCAAGGAGCCAGGCGAAGAAGGTAGAGCCGGCGCTGGCTTCGTTAACGAAGGCGAGAAGACCAAAGAGGAGTTGGATAACGATACACCAGATAGGGCGACCTTTGCTGTCAATGTACATTAGGAATTTGGGGCCCATGTCCCTCGCTGCGAGCGCTTGCATGGTACGCGTGGAGCCGAAGGTACAGGAGTTTGCGACACTGAGGACGGATATGGTGATGACGGCGTTGAAGACGGAGGGAAGACCGCTGACACCGGCCATTTGGATGGCAAGCACAAAGGGGGACGCCTTGGTGTTTGCACCGGATGAACCGAGGAGGTCTGGGTCGTTGGAGGGCAAGATCAGGCCGACCATGAACAGCGAGATGACGTAGAAACCTGAGATGCGCCAGAACACTTGCTTGGTAGCGGTTGGGAGCGACTTCCGCGGGTCAGCGGCCTCGGCGGCAGCAAGACCGACAAGCTCGGTACCGCCGAAAGCAAAGGCAGCGTTGACGAAGACGGAGCAGAATCCTCTAAAGCCGTTTTTGAACGCTCCCGGATCGTGCCAGTAGTGAGCACCGAGGTATCCGCGGTTGACTTTGGTGTGGACCCCTCCGCAATCAACCACGACAGCGAAAATGATAAAACCGATGACGGCTACGACTTTGATAACGCCGAGCACGAATTCGACTATTGAGCGCGGGGTTTAGCCACCGAGAGACCACCACTTTGTGGGGCCTGGAAGACTAACCTTCACCGTATCCTCGCACACCGAAGAATTGAACCACGCACAGGAGGAAGAGGAAAACCGCGATCCAGACACCAATGTTTATCTCCTTCCAGAACGAAATTGTGATACCAGCAGCAGTGATTTCGAAGGGTAGAACGGTAAGCCATCCTAGAGCATAATCCCAGCCCATTGCGAAGCCCCTGCCAATGTATGTTATTATCCCATTTTTACAGGTTCAAAGTATTGTGGAGTCGTACCAAGCTTCGTCGATGAATCGGCAACCGTAGGTGAAGAAAGCGCCGTTGACGGGGTAGAGGACGGCAAGCTCTCCCAGAGCTTGCACGGTAAAAAGCAACATGGCGCCGACAATGATGAAACCAAGGAGCTAGGAAATGCGGTCAGCAGTGCAACTATTGCGATGCTGTTGCTTGTCGCTATCACGTACCACACTGCCAGGGCCACCATTGTTAAACGATTGACCGGACCCCACGAAGAGACCAGCACCAATCGAACCGCCTATTTTCCGACCGAATTAGATGAGGTCTTGCATATTCGGAGGCTTCGTTTTGGGAGTGTATACCGATAGCTATCATCTGCATGTGACGACCCTTCAAGTTGCGTTGGAGACCTCCATTCGCAGGTGGCTCGGCCTCGAAGTCAGCATCGTGACTGCCATTGCTATCGTAGGTGACATCATCGAGAGGAACCTTCTCTTTTGTATCCATGACTGGGAGCAGAAGACGTTGCGACGTCGAGGAAGGAGGGGGGAGGTGGGAAGGGTGGAGAGAAGGGATGTAGCACACGACAGGAAGAGGAGGAGGAGAGTGGGGAGGAGAGGCTGTTATGTAAGAGAGGCGAGAAAGAGATGCGGGCCCTAGAGTGAAGGTTAGCCTTGGAGCTTGGGGGGGGAGGGGGGTGGGATGAGATGTTGGTCGAGCGCGGTCCAGAGGTCTGCCTCGTGTGTGGGCGAGGATGAGCGAATGGAGGTAAAGATAAGAGTAAAGCAGCTAAAAAGTCTTAGCATCGGTTCCAGCTACCCCACTCGGCCGCCCATCCCCGTCTTAGCTTGCAGCCCCTTGCCTCCCACAAGTTCACAACTGATCCAATAGCTCGGTAGCTGCTGATAACGCGCATTTCGCTTACTTTGCTTTTTAGGTACTAGACGTTAAGATCTGCAGTGGGAATCTGCTATGGACACCCTTCCTAGACTGCAAGGCGGGCAAGGGTCCGATTACCTTGGTATGCAGCGGCATCTAGCTTGCTTGGCGCATATCTTCTAGAACACCCGTGTGGAACGACTCACAACCCTGTCCTATCATCTATCTTAGCCTCGGCCCTATTCCACCAATAAGGGCGGTATCCAGTCTACAGCTTGCGGCTTTTAGTCCCGTAAGAAGCAGATATGCGTGAAAGGAAGCAAGGAAGGTGGTAAGAAGGTAGTAAGACAGTTGAGAGCTAGGAGGAAGCCGACGTGGAAAACAGGCGACATCCTCGAATCTCCATGGCCCAATTTTCATCATGAGGAATATTGAAGGAGGAGTCGGATAAGTGTGTCTCGCCCTCGCCCCCACGTAAAGAAGCCGGGAAGCTTGTCAGGAAGTGCATGAGGCGGCAAGGCAGAACACGGGATCAAAAGATAGTCACATAATATGCGACTGCCATGTGCTTGAAGTTTGAAGAGTGTCTAGGTATAAGTAGAGGCGCGCATAATGATTGTAGGACCGATGATGATGACGATCAAGAAGAAGTGTGGTGTAGTGGAGCAGGAGGCAATTTTTTTTTGGTTTTTTTTTGTTTTTTGTCGCGATACGGATTTTCTTATCGACGCTGAGAACGCCTCCTCGGTCAAACAAAAATTCGGTGAAACGGCCCGAAGAATTTGGAATCAACCCAATTGCTAACTGTCCAAACGGCGCCTTCCCACTTGAAGCTTAACGCCTGCTGCTCCAGGGGCTGTCTTGGCGTATCCTTGGCGTGTCTTGGCGCATTGCTTATCCCAACCTCTCAAGTCACTTCACACAAAAACAATTCATCCCATCCTCTTTGGCAATGGGAACCGGCTACCCAATGCGGTATCAGGTGGCGAATAATCATGCTGCCTCAAATCTATACACATTGTACTTGTACTTCGGAACCCGGTCTACCTGCGCTCTCTAGATGCCTCATTCCCCCTCGCCATCCGAGTCGTCGGAAAAGTGCGAGTCCCTGTTGACAAAGAGCTCGGATGAGACCTGGATGGGAACTTCAAGGCGCATCGATTCCTTCTTCGGCGATATGCTATCCCCATGCATCCGGAAGCTCAGGACAAGGACGACAACATAAAAGTGGGAGATCAGAGACGAGTGGAATGTCGGAAGGTACTGCTTCTGCAGAGGCAGGACCAGACGTAATGGGAGAACAGTCGTGAGATGTCTGCGGCCCCCGGCTTGGTCAGAGGACATCGCGTCTCGCTTGTGCCCGGTCAAGTCCCGGTGCCACTTGACTTCTTGGACCGTCCCCCCAACCAGTGGGATGGTTTCAACAGACAGTCCGTCGGTAGTGCCGTCCGCTCTGGTACCGATCCGGTACGGGCAGTCAGACATTGAAGTACTCGACACTCGTGTTGCCGCCCGAAGCTTGGCCGTGATTCTGGTCAGCTTAGGGGGCATGCCGTTCACTTCTATCGGCTCGAATCTCAACTTCATCTCTGCCCTCGTCTCCACGGATTCCTTTTGCCAAGTGTCATAGCCTGTGGAGACCGGCACGCACAAGCTCTTTGGCTGCGCCACTTCCATCTCCATCTTCCCCTGACTACCAGTCCATGCGTTTCCCCCCAGATATGCGGTCGCCGCCGCAATGCTTTCTTTGCCTAGTGTGCTGCAAATGGGTAAGGGAGGCTCTTCTGTGACGACGGGCACCATTCTTATCATCCGTGATGTTTCTCCAAGCGGGTTTTCTGGACCATCTTGCGGACCATATTTCAAGAGCTTCGCTTTGATGCAGTATGAGATCGAGGCGATGTTCGGGGCCGTGCTGGGGACTGAGTTCTTCTCGTGACTTGGTGGAATCTTCAGCTGAGCATGTCTCACGCTCTCTCTCAAATGTGCCTGCCACTCGCGTGGCTTCCTTTGGTCTGGTGGTACCTCGAACCTGAACGGGATCTGGTAAAACCATTTAATAGCGTTTGTATTGATTCTACGGAGCTCCCACCTGTCCACGGGCTCTTTCAGGGTAAGGAAGGTCTGCGAGTTTTTGTGGTCGCGGTTATTTCCCCCCGGAGACAGCAAGGGCGGCCTCACAAACGTCGTGACCGTTCCTGTTAGCCTCGAGTTAGTTTCTAGGCAATGCCACGTCATAAAGCTGAATTTGGGAGCTGGTGTCACAAAGACGTTGACCGACTACCTTCGAGGGTAATGGAAACGGCGTCGAATTCTGTGGTCTCAGGCATTTCCATGCTAACATAGCCTCCAATTTCATCCCCTGTTGCGAAAGTCTTTGGTAGTGATGGATTATCGAAGTGCTCCAAGGTGATGGTAAGAGTGACTTCTGTCGGCTGAGAAGGGGTAGCGGACTGAGCTTTGCCGAAGACTGACTTTGAAATGTTTGTGAAAGTGTACATGGTGCCAAAGGTCTAATCATCTTTTGACGAGGATCCTTTTCGACCATGTATATGGGGCAGAGGTTTTAGAATTAAGGGTTGATTCTTGAGTGGTTCTACATGCTTTTCTCAGTTCGCTTGGTGGGCCAATCTGACCGAGCTGCAGCGGCATCTAGCCTCGGCCGACCGCTGCCAGCAGTGACATCCTATCCCAAATGACCAACTATTCCCAATAGTTGGCCTGGTGCTCTGGCTAGGCACCGCCAAGTCGTCGTTTTTCTTGAGAAGGAAGATGGGGTTTTGGCGACATTGGTGAGAAAGCATCTGATCGGCGAGAATCTTGCGCGCCGCTTTGGGCAGAATGGAACAAAAAGTGAAGCAAAGAATTCCTTTACGCCTCTAAAAATAGGACACTACCATATAGATACCTTGATCATGGGTGCAGAGTCGGGTGATAATGTGGGAAGGTGTTTTCGGAGCGGGAAGAGAACCCCTCGGCTTGGGCAAACTCCCCTCACTTTGTACACTGTCGTTTCACTCGCGACCTTAACACTTTCTTATACATGCCGTTTACCCCCACTTGACGTTTTCGTGTACTATATATGAGCAGGTTTTCCTCTATATAACTCCAACAACATTCGGAATCCGACACACTGAATGCATGATGCCGTTTCCTAAGGGCCTTACAAGCCCTCCGTCTCCGGCTTCCTCTCGGAACAGTGAGCCGTCGTCATGGGTGGCGAATGTAGCGGCCTCCCAAGGGCTCAACGCAAAAATCACCATCGTATCCTTCCACGGCCTCTTCCGCAATCTTGCGGCTGCGAAATTGATGATGAGCCAGTAGGTGTTCTCTAGCTCCTCATTCCCATTGCCTACAATTTGCGTATCCCAGACGCGTCGCACGCCTCAAGGTTCGACGCCAGAAAATGCTGACTCATGGCGAATTACTGCAGGGCATGTCGCCATGACGGGATATTCTACCTCGACATGACTGGCGAAGACGCTAGGACGCCACTGGACGAGCTCAGCATCGCGAAGTTTTTGGAAAATTCGGAAGAGCTGCATGCCCTCTCTGATGTGGAAAAGCTGGGCTTCGAACTTGACAATATCTTGCCGCTTGGCACAACAGGGTGAGGACTCTCATTCACCAGCTAGATCAACACGACTCATCTTAAGAGGCGTTGGCTCAAGATCTCCATAGGTACAAAGCCGCTGGCAAGTTCCACGGGGTTTTGGCCGGAGACTACCCCCTCGAAGAAGATTGGCTCGTACTTTTCCCGAGCCCCCTTACAATTGAATGTCCCTAACACTTGTCCGCAACAGATCACCGGCAACGCAGTCGACGACCCCGCACATTTCCGCGCCCATCTGCCACCTCCCCTCTTCGACAAGCTCTTCGACTTCTATGCCATAGCGCGCTTCCACTTCATCGGTCTGAGCCTCCTCGATCACCTCGCCGTTGCCCTCTCAAGCAAGGACCTTCGAGCCGCTCACACCGATGGCCACTCAAACATGTCATCCTTCATTCTCACAAAATGCATTGCCACGACCCAAAGCCAAGCCGATAACGTGGAAGCCCACACCGACCCCGGGACCCTCTTGATCCTCTTCAATCCGCCACCATCCCTACATCTCTTCCGGCCAGCCGATCCCCGACAGCCGACATCTAAGCCTAGATACATTCCTATCAGTCCTCCGGCGGGTTCGGCAGCTGTCGTTGTCGGCGACGCCCTCAGCTTCTTATCTCGAGGCCGGCTGCAGGCCGCGCGGATGGCCATGGTATCTGCAAAAGGTATGGACAATGTGGAAGAGTGGCACTCGGTGGCCTACCGTCTGGGCCCGGATGAGAAGGCGACGCTGGTAGACTCGAAGAAGGTGAAGTGGCCGGCGTGCGACTGGCACGCTGCGAGGATGGGGGTGGAGGCGGAGGCGGACGAGACTCTATAACGTCATGGCGGAGAGGTTCGAGCGCATTATGGTGCAGCGAGATGGAATGTTCTTCTTGTCCGGCTCGTCCATTGCTTTACCCAAAGTCGCGAAGCAGCGGAACTTTTTTTCCAACCAAGCGACCGAGAACACTTAGCAAAATACGATCGATCTGACTCTCGGCAAGGTCAGATCGTGACTCAAGCAGCGTTTTGACACCTACAAACGCAACTCGGGGTACCAGCTTCCACCGGCCCCTTTCTATGACAAGACTCTCGACCTTTCCAGTTAAAGCTAGCTACTTCATTCAATCACCTTCTATACCCTTCCATCCTCTCAGCAGTCATCGCTTACCAAACCACGGCCTTGCCTCACCCGCCTTCTCACGCACCCCGCGGGCGTCAGACTAGGATTTTTTCGAAGATCGTACACCGCTGACACATTCCACTTGACTAATAAAGGCAATGTAGAGAATAGAATGGCTCATCAGGCGGAAACCCACAAACAACAAGTGATAGAGGTGACCTTCGATGCCGCATTCTTGTGACGCCGTATCACGATGTCAAATGCCCGCGTTGCTCCAGTACGGACAATTCGTGGCCCACACATAGTCATGGCCCCCAGTCAGGGAGATTCCTACGCAGACATGATGCCCGAAGAGAGACATGGAAAACCGTGATATTTGAAAACGCCCCTAGTAACCCAGTCGGAAAACAGAACCTCAATCCGAACTAGTATCTTCTTGAGCAGCGTCGTCTTTTGAAGATCCATAACAACTCAGACCACAAGCCCGTGAGGCGGAAATATACACTCACCCTTCCCATCCATCTCCAAAATCAGGTCGCCTTCCCCATCACCATCCCACCGGCTCTCCACATCCTCCATCAATCCCCATACCCATACCCAAACCCCCCCCGCCGCCCCATCCACCCCCACCCAACCACCGCCGATACTCCCACCCCATCCCCAAAACATCCACTCAGCAGCCCTAGCCCACCCCAGCAGCAAACCCCCTACCATCAACGCAACACCCCTCAGCCACCCACCTCACCCAATCCCCCACCCTCGCCTCCCCCCCCCCAGCCCTCGCCAAAAATGCCCCCGCTCCCGGCACAGTCGTAGCTAGACGCACGCTCGCATCCACGGGCGGCTCAACTTTGCAAGCCCATAAAGAACCGCCACGCACACGGACGCGCTCGCTCCTCGACGGACCAACTCGGCGGCATCGTCGCTTGAGACCGTAGCGGAGAATGTGGGCGCCACGGATGAAGAGGAAGGATGTGTTTGAGGCGCCGAGCTTCGTCTTGTGTGTAGGGAGGTTTCTAACGTGGCATTTCTTGGCGGGAAAGGGATGGGCGGGGATTGTGGGGTGGATGACGGGTTTCGGGTGGAGGTGGAGGTGGGTGGATGGATGGATGGATGGATGGATGGATGGATGGATGGAGGGTGGATGGATGGATGGATGGGTGGATGGATGGATGGGGTTGGGTGAGGGGGGTGAGGGGAGGGGGGGAGGGGGGGGAGGGGGGGGGGGGAGGGGGGGGAGGGGGGGGAGGGGGAGGGGGGGGAGGGGGGGAGGGGAGGGGAGGGGGGGAAGGGAGGGGAGGGGGAGGGGGGTTTGGAGATGGTGGAGTTGGTTTGATTTGATTTGATTTGTTAAGATATGATGTAATGTGATATGATATGATGTGATATGGGCGACGACTACTACTACTACTACCAACCAATCTCCCATCCATCTTCCTCCTCCCTCCCTCCATCCATCCATCCATCCATCCATCCATCCATCCATCCATCCATCCATCTTCCCTCCCTTCCTCCCTTCCCTCTCCATCCTACTCTGCCAGATCTCATACATACATACATACATACATACATACATACACTACAGCAAGGGTCAAGCAAAAACGCCGAGCGAGCCTAACACGCGCCGCCCCCCCCCCCTAAAAAAAGGAAAAGGAAAAAAAAGGAAAAGGAAAAGGAAAAGGAAAAAGAAAAGGAAAAGAAAGGAAAAGGAAAAGAAAACAGAAAACAGAAACAGAAAAGGAAAAGGAAAAAAGAAACCAGAAAAAAGAAAAAACGACAGAAAAGAAACCAACGCAGCACATACTCAGCACCCGAAGAAAGATCAAACCCGCACTTTCTGAACCGAAATATTCCTCAATTCTGATTCCTACATAGAAGGACAGAGTACCTAGATATCTTACACGACTCATATCTAGCGTTACAATATCCACACCCAATCCACGTGTGTCCAAAATACAACCCAGCCAAGCGCCCAATCATCCAGCCCATACCTTGTCAAGAAACAGACGGGATCGAATGATAACCGTTCATCCATCCATCCATCCATCTATCAATCTATCAATCCATCTATCCATCAATCCATCCAGCATAAAGACCGCCAGCCACAGCCGAGTTCAACGGGGCAAGATGCGCAAGTTCATGTGGGATTATTGCAGAGATGGAGCAAGATGCCTTTTTTTTTTTTCGTTTGCGAAGCCAGGGCTTCGAGCCACTGGCGAGTGATACAGGTCCGGGAAGAAGTGGAGTGTAGATCCACAAACATCGCGAAGGTGGCATCGATCGCTCCGAGTAGAGATCCGCATCGTAAAGGCAAGTCCCAAAAGCGGCACACAGCCCGACGACCAGGGATCTAGATGGCGAAACTTGTGTAAAATTTCCGCCTGCTGCGAGCTCTTCGGAGAGCAAGGTATCGTTGTCCAAAACTTTTGGCCAGCAGCGAAGCCACCACGCCGAAACGCCAAGAAATTGGATACAATCCACCGTTTGAGAACGTACATTTCATCAATTTTTCCAGTAACCCAACCTGAAACCCCCCCCCCTGGATGTTCACTGTGCGGCCCACATTCCCAAAAAACCCCCTTTTAATGCGCCTTCAGGTCTGAGTCGACTCTGACCCTGCAGTGCTTGCATTTTCGGCAACGGCCAAGTTGCCTCTCTCGGCGTAGATCTTTTCCTTTTGCGCTTGTGCAGCTTGTAAGCAGTCGATATAGGTTTTGAATTTCACGATCTCGTGCAATAGGTAAGACGACTTGCGCTCCCAATTCGCCATTGCTTTCGTACTGTTCGGGTGACGAGAAGAGAACTAGGCAATTGTTAGTAATCGTACTTTGTTCTAGGGTCGGACGCAGAAAATGTTACTCACTGCCAGTAGCATCGCCCCCCTCAGGTCATTGTGCTTCTGAAAGTCCTCCGTAATATTCTTCACGTATGTGAGCAGCGCTTTGAGCTGATCCACCTCCATCAAGACACTGGCGACCATACTCTGTTGCGGTGGCGTCCAATCAGTAATCACGACTCTGTCTCCTGGCAGTCTTGGCTTGAAGTTTCCTTGATCGATCGAGCTTCTTGCACTTCGAATTGAACTCTGTAGACTCGGTCTAGGTCCTGAGCTGCCGGCAACCGAGAAGGATGCGTTCTTCTCAACATTCAAGAAGGAGGTATCAACGACGGACTCGCCCCAGCCGTACTCTATGTTACTTATACCGCCGACCATTGGCTCTTTTGATAGACGTGCGCTCCAGTAATTGGCTGTCATCACGAATTCTCTAACAATCTCTGGTGTGCCGACTTGGAAGAAATGGACCGCGCCTGTAGGCAACGTGAGTGCCCAGACATGAGGTCTGGTCTTTGAGTAACCAGGAGGTGGAAGGCCGCTGGCAATAGTCTGGCGAAGGAGGAAGGTGCCAAGAGTTTCGGCGCTGTCAGCCCAGTTACCCCCACCGACGACACCACCAGGAGCTCTTTGGTTTTTGGCTTTTTGACGGAGGGATTTGGCGTTCATGCTGAAAGAGAATAGACGCAAATAGCCTTTTTCAATGACAGCGAAGCTCTCAACCCAATTTCTATCCTTGGCTCTCTTATCGACGGACTCAAGATGATGCTTGTGCTTCAGGATGCCCTCTTTGGCCCATGGTGCACCCGCAAGTTCCAAGCTCTCGTCTTCGAGGAGCGGAGCAACGCGAAGGGTCTCTTCCTCACCCGCTGTACCCTCTTCACGTATAATAGCTTGGCTCAAAGCATTGGCGAATCCGATCGATTGTTGATAGTCGCCCTGCGGATAGTTCGATGCCAAAGAGTCCATAGAGATGGTTGTCTGAGTCTTGCCGAAAGATGAGAATTTGCTCCACGCACTAGTGACAGAAGGGCTTGTGACAGAAGACTGTTCATCCAAACTAGACCGTCGGCTGGAGGCTACGGTTCCTGAAGTGGAAGCCGGATAAAGGCGTGGCCTAGACCTATTCTTCGACTGCCATCTGCCTGTACCTAGCCGCTGCTCCGGCCCTTGACGACCCCGGGTGTAGCTGACATTCTCGGAACCAGCTTTGCTGAGCATGCTAGGTGTGCGGCGGAGCATGCTATTGGTCATGGTGGAAAGACTATTTGATGTATGCGGTGTTTGCGGACCAGGCTCTGTAGTCTCGGTCCCATGGAGAGGTAATGGTTGTTGGCGAATGGAGACGTAGAAGTCCTTGAGAATAATCTCGATCTGATTCTCCCAGGTACTCTGTTTGCCGTGAAACCCAGTTCTTACGAATGGGCCACTGTCACCCTGAGAAGTCGCGTAGTCAAGCTGTGTAAATGGAGTCGAAGTGTAAACTGTATGGTCAGATGGTCGCTGCGACAGTTGATAGAGCGGCCTTTGGCCCTCGAATGATCGCCGTCCTTCGTGAGACGTCGGCGTCTTGCCGCTGGAGTGCAAAGAATCTACCCATGGTCGCGGAGGAGGAAGCGTAGAGGCACGGTTGTTGGTGAAAACATCTGGAGCAGCATCGGAAACTACACGACGGATGGTGGGTAGAATGTTCTTCAGGAACTGCTGGCGCGTCATCTTTGTCTCAATCTCTGCCTGATGCAAGTCCGTGTTTAGCAGCAACACCGAGTAGCAGATCGTATGCACGACATCTGCGGTGCTGTTAGCTGAGCGACTCTAGACTTGCGGTCAGACATACCTGTAGCTTTGAACCCATGACTGGGATTGCAAGCACACCAGCGGTTAGAGAAGGCATCGAGGATACGGTCTACCTGCTGAGCTTCGCCTTTCAGGTACAGCTTACCGCACAATCCCCGCAAAGCAGCGAGGATGTTAATGTTCTGCCAGTCAAAGAGCTCCACATAGGCTTGTCGCACACGCATACGTTCTGGACCTGGTTCTCCAAGCCAAGCGGCGGCCGTTGGCTTGCTCGCCAAGCTTTCTTCGCCGTCGTAGATTTGCTGGGCCTGCGCACGATCTGTCTCAGTCGGTTGGCTTGGATCGATTTCCACACTAAGCTTGTGCGCTGCATCCTCTGGCGTTGGCTCGGGGAAATGGATGTCATCGTTTGGCTTCGACGCGCTTTGAACCGAAGAAGCAGAATGATAGTCACTGACAGGAGAGACCTCAGCGCCGTCAGTGAACATGGCGTCATCTAGCTTGGGTAGCTTTTGCTCAGGACTGTCAGGCTGCAGCCACACCCGCCGAGAGCGGTCAGACGTCTCTAAAGGCCCTGGGGGGGACGAACGATTCTTGCTGGGTGTCATTTGCAATGGGGTGAGCCATTCCCTTGGTTCGGACTTTGCACGAGTTGCATGAGCAGCGCGTTGCGATATGGACGAATTGTTATTGCGTGTAGAGAGCATATTCCGATTTCTTGTAGAGTCGGACTCCTTCGGCTTAGAGCGAGGTCGTGCATTCTCTCTGCGCGATGCCGAAGAGCTAGGGAAGCTCGTTGGTGGTTGATCGAGATTCACCGTACCTTGACGTGCGAGCTGAGGTTCACTAGCAGCTCCAGGTATCCTCGTCTCGTTGCTGCTGTCATCATGCAGAAAAGAATTGTCATGGGGTTTCGAGGACGTTCTGTCGTCAGGTGTGAGGTGGACTCTCTCGGCAAGGGCTTCCCGCCTTGACGTTGACATGTCTCGAACCTTGCTGAGAGGATGGTTGAATCCAGCATCATTCCCTAGATCATAATCTTGGTTGATGGGCTCAACCGACCCTTTGGCTTGTAGAGTATGAGTATGTGGAGTGGCAAAGTCGCCGCCGGTTGTACCTGCAAACTGTTGGGCGTTGGAACGCATCGGGTCGTCAAGGAAAGGATTCATGACTTGGCGTAGACTGCTCACAGGACTCTGCTCTATTGGGTCAGAGAGAGGTGGACGATGAGACCTCACGTTCAATGGAAGCAGTGGAGGTGGCACATCCTCAGACAAGGACTTTTTCCGCCGTCTGAAGAATGAAGAATGCTTTTTGGCTAGGGGTGGGTTGACGCTTTCGGGCAAGGCATGCAAAGGCTCCTCTGGTGCAGCTGGCTTTGAAAGCTTGTGGGGTGTTGCGAAGCCTTCTCGACTGTTTACTCTCGTATGATCCAGTAGTGGAGGGAAATGGGGTGCTTGAAGGTCGTTTGTTGCAGGCGGAGGGTCCTTTGATGATCCGAACATCCTTCTGAAGAATCCAGGCCGCTCTCTCGTAGAATCCTTCGATTGTATGGTCGAATGAGCCGTTGAGTCCTGTCTTTGGGCCACAAGAGGATCCGAATACTGTCTCACCGGGCTCGGGTTCCGCGACTTCAGGAACATGGGCATAGGACTGATCTGTTTTGAACCCCGCCTGGATGCTGCATATGCACTGCTATTTGGTGGCATGGGTGCGTCCCACGCAGCTGTATCACTTTTCTTCTTCTTGGCTGGCTGGCTTCTTGATGACGCCTTGCTGCTTCTCCGGTGATGTGTGGGGGCCTGTGGTTGTGCTTGAGGTGGATATGCTGAGGCTCTGTCTTTCCGAGGCCCTCCAGGTACGGTAGGTGTTGGTGCAGCGTCAGAGTCGTCGTATATTACTGGGCGAGATCGACTACTTGGTAGTGGTGGTGGTGCTTGTGTTGTAGAGCTGGATGCCGAATGCACAATGCGAATCCTTTCTCCCTGATCGAAGCTTGCCGAACGCCGCCCAAGGGCATGTGGAAATCTTGACGGTCCTCCCATCTTGCCCAGATCTACACTTGATGAACCACTGCTCTTGCTGCTTTTCCTAGCACCTATTGACGCTGACTGGGTACGGAAGACCTTTTCTTTCGCGGTTTCACCTGCGTCGCCTTCCCCATGAACACTGTCTATTCGGCCGAGTCCGGATTGAAAGGTAGAGCTGCTGTGACTCCGGCGGCCTCGTGGGAGGTGAGCAGAATGTCGGTTTGGCGAGTCGTCCGAGGGAAATGTGAAGTCGGAATTGAAAGATGCGGAGTGTAGATGTCGGGGCGCACTGTTTGGCTGCGAGGTCGGATTGGAGCTTGCAGAGAACGGTGGGGGGCCGGTTGGCGGCGAAAAGGATTTGGGCTGGTCAGGATTGAGGGACATGAGCATGTTGTCCACCACCGAATGCCGGGTATTGTCTGTCAATGACAGATCATGCGAAATCCTCTCATCCCGAATGATTCCTTCTGCATGGCCCCTTGCATTATCCTCCATATGTGTCTCACGTGGCGCTCGATGCGCCTGCTTCGATGCACGCTTGGTCTTAATTTTATTTTTCGGTGTCTGAAGGGGCGGATCATTGGTTGTTGCGTTTGAGGCTGCAGATCTGACGCTCAGAGGTCGGGGAGCGTCTGCACGTCGCACGAAAGATGCTGGAGTATCTTTGCGGTTCATCATCGCGGCAAGCGAGGGAACTGCTGTCCTTTCAAGACGTCTACGACGTCGGCTCTTGAAACAAGACGGCCCATGGATGAGTGCACGGGCAGCAATGAGGCCCAGGATGCCAAATGGTGCTTCCGCCAGAGGCCAAAGCCCGCATCAACAATACTCCGTAATGGTGTGCTGATTTCCCGGTGCAGGCAAGCTCACTGTGCAGCTTTCCAGATTTCTGGATAAGCGTCGAGATTGGATTGGCTGAGGGTTGACGTGGGGTGGGTCAGATGGAGGAGGGGATAGGTGGGATGGGCGGTGGGAAAATTGGAGAGTTGCCGGACAGCTGCAGGAGGTGCAGGGATCTTCACAAGCACCATACCTAAGGTACTTACCTAGGTACGGTACTTTACTTTACTCTATGACTTCTTCTTGGGGTCTTGGGGACAGGCAAAACTACCTAGCTACAACCACAGCAGAAATCTCTACAGCTTCTACGAGTTCTCTCATATGACATCTTCTCAACCAATAGTGACAGCAAAGCGATCAATGTTAGTGGAAGAGTACTACGGAGTACCAGAGGGTCAAGGTTCTGTAGGTATGGCCAGCACTTGAGGCTTGAGCGCCACAGGTGTTTATGAAGCATATTTCCACTCTCCTTTTTACTTTTCTACCTACTGCACACTGTGCAGAGGTTGAATGGTAACTGATAATTATAGGATAGGGAAATATCATGGATGGATGCAAGCTTGTCAGAGGTAGCACACCCTCATCCATCATCCCTCATCGCCCCCAGAAGAGGAGAAATTGCGAAACCCCTGGATCCTGCAGTTCCACCAGTTCTACAAGACGCTCGGGCCACCCTTGAGCTAGATAAGGACTAGCGTCAGGTACCCGTCAAAGTGCTTGGCTCCCAGAGTTCTTGGCGCTCTGCAGCCTTGCGAACAGGCAGCCAATGTGAGGTCGATATTCATTCGTTTGAAGGAAAGATGATGGCAATTTTAAACGTGTCTTCGGTCAGAATTCGCCACATTGCTCCTTCATTTGTCAAGTTCCCAAAGCTGGAACCAGATTACAAATGGATGACTCTGTCTAAGTTAGGTATGCTCCTCTTACTGTAACAAGGGACAACAGATTACGCTTATTATCCCTGCAAGGTGAATCGATCTGTGAATTGACCTATGTAGTCCAATCTATTCCATACTATTTCATATTTCATGCATGCGGATTGCGAATACAATGCATTATCATCTTGTTGGGCGGGCCGACTGCAAGATCGCTACATCATCTGCCATTGGTCAAAAGCTGAGTGCTACCGAGAATGGTGCCCTTGCCTTTCTTCTTTTCTCCCACCATTCCACACGCTGCTTTTCCATCGCTTCTATTTGTATTGACCAAAGGGAGGACACCGAAAAAGGACATCAGATGGCTTTGAGGAAGGAAGTCTACACACGGGCCGTGAAAAAGCATCGCTTGGCTGGCTAATTTAACACCAAATGTGGACCTGGCGTTGGACAATGTACAATCGATCGGTGAGAAGCGTCTAGCCGTCACAGCAGGACGACATTTATTAGCTGCGGGCAATGTCACACTGAGCTCTCATGCATTACCCGAGCGTGCGTTGCCCTTGTCATCCGGTTTCGGAGACTTCCATGATCGGCCATGGTTCACGCGTCTGTGGGTCATGCAGGAGGCGATCCTACCAGCTACTGTTAAGATCATGTGCGGTCAGTGGTCACAGGATATTGAGCTGGAGCGTTTTATCACCACTGAACGGATTCTTCGGATTCGCTGCCCTGCGATCACTGGTGATGCTGGGGAGGTATTCGATGCCTGCTGAATTCAGCACCGTTACTAGACATCACAGATGACAAAGAGAAGTACAATATTCATAAAGAAAGTCGAAAAGCATTCCTGAACTTCTTGACATTACTTCACGCGAACCAATCGATTTCGGCAACGAAAACGGAAGGTCCATCCTACGGCTTGCGCGGGCTGGCAGATCGTGAATTGCGAAAACAAATGTCAATCCACCATGGTGACACTCCAGTCGAAGCATATCAAATGTTTGCAAGGGCAGTACTGCTGTCCAGTCCGAGTCCAACCTTTCTCAATCTAGCTTCCTCGAAGCGGCCCATACCCGGTTTGCCATCATGGTGTCCAAATCTCAGCACAATGGCGTTTCATTCTTGGCCTACCGCAACGGACAGACTGTACTCCCACTGGTGCACTATACGCGGCTGTTTGTGATGCTCAGACCCTGGGGAAATGCTGCACCTACAGTCCTAACAGTACGCACCCTGTTGGTGACCAGCCTGCGCTGTTAGGTTTTCAGGGTATCCCTGTGGACCGTGTCGCCAAGGTGAATACCCCAGCAGCTTTTCATGATCGTGAGCGCGAACCTACTCCCAGTGTTATAGAAGCAGCTGAAGCGTTAGCATGGGAGGCCAATCGTCTTCACCTCTCGCAATCTGCGTATCGTGTGGACGATGGAACCGTGCCTGATGCTTACTTTCGCACACTCATAGCAGCAAGGCGGACTTTCCAAACTCGTGAGCACTACGAGAGAACGAAAGGTTGCCTCGAGCAGCTGCCAGGCGAACGGCCTGAGGCAAACTCACCTAAACACGCCGGCGCCGATAGTTACTACGAAGCGATAGATCTTGTTTGCCGTGGTCGTGCATTCTTCTCAACGGAGCAAGGGCGAACTAGTTTCGGTCCTCTGGACACACTGACAGGAGATCAATATTGCGTCTTCCACGCCCTTCCTACTCCAAGAAGTCGGGGCGTCTCCTCTCATCAAAGTCACCATTGGGGAATCGTATATCGAAGACATTCTGTACGGTGAATCGTTCAAGCAGCCGCCACTCAATGACGAGCTTTCTCAGTCGAATGAGGGTGCCATATGCACAGCGAAAGAGAAGCAACCGGAGACCGCGGTCGAAGGAATCGCGCAAACATGTCCAGCAGAAAACATCCTCTAATGCATAAGATATTTGCGAACCAAGCATAAAAATCTATCCCTCATCCACCCAACCCATCACCCACGCCCAACCAGCGCCCCACGTAGCCTTCATAAAAACCACCCCTATCCCCTCCCCCACCCTCCCCCATCCCACCCTCAAGCAAACGTATCATCCGGCCAGCACTTCTCCTTCGTCCACACCTTCTGATCATGCGTCTCGGCATGGACCTTCTTCTGCGTCTGATTCGACGCCACAATCTCCTTCATGCAATACGCGCACTAAACCCCCCCACCACACCATCATCAGCACACACCCGCGCGATTCGTGGAAAATCCGGTCGGTTAACGTACCTTTGACATGGGCGTGGGCGCTTTGACGGGGTTGCCGTTGGCCTTGACGGGGGTGCGCGTCCCGGCCGCGTCGGCTTTCTTGTGCTCGCGGTTGATCTGCAACGGTGGTGGTCAGCCGGGGGAGATCTGGGCTGGGGGATCGATGGAGGGGGGGGGGGGGGGGGGGCAAACGAACACGGTCTTTCTTTGAGATGGGCATGATTGCGGTGGGGGGGGGGTATCTAATGTGATCGATCCGCCGAGGGCGTCTGGTGGGGGAAAAAGGATTGTGCGGAGGTCCAAGAATGGTTGAGGAGATGTGAGATGGAAAAATGCTCGAAATGTGAGTGATTAGGACCGGGGGTGTAAATTCGAAGCAGATAAGATTTCTGCGCACAGCCCTGACGAAGAAGCCCTGAGCATTATCCTCATGAGCGGCTATGCGCTTAACTCCATCCACGGCGCCTAACGTCGACGCCAAGCCCGCATTGTAAGTACTTTATGCCCGTGCTTCTGGAGCAACCCCATCTTGCCTACAGAGAGAGAGAGAGAGAAAGAAAGAGAATTCCACCATCCGCCGTCCCATCGTCGCAGTTTCCCAACCAGCGTTCGCGCAATACATACCATCTCCAATGAACCCGCACATTTCGATACCGCGACAGCATGGGGGGACGCCGAGCTTCGGGGGGACGACGCCGGCGAGTCGGTCGGAGGGGCTACGGATGCCGCGGTTCTTCAAGAGGTGCGTGCGATTTGGTTTGTTTGTTGGGGGAGAAGTCGGGGGAAGAGAGTTAGATGGAGACTTTTGACTGTGGGGGCGATGCCGTTGTGCTGCGAAATTGGGCGGGCGGGTTGAGGAGAGAGAGAGAGGGAGAGAGAGAGAGGAAGAGTAGGAGAGCTGACGGCTTGCGACTGTCAGATTGTTCAAGTTCCCCCAGATGGATTTCGAAATGGCAACGTGGGAGATGACGAGTCTCCTGATCGCGCCCAAGAAGGTCTTCCGGTCCATCTACTATCACGTATATACCACCCCATCGTTCCCAATCTCCCACGCAAAAGCCGTCAGCTAACAGTGGCCCCTTTCAGAAACGTACGCCTGTCCACACCCCCCCCTTTCCCTTCCATTCCAACCCCTAACGAACCCACCCGCGCAGAAACGAAAAACACATGGCACCGCCCCGATCCCTCCTTCACCTACCTGCTCTCATTCTTCATGCTCCTCACCGGCATCGCCTGGGGCATCGCCTACACGGACACGGTCGGCGCGACGGTGCGGCTCACCCTGCTGTTCGTCTTCGTGCACTTCCTGGCCGCGTCGCTGCTGGTGGCGACGGCGGCGTTCTTCCTGGTGGGCCGGCTGCTCGGACCGGGCATTGCGGGATTGCCGGGGCGGAGGAGACGGCAGGGGCTGTTTACGCAGGCGGGGGAGGGGGAACAGTTGGAATTCGGGTATTGTTTTGATGTGAGTGGCGGAGCGACTTGTGGGGATGGGAAGGAGGGTGGGGCAGGCTGACGGGGGGGGTGATGCAGGTCGCTATACGAGCGTTCTTTCCGGTCTGGGTATGGTTGTACGTCATGCAATTTATCCTTTGGCCGCTGATAGCGAGGGACAACTGGTAAGGATCAAGACACCTGAGTTTTCGGATCCCATGGCTGACATTGCTCCTTTCTCAGGGTATCTATGTTCTTTGGGAACACTTTGTACCTAGTAGCGTTGGGCTACTATACCGTCATCTGCTTCCTGGGATACAACGGTAAGTTCAAAACCTGTCCCAACAGAACTGTCGACGGCTGACGTCCGCTATCAGCTCTACCTTTCCTTCACCACACCGAGCTCCTTCTCTCTCCCTGTTTTGTGTATGCTATACTTTGGTTCGCCAGCCTCTTCGGCTTCAACATAGCGAAGCACGTCGGTCCTCTGCTGATAACGGGGGCTGGATGATTTGGAGATGCCGATTCGTAATATTGTACAAAAGATCATGCGGCATTTAGCGCGGCGTTTTGGGTGATGATAGCATAGACGAGCAAAATTGGATTCTGACAGCATGGGCTCGATCGGTGCGGCCGAAGCATTTATCTGCAACATTCAACCGGAATGAAAAGCCTTTGAGATTTCGTTGCATATCGGTTGATCAAAGCCCCTCAGCCTTTTGGTGGTTCCTTCGGTGGCAGCATCAAAACGTACTCTCTGGCCACAAGTTAGCAAGACTCGTACATCACAACGTCCAAAATGTATCAACAAACCTTGTAGATTCACCCAAAGTCACGACATCGCCACTCCTGACCTCCACATATCTCCTCTCCGGCACTTTCTCCCCATTCACCCTCGTCCCGTTCGCACTGTCCAAGTCAATTACATAAGGCTTCACTCCACCCTTTTTCTCCCCCCACTCATCTTTCTTCTCCGTATACCTGAACTGCAGAACCGCATGCTGCTTACTGCAACTCGGATGCTCAGTCGGAAAATCCACCACCGCTCTCTCCCGTCCAAACAACCAGCAGGAGCGCTCGTGTAGAGGCAATGTTTCGAGGAGATCTGAGCCCTTGAAGACGTAAAGACGCCAGGCGGAGGAAGAAGGGGGGAGGCGCGCTTCGGGTGGTTCGTTGTATTTGAGGACGATGGAGGTGTTGGCGACGGTGTTTGTTTCTGCGGCGAGTTTACCGGTGGGAGCATAGTTTGGCTTTTGTTTTTCGACCTCTTCGGGTGCTTTGACGACGGCGTCGGAGGTTGGATCCTTCTTGAAGGCTGCTTGTTGCGAGGGGAGCGGACCATTCGAGCGCTTCGAGGCAGGTGGAGGAGTGGGTGAGCGGCGTTGGGGAGGAGGGGATTTCCGTCGCTCGGCATGGTAGCTGGAGTACCTGCGACCGTCTCGAGAGTCATGACGCCTCCGCTTCGGCGGAGGAGAGCGGGATGCGCTGTGGTCACGCTTTGAAAGTTTGCGATCGTCTCGAGAGCTTCGAGGGCGGTGGGGCGGCGATCTGCTGCTGGACGCATGCTCTCTTCTCTCCCTTCTATAATCTTTGCGTGGACTTCTTGAACGATGCCTCCTCCTGCGATAGTCTGATCTCGAGTCGTCTCTCACTGTTGCACCATTCTTGTTCCCCGGTTGAGGTCGGTCAAAGCTCCGTTTCCTCTCAGGTCTGTCTCTCCTTTTTCGATCATCTTCAGACTCAATCGAGTATCTTCGCCTACGGTCTCTCGTACTACCAAAGTCCGACCCGCGGTCCGACATATTTTGAGGTTCTTTCAACGCTTTTCACAACCAATCCAAATATTTGCCCGCAAATGCCAAGAAGACCCTCGCGCTTATGGCGTCTCCAGCGGCTCAAGCTATGAATAAAGTAAGTAGCGCAATTGAAGTAAATATAGTATTTTTGAACAAGCCACCTTGGTCTCTGCCCACGGCTTTTGGTCATAATTTCAAGGCCGCGCTGGATCATCCTTGGCGGCTGTGAGAGGGACTTGTCAATTTCGACCAGAGAGGCTCTTGAATTCAATGATCGTTCTTGGCGTAAGCCCGCTTACTTTACAGGCAAGACATTCCTTTTTCGGCAAGCTGAGCACTTCTTTTGCGAACCTTCACGGCGAACTTTAGCTTGCGCCTCTAGACCATAGTAAGCTCTCAATCAGCCCACCTATCACGGCATTGCCTGTATTAGGTAATTCTCGCTTCGTCCATGCAAGATCAAGTAAGCAGAGCTAGAAACCAACTGGCCCGCCCTATAAAAGGGACTATCTTCAGCGATTGTTTAGCCAAAATATGTGAAAGTAAGAAAGATAGATCGCTGTTGGCGCTGACTAGATGAAGAGGTCTGAGACCTCTTATATATTTGCCATGCCTCCCTCGCATTTTATTACACATTCCTCTAAAGTATTGTCCTTGTCCTTTTCATCAAAAATCATCATATCTCGCGAACTTTTTCTCGACGTTTATTGAAGATGGCGCAAGCAGAGATGGTAATACAGGGTCAGTAGATATCCTTGACGGTTGCTGATTCGTTCTAATGCCCAAAAGGTGTGGAGGGGGCAACTCAAGCAGTGGTTGGGGTAGCAGATGCCGCTGCTCACATTATGGACGTTGCGAGGGATGAAGCAGCCAAATGTAAGGAAGCCGCCAGAAACGACAACAATGAATTCAACATACGCAAAAATTTCCTCGATAACGCGGTCAACTCCATCAAAACGGCGACATGCGGACAGTACAATATCGTTATTGCAACAGATCAACAAAAGGACGATTTCCAGAATCTCAAGGGCCAGATTCTTCCTATGGACCTTCTCGATGTGGAAGTATCCCAAGGCAAAATTGTCAATTTCGAAGTCTACGTGTTCGACACCGGAAACTATCTCAGACACGGCAAATACGAGCAAGATTCCTGGTGGTATTTTGGGGAGTCAAAGAAATGGTACGACCCCATGGCTATGCACGTGGACTTCGACAACGCACAGAAGAAGCTCGACCCGGCTGCAATCAAGAAGCAGCAGGACGACAAAGCGGCATCGGACAAGACCGCAGCGGATGCGGCGGCTGCAGCAAAAGCCCAACAGGACAGAGCGTCTGCAAGCAATGCCGCTGCGCTCAATACTGATGCTGCTGGAAAGGCTCAAGCGGCGCAAGCTACAGGTGGGACGGCGAAGAGTACTCCGGCACCGAGCGCACCAGCTGCTCCGGGATTCACAGACCGTGAGTTTAGAATAACCCAGATCCTTTGGTAATAAAAACCATCTGCATTGCTAACAAGAAGTCAAGATCTCATGTCCGCCGCCGCCGGCCCGATGATGTCAATGTTCGTGGGAAAGGCTGTGGCTAAGTAGGTAGCGAGCTTTGGAGGTGTTACCCTAATTCGGTCTTGTGGTCACTTGGAGGAGGAAAAGGCGTTCTCATAGTTTTTAATCAAACGACAAAAATCAGGCAACATTTTGTGAGTTCCGTTACAAAGGTCTTCTGTTACGAATGCGAGAACATAGATGGTTAGAGTTTTGGCTCTACTTACATCCTTACCTACCATTTCTTGGGTGCGTTTACCACAGAACGTGAGAATACAGCGCTTGCTTCCTCTTGTCTCCGCATTTTTTGTTTGGCATTGATACCGGTCCGGTCAGTAACTGGTGTCGCATCAATGATGTTGTCGAAGGCATCATTGTCGCCCAAATCTGAGCCAGACTCAGAGTCTGAATCGACTGGAACAGACACCGTTCTTGTAATCTTTTCCGGCGGTCTCCTGTCTTCTATGCTCGGGTTCGAAAAGGGCTTTGATGCGAGCACTCGCCGTCGAAGCTCAGCCATTTCTTCTTCGTCATCCTCTTCGTCGGACATCGCTAATGGATCACCAACTTCAACCCCACCATCTTCGCCGTCCTCATCATTGCTCTTCGGAGCGTCCGAATCATCCTCATCTTCGTCATCCGAGTCGATCACAGGTCGTCGGTTCATATTGCCTCCTTTCCATGCGTCCTCACCGCCAGTGCCACCGTCCTCGACTCTGCTTTCTGAGTACTCGCGCTCGATCTTAGCCAGCCAGATTTCTTCTGCCTTCTTAATCTCTTCTTCATTGGCGCAGGCCGCATAGCGTTTCAGAAGCTGAGCGTTGATTTCAAGGAAGGGTTCGCCGTAGGAAAAATGCGCGAGCACTTCGTGTGCCCAGTCTTCATGTCCGCAGATGAAGAAGCAAGCTGCAAGGGCTTCTGCGCAGTTCAATCTCCAGGGTCGTCCATAGTTCACCGAGTTAGCTGCAACAAGGTATGGTACTATTCAACTGTGTCAGAATTTTAATCCTTCGCTGGCAGTAAGATAGCGCGTCAGCCATACAAAGTCTTTCGCACTTTCCACCGATCTTGGCCCAAGGAACCTCTTTAATCCTGACCCAAGAGCATTCCACCACAGCTGCCCCATACTGTTCCAGTAGCTCTTTATCTACCGCCGAAACAACCTTCTTTGCATTCGGTCTTTATCCTATAATCAGCGTATACTCTGTCTCCCAATAATTCCCAATTGCCTACGATATGACCACCCCTTGGAACTTCTGCCCAACTGACAGCTCCCGCATGAGCCCAAAATGCATGAGTCTTTTCCCGGAGCATCTTTTTGGATCGCAGTGCTCTAGATCCCAACAAGCTGCTTTGAATGGCGGTCTTCGATTCAGGGCTTCTCCGTCTTCGTTATGAGGGGTGGGGCGGTGGCGGGGTGCATTCGAGTGTTTCTTGCCTTTGGCAGAGAAGCCGTCCTTTTTGTGACGCATCTTATGAAACAAAGGTGTCGATATATTGGAACCGTGGATAGGGAGCCTACAACTGTAACTTCGTATAGAGTGTAGTGGCTATGATGCTCAGGATTTTGAGCAACTCAATGACATCCACACGGCTAAAGCCCGGGACGAGAGCGCCGCAGCATATCAGCACTGGTGCACTCATCGAGATCGTGGTACTTGCAAAGTTTCTGTTTTGAACACACCCGTTGTGACGTTTGACAAACCATTATACGACAGTCTCTGACCTTGAAACAACGGTTGCCACGGCTTTCGGGTTGCCGACACCATGGAAGCTGCCTCGGCGCGGTACGCAGCCAGAGACCGCTTTGGGGGGTTCGGAGAGCCGGCGCAAACTCCCTTACAGAGATACATCCGTAGGAGCTTAGGAATGGATATTAGGGATAGAGTAAACGGCTGATATGACCCCCCAGAGAATGCCGTGGACCCGCAGAACTACGAGCCAAACTTAGCCCTCGACCTTGAGATCTCGGACCTTGTCAATTCCAAAAAGGGCAACGCGTAAGACAAAACAGCCTTACATCCCAATACACTCATGGCTCACCCTACGATAGGCCTCGAGAAGCTGCAGTAGCAATCGTCAACTACATCAATCACAGAAATGCCAATGTGTCATTACTCGCGCTTGCGGTACGGTGGGGCAATCCCTGGCCACACGACATCCAGCTGATGCAGTAGCAGCTCCTCGACATCTGCGTCAAGAACTGCGGCTACCCTTTCCACCTTCAGATCAGTACCAAGGAATTTCTTAATGAGCTCGTCCGACGGTTTCCCGAACGACCGCCCATACGGCCCTCCCGAGTCCAGCTGAAGATATTAGAAGCTATCGAAGAATGGAGGCAGACAATATGTCAGACCTCACGGTACAAAGAAGACTTGGGGTTTATACGGGATATGCATCGGTTGTTAAGTTACAAGGGCTACGTTTTTCCTGAAGTGCGGAGAGAGGATGCTGCGGTCTTAAACCCTAGCGATGTAAGAACGGCCTTCAGCATTGAGGAGGCCTACCTAATTGTCACCAGAACCTCCAATCGGCGGATGAAATGGAAGAGGAAGAAAAGGCAGCCCAGTCTGCGAAGTTACAGGAGCTGATTCGAAGAGGAGGACCAGAAGACCTTCAAGAAGCGAACCGGTTAATGAAGGTCATGGCAGGCTACGACACGAAACACAAAACAGATTACAGGGCAAAAGCAGCGGAAGAGGTCGGAAAGATCCAGCAGAAGGCGAGATTGCTAGAGGAGAGATTACAAAACTTCAAAGCTGGCGATGTAGTGGCAGAGGGAGATATCTTCGAGGTATGCTTCTATTACCCCAGGAGTAGCAGAGAATCAGCAGCTGATTTTGATCAGGAGCTCGCAAATGCCCTTCAAAGCGCTCAGCCTAAAATTCACAGAATGTGCGAGGAAGAATCTGATGACCAGGAAGCCGTTGCAAAACTATTCGAGATAAACGACAGCATACATCGGACTATTGAAAGATACAAACTCATCAAGAAAGGCGATGTTGATGGAGCTTCCAAAATTCCTCAAGGCACTCTCGGCACGTCGACTGGCGTCAGCAAAACTGCGACTAACGAGCTCTCCTTAATCGATTTTAGCGGTGACCCAGAACCTACTACGAGCGCGAGCGGAAACGTGAACGGTTCTAGCGAACAGAAAGGTGCATCGTTGCAGGATGACTTATTAGGTCTCTCCGTTCAAGATCAAGACTACGGCCAAGGAGGAGGCATTGCTCTTGGATTCGGTGCAAACTCAAGTAACAAAAGCTTTGCCAGTGCTATGAGAAAACACACTGACCTCATCAAAGACGTACCTGGACCATCGCTTTTGTCATCGACCACACAGCACAGCTCCGCCAAGGCTTCTGGGTCGAATGCCACACCCCAACCACAGCAACCTCCTTTGCCTGCCAAACCTAATTACGACCCCTTCAAATTCGTGACAAGCTCTATCCCCTCGTCGCGATCGAGTACACCTGCGCCTCCCACTCTTCTCCAAACACAGCAAGCTGCAAAACCTTCACAATCCTCCGCGGATCCTTTTGCCGCGTTGTCATCGGCTGCTTCACGTACAGCATCCCCACTCCCAATGTCACAACCATCTACAAAGCCAGCTCCTCCGCCTTCTGCCTCCTTGTTTGACTTTGCATCTTCGAAACCTGCAGTAACTCAAAGCCAACCTGCACCAAACTCTCAACAAGCCACGAATGGTGCATCAGCCGATGACGACTGGACTTTTACCTCAGCACTGCCTGACGACGGCTCAGAGCTCCCAGCTCACAACAGTTTGACTGTCTCGAATACGGCAGTGAAAGTAGATTTTCGCGTAAAAAGACCCGAAAGCACTGATTCTGCCATATCAATAAGTGCCTTATTTTCCAATAACACACCCAGTCTCATTACCGAGTATACCCTTCAAGTTGCCGTAACCAAGGTAAATAGCATGTGAAGTCAAGCGGAACGTAATGCGTTGCTAACGTATTTTGATAGGGCTTCATGCTCAAGCTTACACCCCAGTCTGGGCGTACTTTACAGCCAAATCAGAAATACGGGATTACGCAGCACATAGTGCTCAACGGTGTGGCGAGAGGGCAAGCAAATTCTGCAATTATACGCTGGAAAGCCTCTTATAAGGTTGCTGGCGAATTACGGCAGGAACAAGGAGAGGTGCCCCCTTTGGGTATTGCTTGATATAGCAGCCATCTGTGCCTACAGAATTTTTTGAACGTAAGGGCCATGGCCTACCACCTTTTTCCACTGCTACAATACAGTGTCATTCCAACAGTGCCTATCTATTGATCAGCCGCCTTCGCGGTCCCAGAGATATACCCAGTAGCTTTCTGCTCTGACACCGCACCCTCCCCTTTCCACAATTCTAAAGCCGCGGACGCGGGCGAGTTGCTTTTCCATTTGCGCATATATGGCCCCAGAGACGCAATGACACCCCCCGTCTCGTAATACGTCAACGCAGCCGCCCCTGGGGGATCCAAAGCAAGACGAAAGCGTATGATCATCGGAGAGAATTCTTCTGACTGGTACTGAAATACGCCACCGGGGATGGGTTCGTCGAGCTCGGCATGGTTCGCCTGTTTGAGCTCGTTGAGGGCGGATATGGCTCGGTCGACGAGGGCTCGTAAGCTGCCGTAGGGGAGGCTGGGCTCGGAGTAGGAGTGGAAGGTTGTTAGGTAGCGGTTCTGGGCCCAGAGAATGTCGATGGGGTCCGGCGGGTCGCCGAGGGTTACATTGAATAGGTGCCTGCACAGACTTCATTGATAGGCTGCAAAAGTGTGGAGATTGAGGGAAGCTTACAATGAAGAGCTATTGGTGTCAAGTGTAGCAGTTATGTCTGGCACCTCCTGCGAGAGGCCTAATGTATCTGGAAGAATGCCCATTGCAAAGAGAGTACCAAAGCTCACTCGAAGCCCCAAAAATAATAGCTGGCTTGTGAGCATATTCATGTGCTTGGCGGTCTTTTTCAACATGTTTGATTCGACGAAACATGTGACGCAATATTTGATGAAAAGAGAAGCAGACGCTGCAAGTATCACGGAACCACGCTTTAAGGACATGAGGCTGCGCTGTCGCGAAGCGGCAGTGACAAAAGTGAGCCGCATATTCATACCTTAGTTTACTCACCACAATAGGCGCCTACGAGCTGTTTAAGTTTTATAGATCCATTAGAGACACTTGAAAGTAAAATCACTTTCACCGCTTCTGAGCTATTCCACCCAAAGTATGAAGATAACTGTGGGATTGAAAGAGTTGTCTAGAAAGCAGACAGAGCCTGTCTCCTTCATCGGAGCGCTGGATCACCTCTCTCTTCAAGCAGTGGTAATGATACTCTTCTGTGGGCTCCTAGGGAGAACGTAACAGTCCAGCGATGTTTGGATAGCAAGGTCAAAAATGTTGGCAAACATGAGTACTCGTAGTATCCAGAAGTGAGCTACCTCGCTTAGTAGCGCCGGCTATATCCACCAATTAGACTACTAGATTTCTCCGCAATATCATACTAGTTCTTATCTTAGATATAGAAGAGATAAACTATTATTCTTCAATAATGGCTTTAAATACTATATTCGTATGTAAGTGAGCCTTTCTACCAGTCTTCCTACATATAGCTAATCATGTAGAAACTCCAAACAACTTTCCTATCGGTCATCATCGCCCTCAAATAAACGATATTATTACATTCGCCCTCCGGGGACAGATATCTCTCAAACCTCTCTTACCAATATTACTATGCTTAACGATAACGGTATGATATTTCTAAGCTGGGTGAATCGTGGGTAAGAGAAGGATATGCTGGAACGTCGTCTGGAGTATAAGACTGAGACTAAATATATTATAGAAGTAACGAATTTTTAGTGGAATAAGGCTGGTGGTAGATGTTCCAGAGGAGATATATCTATCCTCTAAATTTATTACTATCTTTTAGATTATAATAGAGCTATAATTTAGCTCGCCAACGGCCCATAACTAGCTCATTTCATTTCCAATTTTCAACGAGTTCCACTCTCATTTCAGCTTCTCTCTACCTTATCTTTAAAAGCCTTATTAGCCTCTTAATTTTTCGCTAATAAAGCTATAATTCATCTTTTATAGAATTTTATAATAACTTTATTTAGTATAAATTAGATAAATTTAATATCTATTCTATCTTCTTTATTTTACGTTATTCTTATTTATCTTTATAAAGCTTAGTTACTTTAATATATACTAAGATATTATTCTTAATTACCTATATATCTTTATTAGAATTTCGAGTTATAACTTTCTCGATATATTTATATAAAAGAGTTAATAGAATATAATCTCTATACTACTCGATATTAATATTATAATCTTTAAAGATTAAAAGAGATATATACTTAAAAACCTACTCTAAAAAACGTTGTTTTTTTAGGCCTTTATTATATTTATCTTTATTACTCTCTCGAACTAGCTAATTATAAATATTAATTTATTAATTCTTATTTTATATTTTATTAGTATTTCTTATATAAAAGTTAATATAAAAATATACTTCTATAATAATATACTTTAGAGTTTCAGAGACTTTCGCGAGATTCTATTTTTCTATTATATCTTTTTTAAATTCTTAATTCTTTAATATAATTTCGACCTTTAACTTACGATATTTAATTATAATACGTATAAGTTAATAGTACTATAAATCGATATTAGACTTCGTAGAATATAAACTCTAATATATTTATATAAATTATACTAATATATCGATTATAGCTATCGTTTTAACTAGTTTTCCTTCCTCTATCGAAATACGACGTTATTTATAATTATTATCTTAAATTTTATAATAATATTCGTTATTAGCGATAAAGATAGATTCTTTATCTAACTCGCTAAGAATTTATATATAAAGATTATCTTATTTATATTTCTTATAATAATTTAGATATAACTTCTTTAGCTCGATTTTTCGCTTAATTCTTTTAATAATATAATCGTTATCGTTAGTCTTATATATATATTTAAAAGTAACTCTTATAAGAAGAAATTAAGAGACTAATAACTATAATTTATTTTTATCTCGTTTGTTTTTTTTGGCCTTAGAGATCTCGATATTTTCTTATTAAATAGTCTTTTTATAAAGTAATCTAGAGTGCTTTAGAATAGTCTAATAAACTATTCTTAAAAGATCTATTTAGTCTTCTATTCGAATAGAGACTTTAATTCTATTAAAGTCGTCTAAATATACTAAGATATTATTAAAATCCTCGTTTTTAGCTCTATTAAGCGCTCTTCGTATAATATTAGCTATAATATAAGCTTTTATATCTATTTTTCGCTTAATTATATTAAATTCTTTAAGATATAATAGTTTATAAATAATAACTACTACTCTAAGAGCGTAACTAATCTCGATATTATATAGAGCTATAGAATAATAATATAAGACTAGTTATAGTGGAGTATACTACTATAAACAATAAAATAAATATAGCTATTTGCCGAGAGACCCTGCCAAGACGCTAAATTTTAGCGTAGGTAGCTCACTTCTGGATACTACGAGTAGATGAGTGGTTCTGGGGTCAATAGTAGCACGTGCAAGATCTCCAACTAGCTCAGCCTTATGGGTCTCGAAGCTCTTCTCCCAAATCCTTTCCCGAATGCACCTACGTACATCCCAAAATACGATCACAGAGCATAGCTATGAATGCCGCCTCTGCTACGATCTGCTTCGATTCCAAGGGTCTATTTGGAGCTCCTGACTCCTGTAGCGGCGCTCAACGCAACCTTGCGACCCCAAGATGTTAGTGCCCCGTTCATGGGGCTGTTATCTTCGCCTTGCGCCGGACACGTCGCTGACGGCTACAGGTTGGCGCATTATGGTTCCGCAAACGCGGCGAGAAAAAAACCCTCCTCAGGACCCCCAGACGAACCCTTTTCGAGCTTCACGCCGGGCGACAAATTCTTCAATTACCCTTCGACCTAGTCCTGGAGACTATGAGCTCAGGAAGATCAGGCTCAGAGGTACGATTCACTACATCGGAAGACCTCATAGCTGCTCTGGGACCCATGGGGCCCCAGTATGTAGACCTGCAGCAAAGCATTGACAAGGTGAATCTGTCCTATGTCAGGAATCCAATGCTCCTCGTTCAGAACAGAGAGGAAGCCATCAGAGAAGCCAGGCATGCCGAGAGAGAGGCAAAGATTGCGCGGAAGGAACCAATCCATCGAATAACTTTGAAAGACTTGCTTATTCAATATCTACGGCATGTGGATCCCATACTCGAGTATCAAGCTCGTCTCAAGAATCCAAATTCCCCATGTAAAGGATTGGACGACGCATTGCTGGAGCTCTTCAACGAGGATAACACCAGATTTCTTGGTCGTAGAGGGTGGGATGTAACCGACTTAATGAATTGGACCTGGGTTTTGACCTCGGAGACGACCGAACGTGCAGCAACTCGACTGTTGGCGATTGCGCATCAGGGATTCCCAAAGCTTGGAGATGGGATGTTGATCCCCCAATTTGTCTTTCTTTTCTTACTTCGTCGACGAAATCCGAGCGCAGAGGCCCTGAGGTCTTTGTTGATCTACGCTTGGGAACTGATGGAGAAGTCGGAAAGCTTGCTGGAACCGTTACCTCCACTGGAGAAGCTCGCGGATGATGCACTCCAAGGAAAGAACCTCACAAATACTCGCGTTGTCAAAAGCGCAGAAGACGATCCGCTCGGGATGAACGGAAGCGTCTTCATGATTATGGTTATAAGGCTACTACGTTCTGCTCGCACGGTGTGGCCAGCAGCTTGCGACAACATCGTAGCCTTAGTCAATCGATATTTGGACGGCGTCAATTTCCGTGCAGGGGCCTCGCAAATGACCACTCTGACTTCAGAAGACACAACGCAACTTACGTACATGTACAACACGCTCTTGAAATTGGTGTCGCTTCCAGCGTCAACAGGGCCCTTCCAGTCCGCATTTTACCAGCAGCGAGCGCAATTCAGTCTTTTGAGAAGGATGAATCAGTTTCAACCACCCTTGATTGTCGACAGAAGAGGATATCGCGCTGTTGTCAGTATGCAACTAAGGCATAAGAAGACCTTGAAGGAGCGTGAATGGGCGCAGATGAAAGCAAAATCATGGCCTCCCTGGAAAGAAGAGAAGCTCGGTATAGACGCTAATATCAGTGTCGAGCATGGAACCAGTCGGGCCATGGAAGCTATGAGGCGATCTTGGGAAGCAGGATATGGTCCGGATAATTGGGATATAGGTGCCTCAATCCTTGCAGGCTGGGACACCGATGGTAGTCCTACTATACAGACCCGTGCAGTCTATCTTCCTCATGATCCTCATGAGCGTCGTACCGAAGACGCACAGATCTGGGTTGCTCGAATACGATCGACAAGGACTCTCAATGAAGCTTGGTCTTGCTTCCTGTCGTACAAAGATCAGGAATTCAGATCTGGAGGAGCTTTCTATGTGTACCATCAAATGTTTGAAAAAATTGTGCAGGATGCCAAAAGACCGCCCGCTGAAAACATCAAGCCCAGTTCGACAGATTTCCCTGATGAGCAACCTCCTCTGCCCGGTGATGGTCTAGAGGTCTTGCCTGCTCCCGAATCCCCTCGAGAAGCAGTCTATGTTCGTAGACCACCACCAAATATCGACGAATTCGTCGAATTGATGGCCGAGGATAAGATTAGGCCTGATAAAAAGTTTTTGAGCACCATGCTTACAAATGCGCCGACTCTCGAAGCCGGTCTACAGTACCTTGAAGCAAGCGCAATGCCAAATGAGCACGTACTCGCTTTGAGTGGGGAGAAATCACCGAGCACCCCCAAGGCTCAAGCTGCGCTCGTTGCAATCCCGCCTTACCTTTTTTCTGCCTTCATTCGCCTACTGACTCGATTCCCGCCAAGAATGCCTTATAAAGATCGGCCCAGCGAATATGCTCTTGCTCAAACCGGTTCAGTCTTGGATTCGATGATGGAGAAGACAGAATCGGCTCAGCTTGCTTTACTTCAAAGTTCTTCAGGTTCAAGAAAACCTGTAGAGCTTGCACCCCCAGTAAGATCGATTGTTATAAATCCGCTTCTCAAAGCCATTCAGCTTGTGCTTGCTCGGAAACCCCGATACCGACCTGCATGGTATAACCTTTTTCGAGCGCTCTCTAGTCCTAGAGTCGTGATAGATGTGGTCTCGAAATTTGTAGACCAAGATTACCAGGACATCAAGACTTGGCAGATGACCTGTGGTCTCTTGAATGAAATGCTTGAGATTGACCAGACCCTTGATCTTGAAGGCTTTCAGATACTCTGCGCCGGACTAGAAAAGGCAATCTTCGCCAGTGAAAGGCTCTCCAGGAACCCACGCATTCGACGAGGAGACAACGGTCCCAGGGACGACATGAGATCCTACGTTGATCGCGTACTTTTGACAGGTCTTCCGCTTCTCAAAGAGATTTTCAAGGACGTCGTCAGATCGAAAACGATGCAGGAAGCGATACCTGTTTCTCTAACGGAAGAGAAGTCAAACATCGACGCATCCATTGAGGAGCACGGTGTATTGGAGTCCGATGATACTGAAAAAGACACTGAAAAAGATTCGATGACAGAATCCAGGGCCTTTTTACCTCCAGGCTGTTTGCTTCCGAGACTACTGGAGGTGCCACACCCCGCTTGTCTTCACGGGTTCATACGAATACTCGGACTTCGCCGAGATTACGACGGTATTTTGGACTTGGTAGAATGGATGTCCCTCTTCGCTGATGACATCAACGCCGTCGCTGACGAAAAAGCGAATTGGTCCAGGATGATGCGGCGGTGTTTGACCGCAATTCACGTGTTCATGGAACGCAGTTGGATAATTCTGGAAAAGAGAGAAGCTGAGGCTCAAGGAGAAGACCCAAGCACTGTACGTGATGAGCTAGAGATGAAGGCGGAACCTGCACCAGCGGGAGTTGTGAGAGCTATTCAAGAGATTGTGAGGCAAAATAAGAGATGGGGCGGTTGGCCTATGCCTCATAACGTGATGCAGTATTGTGCAAATGGGAAGTTCATATAGACTGTAATTACATATCCAGACACCCGGTACAAAGCAAAACGTACCAAATCAACGAAAGCGCCTGCTCTCCAATCATAAATTAGTTGGAACTCCACGGTGTTTACCCAGTAGGCAGAAGAATCCATTCCAGACAAAGCTCCCAACTTTCCGCTGATAGAAATGCGTCCACCCCGACATCCCACCCTCATCTTTCACAGTCACCATGACATCTTCATCGCCCAACCCCGTCTCATCCTTGCTCCTCACCGCCATGTCCGCCTCTCCTCCACCGCCCCCACCCCGTCCCTCCTAAAAACCCACAACATCCCCGCCCCCCACCTCGGCCACATCCGCATCCTCAGTCTCAACAACCCCCGCAGCCGCAACGCCATCTCCCGCCAACTCCTCTCGGAGCTCTCTCACGAAATATCGGCCGTGAAAACGCAGACCGAGGATGAGCTGGCGAGGAGGAAAACCCAGCAACAAGAGAGCGCAGCGCTGGGAGCAGGAACGCGGGTGCTGATTCTCGCCAGCGACCTCGACGAATGCTTCTGCGCGGGCGCGGACCTGAAAGAGCGGCAGAGCATGAGTGCTGCAGAGTACGTTCTCTACACCCACCCACCCACCCACCCACCATGCTATGCTATTCCCCTTTTCTCCAACCAAAATACATACATGCATAGAGAACCCAACAGCCAGCCAGCCAGCTAACAAACCCTCTCACCCCCCAGCACGACCCACTTCCTCCACACCCTCCGCAGCACCCTAACGCAGCTCTCCGGGCTCCCCATCCCGACCATCAGCGCCGTCGCCTCCGTCGCCCTCGGCGGCGGTCTCGAACTCGCGCTCGCGACCACCTTCCGCATCTTCGCCTCCTCGGCCCTCGTCGGCCTGCCGGAGACGCGGCTCGCGATCATACCGGGGGCCGGGGGCACGTATCGGTTGCGGGGGTTGGTCGGGGAGGCCAGGGCGCTGGAGATGGTGCTGACGGGGAGGAGGGTGGGCGGGGTGGAGGCGGGGCGGATGGGGATTTGCGAACGGGTGGTCGATGTGGGTGGTGGGGGGGACGGGGATGGGGGTGGTGGGGAGTCTGCGTCTTGGACGGGGGGGAGGGAGTGGAGGCGGGAGGTGAGGGAGAAGGTGTTTGAGAGCGCGGTGGGGATGGCGAGGGAGATGTGTGAGGGGGGGCCGGGGGCTGTGGGGGCGGCGATGAGGGTGGTGAGGGAGGGGACGGCGGAGGGGGAGGATAGGGAGTATGAGGGTGTTGTGGGGATGGGGGATCGGGATGAGGCGCTCAGGGCGTTTGGGGAGAAGAGGAAGGCGGTGTTTAGGGGGAGGTGAGGGGGGGAGGTTCTGGGGGCATATGTAGAGTATTTTTGTGGAGAATGCGAGCTGGTTGAAGATGATATTGGAGACAATTTCTGTGGAAGTACTCGCGTTGTCTTTATCAATCATCAAGTCGTCCACCCATCGAGAATAATACGCCCATCCAAACACGCCCCAGAGTTCGTACAACGACAGTCAGATCAGTCCAAGAGCTCACAGAACGCCCGCTAATCCAACAGCAATTCACCATCAGCGTCACTCTTACAAATCCTTCAATTGCTCCACAGCCTCATACAACTCTTTCGGATCCTCAAACGTCCTCCAGATCTCCCTCGGCACATCCCTAAACGCCTTCTCGAACCTCTGATCCGTGTTCTTGTCCGTATCTTTCATCTCAGCAACATCCGTCACCTTCCTGATAAATACCGCCTTGACCCATCCCTTATACTTCCTACAAATATCCCCATACGCTTCAGGATCACTCTGTGTGCTGTCACCCACACAAAGCACTTTCCTTCTAGGCAGCCAATTATGTATCTCCTCTATGCGGCTTCGCTTGTAAGCTTCGGTTCCTTGCGTGAGCGACGCGAGGAAGCCACCAAGATCCATCCATGATGCGTCGCGGAGTATGGTAGTGCCTTTGGGGTAATACTGATGCAGGAATGGGCGAAGGAAGGGGTACAGGTTGTAAGGTGAGGCGGAGAGGTAGAACCAGGCTGGGGTGAGGGAGGTGGCGATTTGGGCGTAGAGTTCTGGCATTCCGGCTATGGGGGTGGGGTCCGAGACGAAGGTGCTGCGGAGGATGCCTATGGGGGAGGGGGTCATGGTTATTTTGATTGAGTCGTCAATGTCTGAGAAGCGTCAGAATATGGGTTGAGTGCCGCTCGGGTACGACGTACCTGAGACCATCAACCAACCCTCTGGCTCCGCGAAGTGAGTGAGCATAGGTCCATGAGGGGTGACTTGGGGCGTTATTGCTGAGATCTCGGCGCTTTCTCCCTCTTTGTGGTCTTGGATAGAAACAATAATCTGTTGACTAACGGCGCTTCTTCCACCAGGCCCAAGCTTCTCGACAGTGCCGTTGGGTAATTTGATATCAATGTACCGCGCAGGGGCTATGGTCTCGACAAATGGCTTCAGTCGATGCGCGATCGTCTTCTCCGCCTGCGCTCTCCCTTCTCCATCTGCTAGACCTAGCGTATCTGCAATACTAGCGACCGCTTTACTCCAATCCTTCCCCGTATACCGCTTAAAGTAGGCAGCGGTAAATTGGGCTTGAAATGGCTGTGGCTGATGAGGGTAGACGTGCACAGGTCGGTAGGCTGTATTGTCGAGAAGCCAGACTTCCTCTTTTTCTGGGTCCACGGCTCTTGCCAAGGGGTTGAACTTGCTCAGAAAGGAGCCCATGTTGTCGAGGAAAGAGATGTTCCATCGCGAGCCTATATGTTTTGGGAGCAGCTCTTCTATCTTGTGAAAATCGCCTGCTGACCGGGTCTCGCGCTCTGAGTGTGTCTCCTCCATCACCTGCCGGCCTTTGTCCATGGAGGCGTCCATGGCTGCCTTGGAGGGCACTTGAGCGTTTTGTTCGTCAAAGGATTGGGGCTGTGAGGCTGACGGATGATGTGTGTCTTATTCTTTCTAGGGTGGTCGCAAAAAATATATACAGTGGAAGGACATGATACGGTAGGAATAAGAAGGAAAGTCAGAGGATGATGTGGTTGGTGAGAAGTCAGGTGGATTGAGAATTGACATCTCATCGTTACACGTGTTTGCGCGAAATGCCTTAGGGCCAGGGCGCGCCCTTACGGTAACCACATATTTTCAAAATATGCCCACAGATTTTCAAATTAGCGTACTATATATACACGGTTTCGTTCGATAACCATATTTTCACTTACTAGGTTATATTTCGTCTTGAAAATATGAAAATTATAGGTTAATCTATACAGAGGTCTGCACCGAAAGTCCTGCACCCGCACTAGTGCAGCCCTAACCCTACTTTCGGAAAGCGGCCCTGTAGAAAGGAAGCCTAGAAATATCTTCTCACAGCGCATGGATGGGACTTTAGGTACTTCTTTTGGCTTGATAGGGGCATTAAGCCCCGAAACCTGGGAGCCTGGCTAGGGCTAGGTGCGATTCCGAAGAACTCCAGACGCATTGTCCAGGTAGCCCTTTAGGTGGGGCGTTATCCGAAGTCTAAGCGCAAGAGTCTTGGCGGGTGCAGGACTTTCGGTGCAGACCTCTGTAATTTAAGACTTAAATATACGCTAAGTATATAGAAATAGTAGATATTTATAACTATAACAAGTAAAGGCCCATGAATTAAATTCATGGAGTTGGAATTTTCTAAGTCAAATCGAATTTTAGCCCTAGCCCTAAGTCAAATCGAACTCTAATCGCTTGCTATGCGTTTTTGACCTACTTCCACTACTATAAAATTGATTTAATCTATATAGTATACAGGTACATATGTGCGGAGAGAGGCGCGCTAAGGCCTAATTAGGAAGGTGTAATAATTGCCTATAAAAAACAGAGAAAGGCCATATCCTTATGGCAAGAAGTATCGAAATACCGGAAAGAAATAGAGACAACGTGCCAATTAGTGGTGTGAATCCCACAATATCTCCTGCCGCAGTGAAATTTTTCGAATAATGAAATAGCTGTAGACATCGGACGGTTTCAATTCGTCCAAATATGCATCGTTCCGGAGTGATGATTTGATGTGGAACCGTGGAGAGCATATGACGTGGGACCTTGGAGAGCTGTCTTGACGATGGTGGCCTTGTTGCCGCTTGGTTTCTCCGCAGTGTTCTCTATAGTGTTCTCCGCAGTGTTCTCCGCATTTGCCTGTTGTAGTTCCTCCTTTTACTCCTTAATGTAGTGGGGATGATAGGCTAAGTTGTAGTGGTGTTCTCCGCTTGCTGAGTGATGATGTGATGTGGAACCGTGGAGAGCATGTGACGTGGGATCTTGGAGAGCTGAGCCGTGTTCTTGACGATGGTGGCCTTGTTGCCGCTTGATTTCTCCGCAGTGTTCTCCGCATTTGCCTGTTGTAGTTCCTCGTCTTACTCCTCCTCTTGTAGAGTATCAGACTGAGTGGCTAGCTGAGTGGCTGACTGAGTGGATAACTGATATGACGTGGGATCTTGGAGAGCTGAGCCGTGTTCTTGGTGCTGGGGGCCTTGTTGCCGCTTGGTTTCTCCGCAGTGTTCTCCATAGTGTTCTCCGCAGTGTTCTCCGCATTTGCCTGTTGTAGTTCCTCCTCTTACTCCTTAATGTAGTGGGGATGACAGGCTAAGTTGTAGTGGTTTTCTCCGCTTGCTGAGTGATGATTTGATGTGGAACCGTGGAGAGTATATGATGTGGGATCTTGGAGAGCTGAGCCGTGTTCTTGGTGCTGGGGGCCTTGTTGCCGCTTGGTTTCTCCGCAGTGTTCTCCATAGTGTTCTCCGCAGTGTTCTCCGCATTTGCCTGTTGTAGTTCCTCCTCTTACTCCTTAATGCAGTGGGGATGATAGGCTAAATTGCAGTAGTTTTCTCCGCTTGCTGAGTGATGATTTGATGTGGAACCGTGGAGAGCATATGATGTGGGATCTTGGAGAGCTGAGCCGTGTTCTTGGTGCTGGGGGCCTTATTGCCGCTTGGTTTCTCCGTAGTGTTCTCCGCATTTGCCTGTTGTAGTTCCTCCTCTTACTCCTCCTCTTGTAGAGTATCAGACTGAGTGGCTAGCTGAGTGGCTGACTAAGTGGATAACTAATATGACGTGGGATCTTGGAGAGCTGAGCCGTGTTCTTGGTGCTGGGGGCCTTGTTGCCGCTTGGTTTCTCCGCAGTGTTCTCCATAGTGTTCTCCGCAGTGTTCTCCGCATTTGCCTGTTGTAGTTCCTCCTCTTGCTCCTCAATGTAGTGGGGATGACAGGCCAAGTTGCAGTGGTGTTCTCTGCTTGCTGAGTGATGATTTGATGTGGAACGGCCAAGTTGCAGTGGTGTTCTCCGCTTGCTGAGTGATGATTTGATTTGGAACCGTGGAGAGCATATGACGTGGGATCTTGGAGAGCTGAGCCGTGTTCTTGACGATGGTGGCCTTGTTGCCGCTTGGTTTCTCCGCAGTGTTCTCCGCATTTGCCTGTTGTAGTTCCTCCTCTTACTCCTTAATGCAGTGGGGATGACAGGCTAAGTTACAGTGGTGTTCTCCGCTTGCTGAGTGATGATTTGATGTGGAATCGTGGAGAGCATATGACGTGGGATCTTGGAGAGCTGAGCCTGTTCTTGGTGCTGGGGGCCTTGTTGTCGCTTGGTTTCTCCGCAGTGTTCTCCGTATTCGCCTGCTGTAGTGACTTCTCTTGCACTGGCTGAGTGGATTGGTGTGAGATCGTGGAGAGTAGGCCTGTTGTGTCACTGCTGCTGATGACTGTCTCCGCAATGTTCTCCGTAGTGTTCTCCGTATTCGCCTGTTGTAGATCCTCCTCTTGTTTAACTGAGTGCGAGGGTATCGAGGGTAAATGTGTTTATATTGGTGGAATTGGTAGAATTGATAGAATTGGTAGAATTGGTAGAATGGTGGAAGAAGAATGGTTACACAAATAGGTGGAAGGATTATTATTCGATCCCGGACGCGTTTGGTGTGACTACAATATTTGAATGTTAGTTTAACCCACCTATCGCTGGCTTGGGAGGAGTATGTAGGGGAGGACGTATCCGTTCGGGCACCTTTTGAGGGCCTTTCAACGCTCTTTTTGAGGGTCTTTCAACGCGTTTATGAGTAGTAGTAGGTAGCTGTTGGGCTCGCTTGCGGCCTCGATTGCCAGTAGTAGCGGATTCGTCGAGGGGTGGCCTGGGGGCGTCAGTAAGGGGCTCTAATTGGGCGAGGGGTACCGAAGACGATTATGTTTATATTGGTGGAATTGATAGAATTGGTAGAATTGGTAGAATTGGTAGAATGGTGGAAGAATAACAAACAGGTGGAAGGATTATTATCCGATCCCGGACGCGTCTGGTGTGACTACCATAACTACCATATTTGAATATCCATTTCATCCACCAATAGTAGGCCAAACTTCATTATTTTTACAGCGTTAGAAAGCGCACACCGAGTTCTACAATTTACGAAATTATGAAGAAACAGCATCCGTAGGGAGCTGGTTATTTCAGAGTGTAAAACTTCTACACACAAATTTTTGATGAGGGAGCTCGGGAGGGCTAGCGGGCTAACTCAGTCAGTCTAGCCAAAAGGCGTAATAACCCCGAATTGATGATTGGCTGCACATACAAATTCAAGGTTTCCAAGCTCAGCCCTACCTTATTCTTTTATATATACTGATAGCGATACTTATTTTATTTTTATAATTAATAGTTATACTTTATAATTATAATAGCTATATTTTTAAATAATTATAAATAACTCTCTATTTAAAGAGATAGCTATAAGTATTATTCTTATTACTATTAAATAATATTATTCTTCTTATTATAATAGAAGATAAGATAACGACGAAGATAATAGAAGTATTAATAATCATCTGCAAATCTGAAAAGTTCCTGCAAAATTTGAAATTGCTGATCGCGCGTTTGTCGCGGAAATCATAAAATCCGCCGGATCAGCAAATCTGATTAGAATCCGCCCAAATTCCGCCGGTTCAGTAACTGTTCTAACCTTTTCCGCCAGTTCTACCAGTTTAACAGCAATACGCACGAAAAAAGAAAAGTTCTAATGATCGACGTTGCGACGATAAGATTCTACGGCGACGAGTATTAACGTTAACTTAAATTTGGCTACGGAATTAGACGATTTAATGAAATTAGTCGCGTGGGTGATGCTTTGATATGGCGTATAATGATGCGTATGTATAATGATGCGTATGTTGATGATGATATATATTGATATCATATGTATGTAGAATAGTACTTAGAGTGTATTAGAGTGTATTACGTAAAATTTTTAAAGTTGCTGAAATTTTTTGAAGTTGCTAAATTAATAGAACTGGTGGAAAGGATTAGATATAGGTAAAGTCTATTAAATAGACTAAATCGTGCTAAATCGTGCTTATGGTGCGGACCCGGCGGAAATCGTGCGGAAAGGAACTTTTCAGATTTGCAGATGATAGTTAAAGTATATATAGTAATAGTAGATATATTAGTTATAAGACTATTAAATAATAGATAGAAAGGCAATTATCTCTAACGAGAATTTTTTTTTCGATTATTCTATATTATTCGATTCTTACTTAATAAGATTACAGGGTTATCGAACGAAACCGTACCTATATTTTACATATTTTCAACTGTCTACTAGTGCTGTTTTGAGCCCACATTTCATTTGCCAAGAGGTGGGGTAATATATGTTGGTATAATTTGAAAATATGTGGTTACCGAAGGGGCCCTTAGCAAACCCCACTCTCCAGGCACCACCAAGCCACCCTCTCACACCCCCACACTTCCCCTGCGTAGCTCTTCCCTATCAACCTCATCCACTATGGCCCATCTTTCGGGAAAGTGTCCGAGCGATGTCTGAGTCATTGCCATGTCAGCCTACCTGTGCTGTCGAAAAGAGCGGCATAGCGCTGAAGATAGATGAAACCAACAAGGCGGCAACGTGTCTAGACTCTAGAACTCCGCTCCACACCGACTCCTTTTCTGAAAAGTATGGGCCCAAGTAGCCCCCAGTTTTTGGACGAGTCAATACATATAGAAAGTCCAATAGCTTTCTCTCCTTCCTACTTCCTCCCTTCTTCCCTTCTTCCACACCTTCCACACTAAACTCTCCTTCAAAACCACATTCTCCATCAAGACCACGCAACAATGGAAGCAGAAAGGGCCAAGCTCCCTGGCTTTGGCCTGCCTGTGAACTACAGATCTGATAAATACTTTCCCAATGCTGTCTTGCATTGGTCGGGGACCATATTGACCGTTCGAGAGCTGAACATGATGGCAATCATGGACAAGATCACTGACAAGCCGGACTGGGATCAGAAGGTCTTTGACGATACCATCGTTCAGAAGTGGCGCCAGGAAGCTCTTGGCACCGAGGGCATGGACGTGTCAGAGAAGATGCTCCACTGGGTGTGTACCACTTTCCTCTGAGAAGTCATACTCTACGAGATCCTGTCATGGCAGGTTTTCTTGGTATCACTCCCTCTCAAAGACCAGGTTTACGCGCACTCTGAAGACCAATGGTTCGTTCCCTCGCCCATATATATGCTTGTCTACGCTCGTCTTTGCCATCGTTCACTCTCTGGTGTCCATACCTTGTCCCATCGAGGTCCCGTCGAGGAGCCATGGGACGGCCTAACGCATGAATTGAGTTGCACTTTCAAACAAATCCAGAGGCCTCCTGGCTTTGAATTTCCTAGTGCAGCTTGAGCCGCCTTCTCGTCATTAATGGGCTAATCTCTTATGATAGTGCTTTGCCGAATTGCGTGACAAAGCCCGATCCTTCCGAAGCGACGGCATGATCCCAACTTTAGACCTCGATGCTGCGGTGATCAAGTCTGATACTGCCATCTCTTCTGAGCTAAAAGAAGCCCTGCGAGCTGGGATCGCTCCCCTCGAAGACGTCCCTGATAGGCTCAAAGATTGGCACCCCGGCTCTGACGGCAAGGTACTTGACCTCGTCCACCCCTCTTTGTTCCCTTTGATCTATGGCCGATCCAAAGTCCTATCATCCGGAAATGTAGGACTCCAAGATTGTGTAAGCTGTATCGGCAAAGGCGAGATTGCCACTACGCCGGATGACACAGAAGTCAATGTTATCGACAGGTCTAAGCTCACGTACGATACCTGGGGTGACACCAAATTCTGGTCCAAAGCTTTCCAGTGGCTTCCCTGTGACGTAAAGTTTGCCGGCGACGATGTCAAGATCACCAGCTACATCAACAACCTGCATCCGACATCGCACCCAAGTCTCTACTCTGTCATTGAAAAGTTCATTGCCAAATCAATCCCACTCTGGAACTTGACCCTTTCCTCCACGCATGCCGGACGCAAGGCGCGCATCTTACATGATTATACTGACTACGATTACCCCCGAGGGGACAGCCCCCCAAAGGAAATAGGGGATGATTGGGATACTCATTCGAATTGGATGAGGGCCAATCGCGTTCTGCAAAGGCCGGAACCTCGAGAATTTGAATCGTATCAACGGCCAGTAGGTGAGCAGGTCAGCCTTCGAAGAGAATTTGGGGAGCAAGGACTACAGGTCATCGTGAAGCTCGCCAACATTGAGCTGACACCCGAGAAGCCAACTTATGACGGTGGATCGTGGCATGTTGAGGGACAGCTCAATGAACGGATTTGTGCTACGGCTCTATATTACTACGATTCTAAGAACGTTGCGGACAACTTTCTGACTTTCCGCCACCGCACTGATGAGCAAGATTTCGAACTGAAGTCACATGACCAGGTAGTTACCCCTTCTAACAAGAAGCAGCGTCTTGGAACCCCTACAACGGGATTTCGTGCTTCCCGCTAAGTTCTAGATGCTGATTTTGCTTAGGATGACCATGAGGGTGTCGAAGAACTCTACGGCGTCGAGCAAGAAGGGCCCAAAGTGCAGGAAATAGGCCGAGTCGTGACCAGAGAAGGGCGGCTCCTTGCCTTCCCCAACGTCTTTCAGCATCGAGTGGCTCCGTTCAAGCTCGAAGACCATTCGACACCAGGACACAGAAAGATACTGGCGTTGTTCCTGGTTGATCCTCATTGCCGCATCATTTCTACTGCCAATGTGCCGCCTCAGCAGAAAGATTGGTGGAGTCCTGAGATCCGAGAGAGCGGGAGGCTTGCGAAACTGCCGAAAGAGATTGTGGATCAAGTGGTGGAGGATGTAGAGGACTTCCCGATCTCTTTGGAGGAAGCTAAGGAACTCAGGCTCGAATTGATGGAGGAGAGAAAGGTGTACGTGGAGGAGGTGAATAAGGACATACAGTCTTTAACATTCTTCTTCTGTGAGCATTAGCACGGAACGACTCAACTGGCTGCTCTAAGTGCCTAGATATTGCGAATCTGTAGGATGCAAGCTATAAGGTTTATAGAAGACGGTTTCACTAGCAGGATGCTAAGCTCTGGGTAAACAATCTTGATACAATACGTTGGAGTCCCATTAAATGATCTCTTGGCTGATTCCACGCAAAGCCCAAATTCCTACCTCACGAAGATGATACCTCGACAGATTACGGTGACAAGGTTTCAACTTCTTCCGGAAAACGAACCCAGCAAGCAAGCACAAAACCTAGCTCGTTTAGAACCCATTGGCGGTCAGATGTTTTCGATCGAGGCTGGGGCACCGGACATGTTTGTTGGAAAGACATCAATAGAAGAATCCTGGTCATCGCTATAGTGGAAAATGGGTGGAGCTTAGTGGTTGACGTGGTACCGAGAAGGGCATGGCATTGTGATCGAGAACGTGCAGATCGAAGGGCCAGTTGGGAGAACGCATGTAGGCGATTGCAATTCTGTGACACTGGGGGCTCTGAAAGAACGGCGCAGTGCTCCATCCACAGCTTAGCAAGATGTTTCAAAAAGATGGCACGCAAAGAGATCAATCAAGTGGAGTCCGACCCTAAATATTCGTCTAGCTCACTCCAATGTACGAATAGATGGAAAGCGCCAAGCCAGAAGTCAGCTATCCCCAATATAGCCTAGCGCAGTCCGACATCCGAGAGATCCAAAATCTTCAGCTTTTCAATGCACCTTCTTTTCTCCTCATCATAAAACACAACCCTTCATATTCACTCTGACTTTTCCCGCCTTCGTGCATCTATGGGTAGTCTTGGAGGGGAAAATGGAGGGGAGAGCAAGCATCAGCCGTTAGAACTTACCCCTCAGCTTCCCCCCACCGTGGAAATGGAGATTGGGGAAATCATATTATGACGGGACATTGCCACTAAGCAAAATCAAACGTGCATCCACTGGGTGTTTAGAGCTAGTCTCAACTCTGCACCTACCTAGAAAGGAGACTCCGGGCTCGTTGAGGGGAATGCTGCTTGGGCCCACGCTGGGAAACGACGTTGAATGTCACCTGCGCTACCTGCGTGATTTGCTGCAGTGCTCTGAGCTTGCAACTTCCTCCCAATAGGAAAAAGCGGCTGGCCACTCACATCCGCGAGCCATCGAGATCCTGGCCCGTACGAGCTGACCGTCATGCCTGGCTAAAGATAAGACGAAAACAGAGCGGGTTGCAGCATAGGTCCAATCCCGAATCAAACCAAATCGCTCCACCTTGAGAAACAAATCAGTTTCTTGTGTCCCCGTAACATTTGCCGTATGTACCAATATCAGTATAAATGGATATCGGCGGCCAGCAACGTTAGCCGCCCATCCGACAGGCGTTGGATGAAGTACCAAATGGATAGCTGGTGGATTCTCCTAGGATGTGGATACGTTCCTGAGACAGCTATCGCAATTAACGGAGCGCGTTTTCAGCCGCGCTTATTGTAAGAGACATCATAATCTCTCATTTGTTTTCACCGAACTTGCACGTGGCACTCACCAAGCCAGTGATGCCGCATCTCCGATCCCCTTGTTGGCATTTCAGGATCTTCGATCCACCATCTTTGGGGTCTGGCACTTTGAATATGGGATGTATGCTCATGATCTTCTTTTTCCGTCCTCTTCCTGCTACATTCTGTATAGGCCGATAAGATTGGTGCTCGACTCTTCTGAGCCACCTCGAGTACTTAGAAGGTAAATTGATTCTAAATGCTACACTTTTTCGTTCCACTGCAGAGCTCCACCGCAACGGAAGCTCGCAACTCATCCCAGAAAATTTGAGGGATTTTGCAATAGCGGACGTCCTTGCTTTCGAGGGTCCAGTCCCACCTAGAGTTTCAACTACGGATGCTTCTTCCCATCTCTACACAATTGCTGAACAATTTTTTTTTGCTTTTTGGGAGGTCAAGACAAGCTCTTTGCGCCATTAAAGCTTCTAGGATGATATTCGTGGGGGTCGGTTGGCCACCCACGTAGACCCGACATCAAGCTTCCTTGAGCTCTTAGTAATTTAAGGGCATGCAAACTTTTTTACTTTATCTTGCATCCGAAGCTATCATCCCACGCTCCTGACTGGTATCCCCTTCAACACCATAGGACAAGGATACAGATACCCAATTCACACCGCCAGGAATAGCTTCCGATTGCCGCCAATGCAAGGTCAGTGGATCTCCCGCTTTCAGCCGCGAGTCAATGGAATACTACTTTTACCAGGTTACTAAGCTTGCTTCCAGCTTATCCTGGTTTCAGGGTCGTCCGCAGGCTCAATTGTCCCTGCAGGTTGAAACGGCCAGCAGTGACCTTTGCGCCAAGCGTGGTCGACGGCCTTGTTTTTGAACGGAAACACGGCATGGGTGATGTTGCGTGCAACCAATGGCTCGCACTCGACGTCATGGAGACGCGTTCTTGGCATCCTATACACGTCCTACAGAGATACATATGCACGCAGCCTTGCCACGAGCGTTACCATCATACTGTATGCTGAGCCAGACATTGCAAGGGTTTTTACCCTATCATGTTCTTGCCTCCCGTACACTCTTCATCTACATTGTACCTTTTCCTGTCACTGGTCATCGCTCTACCCTTCATTGACAGCTCACCGATACCTAAATTAGACTTGGATATTCCGCAAGCCGTCAATTGTACCGACCTGAAGGCCTCCTTTGACTCGTCATGCTGGAAGACGCTCAACCTCGAAGGTTACCTCAATGATCCAGAAACGGGCTGGAACCGTACTGCAGCTATTTGCACGGGCGACGAAGATGATGCCGCTTGTTGTCTACCCACGGAGCCTTGGACAACCTGCTACTTACGGCTGGTCCACGGTTTCCCTGGTACGGACTGCAGCGAAACCAATGCCCAAGACTGTTCCTATGACCCGAGCCTCGCCGTCGACCCAAGGATCGCGCCATATGTTGCATACACAATGAAAACGATATACGGTACTTTATCCAAAGCGCCTCCCCTCAAACTTTTACTAACCCCAAGGTCAACAGCAATAAACGACCTCTTCACAACTTGGTTCAACGCTCTACAATACGCCGCCTCGCAAGCCCTTTCCATCGTTCAAGACGTAATCAATCAAGTCGATCCGCCCCAGCAAACAAATTTCATCCTCCGCGACCTCCTATTTGCCCTCACAGTCGGCCTCGCTTACATTGTCGCGCCCGAAGCCGGCAGTCTTACAGGCCTCCTGGTGGCAACAGCCGCAGCCGGACGAGCTCTCCTAAAAGGCGCCAACCAAGCCCCAACGGTTGCGCGCGGCATCTGGCCCGCTGGAACGGAATCCTCCCAATCGATCCAGATCGGCGACGTAGAGAACGAGCTCAACAACGCCACGGGAATCACAGCCATAATGTTGAATTCGGGGCTGGAATTGCTAATGAGCGATATGCCTTCCTTCGTTGAGTTCGCCTCCACGGGCATGTTCTCGGGATCCGACTCCCTGTCCCTCCCCAAAGAAGTCGACGGCCTTGACGTCGCCCTCAAAACATTCATAGTCTCCAACGCCATGACCTCCAACGGCTGGCATTATACCGTCATCCTTGGGGCCACACGCGACGACATCTCCAGCTGTGTCCCCGGCTCTGGCGGCAGCTGCTGCACATGGTGGACCCTCGGCTCCTCTTCCTCCTCCTCCTCCTCCTCCTCCTCCTCCTCCTCCTCACCCGCACCCAGCATGTGCGGTGATTTTATCTGGTACAGCGACGCCACGATGCGGGCCTTCAGACTGACGAATTCTCACAACCTTAACGGGACTGTGGATATGCTGAGTGCGATTGTGGAGAATGCGTGGACGACGCTACCGTTGCTGTTCGACGGGGCGTATAATTGCAGTGCGGCGGGCACTTTTGGCGGATCGCCGATTCAAATCGAGGCGGACGGGACGATTGATTTGAGTTGTATGAGTCAGTTGGCCGAGGGGCCTTCTTTGTCTGCGGAGTGAATGAGCTGTGCTCCTCTGAGAGGAAGGTGTGTGGATTCTGGAAGCTTTCGTTGATTGGGTTGCCACACCTTGCATAGCGTGAGCATCCAGATCCTCTTAGACCGTTTCTTCTTCCGGCATTTCATACCACGGCATTTCATATCACGGCGTTTCCTCCTTTGCACTACACAGACATCATAAACATTCGTAGATCAAAGCATAGCAATATGAACACTCTTGAACACTCATCTCAAACTCCTGACCGCCGCGGATCTCTGAAATACCCACACATCTCCCGTCCACGCCACTGGCATACTGCCTAACATCATATTTCACCACCCCTCATATCCATAGCCTTCTATCCCGATCTCGCGTGTCGTGATACTCTCCGCGTGCTCCACAAGCGCATCAGTATCATTTCAACACAACACAACATCCTGACGCGGTGGATTTGATACGAGGTAGTGAGCGTTGTCGATCCTCTAGGCTAGGACGACTGGATTCCTGGCGTCACAGACTGGTGTCAAGAGTGTTGAAGGAGTGCTTACGCATGATATGGTCGTCTGATTAGATTCAATGGTTATTAGTACATCGGGTGTTTAGCAGCCACAACTGTTAGTGGTGAATGGAACACCACGTTTACTGAACGAGCAACACAATTACATTACACCTCAGACCGGGCACTAGAGTAGAGCACGGAGCTTCAAGACGGTTGATTTACTTGCTAACCTTCCCTCGCAGTATGGTACAACTCGGTCACATCTCCCACGACCGACCCTCGAGACTTTTTGCGCCCCATCGCTCGCTCGCACGCAGGAATCGTGAAAAGTGCCCCTTCCGGCCATCCACTCCCCCTCCCCTCTGCACGAACCCGTAACGGAAAAGGAAGCACGGCCTCACATCTTCCCCTTGACCTCCTCCGCCTTGCCCTTGGCCTGCCCCGCGACCTCCTGCGTCTTGCCCTTGGCCTGCCCCGCGACCTCCTGCGTCTTTCCCTGGACCTCTGCCGCCTTGCCCTTGGCCTGGCCCGCGACCTCCTGCGTCTTGCTCTTGGCGTCGCCCGCGAGCTCGGACGCCTTGCCTTGGGCTTCGCCGGTCGTTTCCTTCGCGGAGCCCTCGGCTTGCTTGGCGTTGAGGCCGACGGTGGATTTGAGGTTTTCGGTCGCTTGTTCTGTGAGGAAGGGGGGTGGGGGGGTTAGTTTTTGCTGTTGTGGAAGAAGAGAAGATGACGAAGGAAAAGACCGAAGGGGGTTTTTTTTGGGTGGTTGTAGAGAGTGGTGATCGCGAAATTCGGAATGTAGAAGGGATGGTGAAACTCACGGCTCTTCTCGATACCCTTCACGGCCGCGTTCCCAACAGTCTTGTTCACAGACTCGATGGTATCTTTGACGGCGGAGCGGGAATCCTTCTGCGCATATGGGCTCGTAGAAAAGCGGACGCGCTTGGTGGCGGCCAAGGGGGCGCGGGGGGCGCGGGTGGCAATGGTGCGAAGGAGAGACATGTCTTTTGCCGGGTTCTGGAAGTGGTAAAGCTGTCGTTGTTTGGAGAGTTGGGGGGTTGTGAGTTGGGTAGTTGCTTTGGGAGGTGAGATGATGTCGACGGAGGGAATTTGCATGCTGGGCGGAGACGTCATTCTGGGGTAGCCTCATGCTGTTTGGTGCGCGTAGGCATAGCGAAGCGAGTTTGGCTTGGTGGGGTTTAAGCGAAGTATTGCCGGATTTCGGACACGGATTCGACTTGGGTTCACTATTTTGTTCAGTTGCTTGCTCACTTACGTCACATTCGGGTGATATTCGCGTCCGGACAATTCATTAGGTGTATTTTTGATTCACGTCCGTCTTTAGATGCTTCATCAACCTGTCTGAATGCTTCATATGTACCCCGGAAGCTTCATTCACGTATCCAGCAGTTGCCCCATCCACACCTGGCTCTCTAGCTCGAGGTCCAGACAAACATTACATGGTGTGGCTACTTTCAAAAGCAAAGAAAAGAGATCTCATGGGTCTCCAAGCCCTCTAAAGTCCCTGTCGTCCAATGCTGAAGCGGTAGAAGATATCAGCGAGGCTCTCCTGGGGAAAAGCAAAGGACGCTCACCTTCAGAGCATTTCATTTCCAGGTCTCATTGCTTGCTCGACGCCTTGCGTGTTATCCTTGCAGCCGCTCATCAGTCTCCATACCTGCACTGAGAGAAGAACCTAATCTCATACTCCCAGCTATCACGTTCCTTAGCACGCACGATACCCAGTCAACTTTCTTCAACTGCTGTATCTTTCTCACTTCTAGCTCGCATATGTAAAGGACTTGAGTTGGTGGCACATGTATCAAAGTTGCATCCTTATATAGGTAAGCTCCACATCTATCTCATTGCTACTCGCGTATGGGTTTCTATAGAAGGCGGTGTACCTGAGTTTCAAACCTGAGGGGCAGGCCAAGACGTCTCAAAGCTGCCATTACCGAAATCATGAACGGGGATTGCATCCGTCGCCCTGCACCGAAAGCCTTTTTCGCTCTTTTCGGACCACTCTCGCATTCACATACATCGTCATCATCTTCCAACCCTTCTGGTGCCGTCGCTTCTCGCCACTTTTGCTTAGCCAAAATCACAGAGAAGTAGAAGCGCATACCGCCCCCTTCGCCAATACCTGAATTCCCAAAATTCTTCGGGAAGACGGCTACATGAAAACGGCTATACCTAAATACATGCTTGACGGCCATATCAAGCTGGGCTTGACTGGTGACCCTGTCCCAAGAATTCCATGAACAGCGATTGGTGTGGCTTAGAGCTCATAGAGTCCCTTTCGGACCCTGAGATGCCATGATGGCCTATGTGCAGCGAGCGAATAGCCTGCTGATGAACAAGAGTCGAGGGTCGGGATATTGTGGCTTTTCAAGTTGTGCCGCTTGCCAAGGGACGTGACTGAGGTTCTTATGCTGCTCTCTCGAGAGTGATGATAGCAGGAGATCCTGGGACCTGATTGTGTGCGCTGGCAATCTGACGGAACGATGGTCTGTTTGACGAAAACTTTGCACCCTGTCAATCACCGAGAGGTGGCAACACGTTGGGCGCTTGATTATGGTTGAAGCTCTACCGAGACGACGACCTCCCGCAATCAGCCTCCTGCTAGCAATAGTCTTTGAAGATCGTTGGAGCGTTCCACGTGTATCAGGCTCCCTGCAAAGCAACCCATAAGGACGATATCTTGGGTCGAAGCGCTGAGGGTTGGCGTTGGGTTTGCGCCTTTCCTTGACGCCTGCTATCTGATCGCTCTGGAATTTGATAGTATTTCACGCTTTGGCCAACTCCTCAACAAGGCTCTTGAATGTAGCATTCTTGTCGTCAACTTCTGTCTTCAAGTGAGTGATGTCCAGAAGAAAAAGCAACTTCACGGTCTCAATTTTCCGCAATATATTTTTATGCTTGGCAACCAATCTCCTCATGAACGGCCTTGTTTGTTTGTTTGAAGCTGCATCACCCACTAGCCGCAAAGTCAGTCAATGGTCCTAATTATCTGTCGCTAAGAGGCCATACCTGAAAAGTCCGGCAAACAACGCCTTCATTGGTGGCTATCCTAGTCTTCCTCCTAAAAAGCAAGTACCTCTCCGTCGATTCTGTTCCAAAATGGACGAGAGGTCACAACCAAGTCCAAACACCACCAGAAGTCATTCCGTTCAATTAGACATTTTTCAAAAGTCGCAAAACACTCAGTGTCATTCCCAGGGTCCTTCCAAATCTCAAGCTTTCAAATCATTCTCTAGGACTGGAGCCTGAAGACATCACGCGCTTTATGCCCACAGGACTTAACCCGTCGAGACCAAAGCGTATCTCCTAGCTCATAAAAGAGGTGTTCAGCAAGTTAAGCGGTGAATGCATTGCGCTTTCTCAGGAGGCTAGTAGACGATCCAGCGTCATTCGCTTCACGCTTTGAAGGCATATTGCAATCATTTACGTCGGTGAGCTGGACGTTTGGTGAAGTGTGCGGTCGGTCACCTCTTAGTGACCAGGTGTTGGGGTACTTGGCTTGCTCTCGTGGTACTCAGAATCATCATCATCATGTGAAGAAGAAGGCCGCTCGATGGATTCTTGATAATCAGATATTGTGATGTTTGGGTTGTTCTCAAGGTACACAGAATCATAATCATCGTCCGCATCTGGCAGAGAAGAAACGTTTCTCGGTGTCGAGGCCATAGAGTCATTCCTCATGGTGGTGTCGAGCGCGCCCCTTTTTGTACCCCTCCCTTTTTTTGTGGGGGCCCCCCCTTGGGGGCTTTAAAAAAAAGGGGGGGGCCGCGGGGGGGGGGGGCGCCCAAAACAAAGGAATTTTTCCCCCCCCCCCCAAAAACCCCCCAAAAAAAAATTGGGGGGGGGGGGGGGAAAGGGGGGGGGGGGGGGTGTGCCCCGCGCGCGCGGGGGGTCGAACACAAAAACCCAAAAATTGGCCCCCCCCCTTTTTTTTTTTTAATATTTTTTTAAACCCCCCGCAGAAAAAAAAAATTCCTGGGTGTCGAGGCTGTAGAGTCACACTTCATCGTGGTGTCGAGCGCGTCAAGCGAGTACTCAGAAGTCCGTTGTCGCCATCGTCATGATACTGCAACGCGTTATAGACTCGCAATACGACAAAAATGCAATGGAAGGAAGCCTTACCTCGATCTTCTGCTTCTAAAAATAGCCCAACAGATGCGGGCCTGGCCTCGCCGTCTTTGTCACCTGTTCTTCCGCCATTTGGTTCGTTAGACAAAGTCTCGCTCCATTTAGCCAGGAACTCAGCATTGGCAGCAGGTCAGCCAGAGCAACGGCCAAACGTGGGGACCCTGCTATTGAGCTAGAGGAACAGCCTGTTGTCCTTGTTGATGGTGTTGACGTATGAAAGCTTCCCTCTGATACTGCAGTTGCTGTTGATGTGCCTGTTGATGTGCGACCCTCATCTGCTCTCTAGCTTGACGCCTCTGCTCTCTTGCCTGCTGCATAGTAAAGGAAGCAATTCCGCCTGATCCATCCAGTATATTTTTAACGCCCTCCAATATAGCGTCGAGCGCCGCATCTGGCTCCCCATTATATAGTGCCGCTATAGCGGCCTTCCCTATTCCGTGCCAATGGTGGCGATGATAATGACTGTGATACTGGGGTCAAGTCTCCATGGATTGCGTATATATGATGGTGGTGATTCTCATGGTGTCGACTGCTCGAGGACTACACCCTTTTCGTAAATATTCGTCTCGAAGTCTTCTTTCGACAGATCCGGATGTTCTGCCCGGACTTTTGCCATCGCTCCCTTCTCGGCCTTGTCGACCTTGTTGATCATGTCTTGTAGCTCAGACTCACTTGGGTTCTGACCCATGGATCGCACGACCGTGCCCAACTCTTTGCTCGTCTAGAGGGATCGAGGGAAACTTGAGCGTGGGATTGGCCCCGTGTCCATCCTTCCACGGTCCTCCTTCCACGGTCCTCCATTCAGCGCCGCTTTCTGCACCACATCCCCCTCCGTCGCCAACGATGAACTCAGCTGGAACAAGTTTGACTGATGCTTCAGCCTGGCAATCGAAGATCGAAGGGTCTTGAATGTTGACTATAATCCATTCCTCACCATCCCTTCCCTGCTGTCGAGCCTGGTCCCAAGGTAACCTCGACATTCATTCGAACGGCGGTTGATAAGTTTGAGCAAGTAGATTCGACTTTGAGGATGCTTCTGATGCTCCTGAGCCGGAGCATCGAGTCCAGCGGTGGGCGCAGATTGCGCAAGGTCAATCGTTGCTCCCGCTTTCCCACCCCGCATGAGATCTGTGCAGGTAACCAAGATCTGCAGCGTCCTATCCTGTATATCTAGCACGACCAAACTTTCGCTGGGATTGAAGCCTGTGCCCATAAGAAGGCTCTGGATAGGACTCAAGTCCGCCTCCCGGGAGACAATATCTCCAGCCCCCGCCACGCTCAGCGTCAAGTCCGCCAGTTTCCCCGCGACGACGAAAACCCTCTCGTCCGTCGTCGTGCATGACAATGTCAGCATCTGGTGAAATTGCATCTTCCTGGTCCTCCGCTTCACTCCCTCCGAAAAGCGAATCGTGGTCATCCGATGCCCCTTGCTCCACGCTTTCTTCGTGTAAGACTTGCTAAACGCTAGCGTCGTCTGAGCCGCCCACATGCTCCATTCGCCGTTTCCGATTCGAAAAGCGCGTTTTTCAGTCTTGATGGCGGTCTGGCCGTCCCAGGTGCGTAGGTCGACGGACGTGGTCTGCATCAGCTCGACTTCGTACTGGCCGTCCGTCGAAGCGCGGAAGGTGACTTCCGAAGTCCCGTGGCTGGGGCAGACGAGATTGCGGTAGGTGAGGTCGGTGTCTCCGACGAGATGCGTGTGGTGAGTGCGGCGAACCAGGCGGTATTTGCCGGCGCTCTTGATGACCGTCATCCTCAACCAACGTCATCTCTTCATCTTCCGGCATCAATGGTGGCAGGACCTAGACGAGATCCTCGAGGCAAGATCTGATCTTGTCAGACCCCTCACGCTTATCCCAGCTGGTGGCTCCAGCGGTTTCGCAAAAGTGCCTAGACCTGTCAGAACAGGCGCTTGCCTTGGCAAGGGTTTTGAACTCGGTGGTACCTTCTCTGGTGCCGTTGGTGAAGGGGGGCCTGCGGGCAGGATTTAGTCAGCATCGATGCTTCAAAGAAATTGAAAACAGCAGCTCTTACATTCGAGCCCGGGTAATTTATTTATTTATATATAGTTTGCGCAAAATACCCGTTGCGTCGATAGAACCAGGTTGAGCTTCGACTGCATTCTGTTCGAAGATATTCATGTCAGCTTCGTTTGCAACAGACACGATATGTCAGTCATTAGTCTTGAGCAATGGTTAAGCGACCGGTCTTACTTACATTCTTTACCTGAGATCCTCGCCACATGCGACTTTTCTGTCGTCAGTGCGACCATAATAGCCGAAACAGATGCCGTTGCTCTCTGATTCTGCTGCGCGACCGATCCCAGCGGCGGCAGCGTTGCGCTTGTTAAAAGGACTAGTAGACGATCCAGCGTCAGTCGCCTTGGGTTTGGGAGCCATGTTTATCAAAGTAGATGCGATATCTGCAGAGAAATTTGGAAACGGAATAGTCCATGGAGCATTCGATCCGGTTCCGAAAGCATCTGCGTCGGCGGAGTGGAAGCATAGGCGTTCTGATGCAGGCAGTGAGCAAAGGGGTCTTCCAGATCCCGAACCTGCTGCAAATATGCGGCTTGAACGCTGCCTTTCTGCTGTTGGCGTTGATTGCCAGTCGTGGATTGATGCATGTTTGGCTGACCAACATAGGACTGGGGACAGTTGAGGCCCGTGTGGTTTGCCTGAGGTGCTTGCTGCGTCTGGTATGAGTGTCTTTGAGATGGCAGGATGGTGGAAGCCTGTGTCTGATGCTGCATGTGCGGCGGTTGGCTAGGTCCGGGGCAAAAAAGTAGCGACTCCGACACTCAGGGCGCTGAGCATCTTCTGTCTCCGCACACGGACGCTCTACCCCGCCTCCGCCACCTCAAAGCCAACTCCACCCACACATCTTCGTCTTCCGCCCTTGGTCCTCGGAAGTGAAACGGCTCCGTCGCCTCATCGGATACCAAAGTCTTCGACACGACCTTCGTTCGCCTCCTTCTCCTCCGTCAACATGGACATCTCCATATACCCCTCCGGCTCTTGTGGAATACAAGCGTACGGCTTGTTTGCCTTGGCAAGCTGTTCGCCGATGAAGTCGTGGGTTGAGTCCTGTAGTTTTTTTTTATATATATGGTGCGGTTGTCAGCTAGTCCTCGACCATCCAGGGCCGCGTCAGCTTGTTGCTCAGTATCAGGATGAAATGTTTTTTCGACCATAGCCAGGTTTTCTCTCTTGGGCTATACTGTTGAAGCGGACTGGACCTTTTGCTGCCTCCCTCACGGCCTCGCTGCTTGTCGAGTATCAACATTTTCCATGATCCTGGGCCTGCACTGCTTTCTTTCCCTCGCGTCGTCATCATCATTGCTGAGAGTGCTCGAATGTTTGTCCCATTCGACCTCTCGCTCTTGATCGACTCCATCAATATGCACACTATCATCATCTGGGGGGTCAAAGTTTCAGTCGTCTCATCGCCCTGGGCGAGCGCTGTTGGATTGATCTCTTTGCGACAAGCAGAATGCGTTCGAAGAGGTAGAATTTGTACTGTTCACGTACGAGCGATCCAATCGCTGAATCAACAGCAACCTGGTTTTCGAGAGACTTGCGTTCCCGGCTTGCTTTGGAGAGGTTGGTACTGTGCCGAGACTTGTAAAGGTCGGGCTCAGGATCTCATTGTCTTTTAGAAGAGCGTTGGATGAGCCGCTTGGGTTGCATCGGAGGCCGGCGGTACTCGCAATTTTGTCATCGTCTATGGGCTCTTGATTCGCATCGCTCGTGAATGCATCAGTGTTGGTTGGAGCTCGAGCGAACCTGTCTTTTCTTCTTCTTCCAATTGTATGCTACGCTCTTGAAGGCTTTGTATTGTACTCTTGGCATCTGCCTCGGCTTTCTGCGCTTTGGAAAGGTACTTTGGAGAGCTCGACGAGGTTGACAGAGGCCTGAGCTTCGAGATGCGATACTCTATCACCAGTAGTATCTTCCAGGTCAACGACTTTCTCATCCCTCTGCCCTGCCTTTACTTTCTGCTCTTCTCCAAACCGTTTAATCTGTTCTTGGAGGATTTGAGCCGCGTTTTCTAGCGGGAGCAGGCTAGTACCAAGGCTGGTCAGAGCTTCTGGATTCCACAACCTGCCGGTGATGCGTCAGTATATAGGCATTGGTGAGACATCTTGCTCCGAGTGTTTGGGCTTCTTTGCGATGCCGTACCCGTGGTAGCTTAAGCGTGTCTGGCTTTTTCTGCTTGCCAGGCTTGATAGTAGTTTGAGGCTGGTCTTCCTTGGATTCCGCAATCCCGTTCCACCGCAGTTGGTCGTACTCATACTTAGCATAATCGGTGGAAAAGCTTGCGTAATCATCAGTATCTGTACCATCATTTGCTCCTCGTCCTCGGCAGACGACGACAGTGACAAAAGTCTCCGAAGCTCATGTCTAGACATGTCTCATCGCCAATAAAGGTGACTTTTTCCTGGACTTGAAGTGGAAGCAGACCCTGAAAGCTAGGCGCTGTTCTGGAAGGTGCGATAGGCGAGGCCGATACGTAGAGAGCTGACTGATCTCGAAAACGAGCGATATCGAAGGGCACATCGAAAGGCGTGGGCTCTGTCATTCGCGTAGCTAGGCAACTGCTCATTTCCCAGACTGAATACCACCTGGGCGATCCATGAACACCGCACCAGCTTGGCGTCTTGAGGTCAATCATCTCAGACCGCACTCTGCATACCACCTTTCCCTTGACCTTCTCCGACCTTATATCTATATTTTGATATATAGCCAGCACGTTGTAACGATGCGGCACTTTTGTGAGGCAATGCGGGCGTTTTACGCCTATCAAATTGTCAGTATGTTAGACCGAAAAGATTATCGGACTACTGACCGACGATGAGTACTGCAGGAACGCGATCTCGTTGGTGGTTTAGGAATGGCGCGACCTTGTTCGATAAGATACTCTGGTCTTCAGCCTTTTCCATCTTGTCGGACCCGTTAAATTTCGTCACTCCGCTGCTATTTCTATGACTTAGCATCAGACAGACTACTCTCAAAACCGCGACTTACAGTCTGATAATGAAGATTTTGCGGTCCATGTATCCCAGCTTGTCGTTATCATTGTGCAAAAGGAAGCCATTGAAGTAGCCACCTTTGCTACCCTCACCACCCCAAGAGGGGCTTGCAGACGCTTAAGGACGTCAATGAGGACAGCGTAGGACTTGGCGGCATTACGTTCCTTGAACTGCCAGTACTTCGACTTGACCCTGGAGTTCAAGGTGACTGCACCACCTAGCGACAATGATGCGATGTCAGGCCCGACATGCTTCTCACCATCTTCGCGCATCTAGAGCTCGTCAGCAACCGAGACAAAGAATAATCCTATCGGAGTTGAAAAGGACTCACCCCGATCCTCTGTTTCTCCATGTATCCTAGGCACAGCAACTCGTTGAATGGCCTGTACGAGCCATCCTGAATTGCATTTTGCCCAGCCCAGGTCAGACGGGAGATTTGCCAGTAGGAGAGGCTGAATCTGCCGAGAGCTGATGATGATATCAGAACGGAGGTATCGAAATAAAAGCGGAGATATTTTTTATATAGAAGAGAAGTGCCGACCATCGAATCTCTGGACTTGAAGGAATGTGTGTTGTGTGCCTGGTTAGGACTTTGAAGTGGTGCACATCGCCGTGGCGATGGCTGCCAACGCGACGCTTGGCCGGAGCTGCTATCGGACGTAGGACTTCATGGAGTGGTCTTTGCTTCACGGTACCAGGGCAATACCGTTACTAGTCACCAGCACTGCGTGGAAATGCCACCTCATTGCTGGTGTGGTTTTTCTGGAGCTGCTGCTCTCATTCAATCTGCTGGATGCGTGCGATGAAACCTGGCGGCGATCTGGGCTTCCATCAGGAACTGGCGACGGATCAGTATCTGCTCTCTACGCACTCGATGTCTGCACAGGACTTACTGGAACCAATACTGGCGCAGTGGAGTTACATGGCTCTTGCTAGCCAATGTGGTAGTTGCCAGCCCCTCCTGCAAGGTTTCTCGAAAATTTGACTCTGAATGGAAAGATAAGCTGGGGGGCGCGCTGTGGAATTGCGTGATCGTCTTCCCCCTCCCCTGCTCCATAAACAGCAATAGCTTTGCGTGGTGCTTTTGATTGTGTCGTTCATCTGGATTGTCGATATCCGGAATTATCCGTATACCAGACCGCTGAAGAGACCCATGATGGCGGCGTTAATGAATACAGTCAAGGTGGTGTCGTCGGTCGTAGCGGTTCTTCGCTTTTGGATCCTCGCACTCGTTTGCCTTCGACACATACTACCAGCCATGGTCGCAGCCGCATCCTTGGAGCCTTTTAACGTCACTGCTCAGGACCCTAAAGCTGCTAAGTCAGTAAAGTCAGTCGATCCTGTCTGCCTCAAGTTAGCAGGTCCATGAATATGAAAGCGCTTGATCGTCCTGGACACAGTAAAAAGATGTATTTGTCCTAATGGTGGACGATAAATGTCAGTGCGATTATATACAAGGAACGCCGTTACTGCCTCCAAGCGGCATTTGAGATATTCTCTCGATCCCTCATCGCCTCTCGCTATCGTTGGTCATCTCCTCGGCCAGCTCCAAGAGTAACGGAAGTCACACAGTTGTGCCGCACGTAATGCCTGCAGTGCGTGTCGGCCTCTTCAACTTCCGGCGGGCCCTCTCCACTGACTTGAGTCTATGTCCCCGTTGCTTCATCCTCGGCACTGTGTCGATATAGAACAGCAGAAGAACAACCTGTCAATCCTTTCGCGAAGCTCGAGTGGAATTTGCTAAGGGATGTGCTTGTTCCAAGAGGTTGATGCTTCTGCGATGGTGACCAGCAGTGAGACGACCTCCATGGATTTTGCAAGCCCCTGAGAAGGAGCAAGCAGACGCCGTTGATGGTTTTGAAGATCGCCAGTGACCTCGCGCCACATGAACTTGAATTCCTTCTTTTGATGTGGTTTCATGTGAGCTCCATTACCAGACGCCGGATTATGCCGGACAAATTCCTCATCTTCAGGTTTGCTGGGGTTGACGATGACCTTCGTTCTATGTCGATACTCCTCATGTGATTAACAGTGATGGTGTGCTGAATCCTCAGCTCTGTGCTCTCCACGCGACTTCTGGTATCCCACAACCTCACTGCTCCTTCTCTATAACCTTTGATGACGACGTTTGGACCCAGCCGGCCACCGCCACTGCTTCCCGCTGGCCCTGAATCCATGAAATCTCGACGCACTCTGTCAGAGAACTGCTTCAGTAACCGGAGGCGAGGATTGGCTTGAGGTAGACTTGAGCTTGGTCAAGGGGCGGGCTGGTGTTTCTCTTTGCAGGAATTTTTCGGTCGTCTCTGCCAGCTGGTTGCGATTCACCGGTTCTTCTATCCACCCATCCAGTGTTGGTATTGACGCAGGCTCTGTTGCTGGCTCGTGATCTCGTCTTGAAGCTCAAGCAAGCGTTGGTGCATTCGTTTGACTTTGTCGATCTTCTCTCGTGGAGCATCCGTAGACTCAAAACCTTCGCGATACAGAGTCTCATATTTAGCATGGTAGGTTCTGAAGTCAAGCTCCTGGATAAGGACCCTGGTGAGCTTTCATGAGACTGGTGTGATCGAGAATTGATCCGGCTCTTTCTTGGACTGAGCGCGGGTCTTGATTCGGGAGCTGTTCTGGACGATGAGATCTCCTTTGGTCTGGATGTTCCAGAGTCGCTCGTCGTGAAGCCGGTATATGTATATGCTCATCAACGCAATGACGTTCTGTCTGATGGCGTCGTATCCCGAGAAGCTGACAGAAGTCTCCAACCACTTTCTCAGTACGACTTCGAGACCTGTGCCACCGTTGGCGTCTTCAACCTGGAATTGGGCAAAAAAGTCCCTGTGCTCTCTTCAATGCATGGCTGGTAGCGAGCGGCGAGTTACTGCTTTCAGAAGTACATGGAGATGCGGTGGATGCTTTATGACGCTTTGTACCACTCGCTCGTCCATTGATTTGACCATGATCGTCAGCCTTGCGCTTCAGGGAAGCTCTGATGTATTCGGGTCGATCATTCAGCTCGGCATCATTGCATACGGTGGTAGAAAGCCGCCATAAGTCCAACGCTCCTTCACGAATGCTGGATTGTAATCCTGAGCCTCAGGCGCAAGGGCTCCGTTAAAGGCCCAGAATGAGACGCACTTGCCGTTGAGGCACATTCATCCTGACGCGAACATTTGCGGTTTGGTGACATTGCACTCGGAACGTCCCTTACGTAAAGCCTTGATATCGGTAGGGACGTAAACCTCTGGCAAGTCCTCAGCAGCATACCAGCTCTGGCTGTTAAGGTCCGTTTTCCTCGAAGCGGAATTTGACGACGACATGACCGTTGCTCTTTTCATCCCGGTGATCAGTGATGTGGACATCTGGAGTCTCGGTGGGGGATCTTGGATGGCCAATGGATGTTATTTTGCTCGATGATCAGGCGCAGAGGTATCTACCATTTTTCGTTGGTGATGAAAGCCTTGATTCTGCCGTTCTCCGAATCATGGTCTTTCATCTGGCAGATCTCGCCCGAACCATTCTTTCCAATGCCTCCTCCAACCCCTTCTCCACCTCCACAAGCCACTCGCCGTCGACGCAGAAGAAGTATTTTTTTATATAGAATTTTGCGAGTGCTGGGATGTCCATGCCCGCTGATGCTGGTAATTCTCACGATTAAACGAAGGTTCAAAAGTCCTAGGGAAGGTCGTGTGTACACAATTCGTTACGGCCAAAGGTGGGAGACAACTTCGCGATGGCCTCTTGAGACGACATCACAAGCGGAGATAGTAAGAACAAGAAGACTCGGTGAAAAATCGAACATGTTCATCATGCGGTTTGTATTCTCGTCCAATGAATTCGACCCAAATTTTTGCTGCGGACCTCGAGCTCCATTTGGTCATCCTTGACCGCACGTCTGCGAAGATCGTGTCCGCGCAGTCCTTCTGCAGGTTTACGGAGGTGGCGCTGACCTTGACGCTGGTGACCAGGACTTGCACGGGGCAAGTCTTGTCATTGAACTGGGCGATCGCCGCCTCTCGGTCCTTGAGCCTATGCTTCGCACGGATGCTGATAACATTGAACCCCAGAACCATCAGAAGGATCTCTACTAGCCATGCCGTGGAGGGCCAGTCGCAGAAAACAATGACCTTTCGGCCATTCTTATTACAGATCTGGTGGACGAGTTCGGCGATGTAGGAGAGTTTGACCGAGTTGCGCGTGAGATAGTATGCCATGCTGGCACGGTCGCGACAGACGGGCATGTTCCGGGTCGATCTTGGTCGAGTTAAAGAAGTAGGTGGCGCCGTGGTCTTGATGCTTATGGTAAAACTTCTCGATGACGGCGGGCCCATCGTCGTTGTAATTGCTGGACTGCTTGAGCTTGCCCGTTGAGCCTGATCATGGGATTCATCGGAGGTTGGGGAGCACTTGGGTTCGCTTTGGGTACTGATTGCGCTTTAGTCCCTTAATCACCCATTGGAGCCATCATTGCACCTGGTGGACCTACTTAGGCTCCAGCTTCTTCAGCCTTCCGACGCTCTTGTCGCCTCTTCCGTAAATCAACGCATATATAGCGAACTCCGGGCCCAGTCTCGGGCGATCGCTCCTCCTCCTAAGGATATTGTCAGTTGACGGACAAGGGAAGAGGACGGGGCTATAACTACCTCACTGTCTGGCTCCCAGGCCTTTATATATAGAGATTTCATACCGAAAGGAATGAATGCTCTTTTGATGGAAAAAAATGTAGCACGATCAAAATGGACCGCAACAGACCCGTCTGCATCTGCGAACTCCCGACTGCCAAGCTTTCGCAGCATTCTCAGCTTCTTTGGGTTGAAATAGACAATACCTCCTGCTTTGATTTAGGTTTCTCGGCTGCACAATTGCTCTAGGGATGTCTGGAGTGCCATGCTCGGAGAAAAACTTCTGATGGTTGCCAGTGGCTTGAGAAAGGTCGTCAAACTGTTTGTATTATGCCTTCGCCGGAGATGTGATCGAAGAACGAGGAGGCCTTGTAGCCTAGAGCAGCTGGGATGACGACACTGTGCTCTCTCTCTCAACGACCACCAGTGATTGAGACTTCTGCGAATATCTCAATGGTGCTGTCGAGAGAGCGGTCAACTGATGCGCTGAGCACAGTCAGCTTTTTGTAATTTCCAGCCATTGATGTGCCTTACTTACTAGCTCACTGGCACACTGGGCCCACGCCACGCGATCCTGTACCAATGTACCGAAGGGGACTGAGTTGCGCTTCGGATGGGCAACTGGCTGTCCACTGGTGAGCTGGTTTGGCTCCGGTCGAGGGGAGCTCGACCTTCGACCATGTGTAAGAGAACTGGAGGCATTGGAACTTTTTCCGCTTGTGTTGGAAGGTGGCTAGTACCGGGATGTTCTGAACGTGGCAATGTTTGATCAGAATGTTTGAGGAAATGTCAACGCTTTGAATCGCGTTTGGCTCCAGGAGCATTCAGATTGTGAATGTCAGGAGTACTAGCGGAGCGAAGACGACTCGGCTGACCTTGTTGCTGTTGAGGATTTTGAGATGCTGCTATGGTAGGCAAGGATGACCGTGTGAATTTCGACGGAGAGCCTGAAGTCACCAAGATGGTCAGCATTGTCAATGATCATGTGGACAAGTGCTTCAATACTCACATCAAGGTCGGCCTACGGCCATGACTCGACCCAAGCTGCCTGTAGATTCAACCACAAATTCCATGCGTTTCGCGCCCGCTTCTTCGGGACCGGTAGGGCCAGCTTCAGGAGAAGCCGCACGGTGTTGCTGGTATTGAGGAGGTGGCGGCATCTAGGGAGGGACAGAGTTTCGTGGAGACGCAGAGACCTATCAGCAACCCAGTCAAGTTCAGAGTTAGCTATGCAACCAAATTGCTCAGGCCTCGTGGTACGTACCGAAAGGAAGAAAGAGATATTTTTATATAAATGGATGCGATTAACGTCTGCCCACGACGGTGGTTACTAGACTCACTCGCTTCCATTAGTCTTTGGTCAGCAGATATCCATCCACAAGTTTTCAGCATCGCAATTTGGCACAGCAAAACCAGAAACTTCCGCAATGATAACTTCAGCGTATGCTGTCTATCAGTGATATGCAAGTCTTTCGCCTGTCTTGTGATGATAAATATTCCTTCTCGCTTCGCCCAAAGAACTTCGCCACTCCTCCAATACTCACATTGCTACCCTCCACTGCGTGATACGATGAGCTGATATCTCGACGGTTCTTGCAGGTATCATCCGTCTCGGCATGGCGGCATGTCACAACATAGATCAGCTTGCCTTCCGCAGATTGCCATGCTACAGCTTGTTAGTTTCTTGCATCAACCGCAACATGGAGCTATGACATACATTTCAATGCTTTTGCGACTTCATCCCCCTTAGTGGGATTGATAGTACATCATAGGAGTATTCCGAGTGAGCTTGCGAGGGGCGTCCGTGTTGTTGTCCCAGATTCGCTTGTACTGGTGCTGTAGCGAAGATCCTTGTTTCCGCATGGCCTCAATCTGCTGGCCCTTCTGTACCCTCATCGCGCTGGACCTGTTGCATCGTGTCTGCTTTTCCGTGTTGGAGGCTCTGAAAGCTTTTCTTCATGGCAGTAATGAAGGACTGCGAATTTGCATTTTCTGCTTTTAGTGTTTGCGCTTGTCTGACGAAATTGAACATGAGCGACCTGACCTCCCCATCGTTGTAGTTGGGTTTGGTTCCCAACCGTCGGCGACTATACTGTGGTCCAACGGCAGCCATTGCGCCATCTTTGGTTACGGATGGGCCGGTCATGTCTTGATGGTTCGAGGGTTGTGTCAAGACTTGACAAGGATAGACTGCAAAGGTGTGTTTTCTGCTCTCAGTATTCGCGCTCGGCCGTATCAACTGGACAGAAAGGAGTTGAGTCTCATTTTCCATCGTCGGCGACCGTACTGCGATTCATCAGCTGCTTTGGCCTCATCCTTGCACCTGGAAAGGCCGGTTGACTTTCGGTGGTTAGAAGAGCCATTTCATGACATGGTTTACCCGCAGCGTCAAAGATCTAAACTTCATGATATTGACAAGGCCTTGAATCCCGCAGAAACTTTGACATTGACGGTGACAGACACAGCCGCCTGAAGCTTCTTCACCATATCGTGAGGCACGGTCTGAGACTTCAGGTGCTCGAGAATGAACTTCATCGGCGAGCCGTAGAAGAAGCTGTCATCTTGCTGATCGAACCTGAAGTGCGTAGGGTGTAGATGTATGACGAGCGACGGCGATTTGCTGCAATACTTCTTCAAGCCGTATGGCTGCGTTTTGACATATGGCGCAGGCATCGTCTTTGGCACCCTTTGCCCATCGAGTCCTTTCCCACTCCGATTTGGTCTTAAGTCTCCCGGCTTCTGTGGTTCTCTCCTCCCATTGCTTAAGTGCGACGCCAATGCATTGATATTTCCATTGACACCATTGGCGATGGGCGTGGGAGGGGGTTGTTTAAAACTGGAGCCAGAGGGCGGAAGTGGTCGCGGGCTTGGGTAGCTGGAGCCAGAAGGTCCTTCTGGGATGTATCAGTTCTGCGCAGGCAAGGCTTGGATAATATGAGTGCTTTACCATGGTCGTCAGAGTTTGCGGTATAAGAAAGAACAAACAATAACCAACCATAGGTGGAAGTTGTATATACATGGCCACTCAGGCCAGGCACAAGAGCCCATTCAAGGACTCAACACCACGCTTCTCGAGAGTCGATTGCACCTGAGTAGCACTCCCAGCTGCTAGCACTGTCTTGTTGTATGGCGGCTTCCATCTCCGCCATGCTGCGATGGTCCGTGTAGCGCAACGCTTGTGGATTTCCACACTTCGAGCCACATCTTGGGCAACAGAGTTTGCCCTTGCCGTGATTGAACCCTCGAAACAGCTCAAGTCACGGTCGGCACGAAAGCTACAACGGTCCGGTCAGTGAGAGTCTGATTTTTGTCTCGCTCCATCTTCGCGGTTCTTTCGTTCGGCGCATAACCACCGCCACTGCCGTTGAAGTCAGCATCGAGATCATCAGCGATGGAAATTTATTCTCACGGATCGATGACCAACTGTTTCGCTGCCAAGTATATTTATTTGTAGTGTTATAGTAGAGAGGGCGGGTGAAAGAGTTCAAATGTAACCAAGGTCCTGGTAAGGTCGAGGATACTCCACCAAAGATCTGTGTGGCTTGGAGACAACTGCAGACGAAGCCCAGATCAGCGTACGACATGCTGAGAGGTGGGAGGTAATCTTACTGACCATGCCAACTGCAGGATCCATATACTGGGGATACAGGTTAGGGTCAATTGTGCGACGATGTTGATTCGGGATGCTTGATTGACATTTGTGTGACAAGTACGTCCCTAGCCTTGAGATGTATTACACCTAGTATGTTGAGCCATCGAAAGACGCCGGGTGTCTGGTGCATGCACTGCTAGCTGTAACGTTGGAAGGCTGGAATCTTAACAATGTATGGCTGCAGGAGAACGGGGCACTGCTGTGATCTTCTGGTCCAGGAGCTCTCTTCGAACAAGGAGATCGTTGGCTTTTGGTGTCTCCTGCTCGGGTTCGGATTTGGTGTTATCGTCGCAAATCAACTTCCGCTTCTTGGAGGGTGATGGAGTCTGGGAGATCCCCGTCCTTCTTGACGACATATCGGGAGTTCTCCATGACTGATCGCATTTGTGAAACACGACTTTGGTACCAACAACAGGCTTTTCCCACTTCTCGAAAGACATTGTATGACCCTTTGTATGGTCGGGGCCAAGGGTGCTTGCAGGATGAACTGTGTGCCGAAAAGATATTTCGTAGGTACAACCTTCGGTTCCGCAGTCCCACTCGTCCGACTCGGATCCTGAGTGACGTCTGCTCCATCCTCCGTATTGAAGGCAGGAAACGGACTGGGAAGTCGGAAATGGTAGCCTTCTTTCTTCACCTCAGAACGGTAGCTTTCATGAATCCCAATTCTCATCGCATCCATCCGTACGAAGTCCTGAACCTCGTCATTCCATACCATATCAAACTTCTCCTGGCAAGTAGGACGTGGCTGGTTGGCAAGAACTAGGCGCGGTTCGTGAAGGCCTACGACGTTTGAAGTCATAGAACTACAATCGTCTTCTTTCTGGTTTGCGCCATTCGAGCCAGAAGACTTTGGATCGCTGTAAGCAAACGACTTTCTCTGCATTGGTGCGACTTACTCTGCGACTGTCAATCAGGGATACATGCGCATCAATGCCTCTCATCTCCATATCTCGATGTCGGTCGACAAGGTTTCGTTCAGTCCTTGCCACAATCTTTGACCGAAGAGCACTCCCCTCGTCGACGCTTTCCTGGTGCCACGTCAGTGATCTTGTGGTACAGCTGTGTTCACGCTTCATCACCTACCTTCAGTCACTCCTCCGGAGTTTTGATCTTTTCCTTCGCGGGGTTGCTGTCGCTCGAATAGCTCCTGGCCGAGCACGCGGCATCCCCCAATCCCTCCAGAACGCGATGGCCATTCTAGTTCCCATCTGACGGAGACATAGACGGACTTGTTGCTTGGCTACTCACAAGGTGGAGTCGGCAGTAAGGGTGGCCCGAAGCTGTTGAAAGAACCCAGATCCTCGTCGAAGCCTGCGAAGGGAAATGTCGTGTTATATATTTACCATACGCGGTAAATGCGAAATGCGAAAGAGAACATCGTTGATTTGATGTTAAAGATGTTTGTTGCTGGCTAGTCGGGAACCTCGCGCATGAAGATCGAAGTGCAGGCTTCCTCGTCGAAGGGTTTCTCCAATCGCAACAGGTCGGTTTATGAGAAAGTAGTCGAGATGCGGTAGGGGTTCGATGCTGGGGTGGAAGAGTATTTGGAGAGGACGATGCCAGATCACGAGGATGTCGCCGGAAATGTGGCCGGGGTTTGATGAGTTTCGTGCAAAAGATCCAAAAGCAGAGGGTCAATATCGCGGTGAAGGGCTCAACGGAGCGGCTGATTCTTTGGGTGTTGAGATAAATCCAGGGTGTGGAGAGGAGAGCTGCGTCGTAGAAGAGGGCGAAGTTGACAAAGGAGGTGAGGTAGACGGCGTAGATGCTCCATGGCTGCGTGGTCCAGGTTCGACGCGATAGGAGGCTGAGAGGGTTGCTGCGCCAGGTCGTGCGGGCCCACCTCATGCATTGAAAGAGGTATTTAGGGTATTCCCCCAGCGTGGTTTCGATGCAGGCGTCCTCCGAGTATTGGATCTTGAGTTTCCAGCCGTGCTCGACCATCCAGCGTGTGATGAAGTTGTCATCGTCGGCATTCAGAGGACCGATTAGGCCGAAGAGGATGTGTTCATTCAGAAAGCCAGTGCGGAATGATTGCGGTTGAAGGATCTCCGTGCGGTGAGCCGACGTGCGTCCACGTGCTCTGAGACCCTTCCATGTACTCTTCACCCATCCGCCGAGTCTGGTAATCACGACTTTCTCGTCCCTGTAGCCATACTCGTCATTATCGTTATCTAAGAGAAAGCCGTACGCATAACCAGCCGACCCATTTGAGCTTCCCCAAGTGTAGGCACCTGACTGGTATGCCTGGTAGTAGGTTAGCGACTCGCATAATGCTCGTCGCATCTCTGCCCACACTTCTGGCTGGCCTCGAGGCTCAGGGCGAGCTTTGTTGTCTGAATTCAGCGCGACTTTGGCTCTTGACACTGCCCTTTGCTTAGGAGCGGAAGACTCCAGACGTTGCTTCTTTAGGGTCGTACCATGACGTAACGATGGTGCGAACAGATCAGACTCGTCGTGGCTATCAGGAAGCGCAGCGCTCCTCTTCTTCGAATTGTCAGAGGTAGATTCCAGATTGGGTTTAGAATCGTCCTCGAAGAGGCGAAGGCGACTGAGGGACCTCACGCAAAGCTGAAGCAGATAGCGGCTGCTTAACCGCTTCGGTGACAGTGGATGTGTTTTGGTTATTTTTATATAGATATGGGAACCACCCGAGAAATTGGAGGAAAGGAATTGTATATGTTGTCTAAACATGGAGGGTCAGCGCAGTGTTTGGTGAAGAGAAGGCCTTGAAATACAGTATGTGCCTGACGAACACTCTGGACTAACCGCTTGTATGGCAGCAGGATGAAGGAAGTTGCTTTCCCTCCGAGACAACATGGCGCATACGAGTATGTAGCTCGACAAAGACTAGACATAGAACAAGGTGATATTAATAGCAGTTGTTGTAGGGAGGGACTTGGGTGAGTTTCTTTGGTGTCGCACGATCAACCAGCGACCTCAAAGACGAGCAACATCGTAGCACATCCGTCGAGCTCTACTGCGAGTGGTGCAGCTTAGCCAGCTTCTCGTGCTCTGGTTGAGGTCATGCATGTCAGTTGTGGGAGGTGGTAAGGGAGGTGAGGGCACTTACTTTCTGCCAGGTAGCACCACGGTCAAAAGCCTCGTGTGAGCGACAGCATGGATAACGTCGAAGATAAGGGTATGGTCTAGGAGCTCGAGCTCTGTTGGGTGAGGATTGCAGCCTAGCCAATCTGGTAGTGCTCTGGTTGAGGTCATGCTCTGGTTGAGGTCATGCTCTGGTTGAGGTCATGCTCTGGTTGAGGTCGTGCTCTGGTTGAGGTCGTGCCTGTCAGATGCGTAAGGAGACAGTCTCAGAGCTGAGGCTACTCACTGTTTGCTAGGTATCGCTAATTTCGGAAGCTTTGTACCAAAGACAGCACAAACCTCTTCGAGGATACTTTAGCTGAATTCATGCATGTTGGTCGCGAACGGGGGTAGGTTTGGAGGTGAGGGTACTGACTCTTGTCCAGTGACTGCCACGGTCGGAACGTTTGTATGAACGGCACCAACGATATTCTCGAGGGTATGGACATGGATGTATAATGTCTTGAGGAATATGTTGAGCTTGTTGCAGTATAGGCTTGTGTAAGAACAGTCTTGAAGGATATTATGAACAACTGCGAAGGTATAGGACTGGTGAAGGAGTTGTCTTGAAGAAATGTTGTAGGTTGGAGGGAGATCGTGGGTTATATAGGTAAGGATGCTCCTGGAGTCACTTCGTCTTGGCCTAGGACGCTCACAGCGTGAAGCTGTCGAAAGGAAGGGTTTGAAGGTATAGGACTGGTGAAGGAGTTGTCTTGAAGAAATGTAGGTTGGAGGGAGATCGTGGGTTATATAGGTAAGGATGCTCCTGGAGTCACTTCGTCTTGGCCTAGGACGTCCACAACGTGAAGCTGTCAAAAGGAAGGTTTCCAAGGGGCCATCCATGACTATCACTCAGTGAAGGGTGTGGCATGAAGATTTCCAAGGGTCTAGTATAGATTGTGGATAGGTGTGGGCCCTTTGTGGGCGGGTAGGGTCAGAAGACTTACTTCACAGGATGAGTTGGATTCTGAGCTGCAGGATGAAGGTCATCTCCAAAGAATACGGAGTGAACTGTTGTGAGTCTATTGGAGATCGTCGATCAGTTGGCGGGCTTTGTGGGTCAGTAGGGATTTGGTACCTACTTCACCTTGCGATCGACAAAGGCTGAAGTGGCGGTGTGAAAAGCTTTTCCGGATGTGACTGCGGAGTTCCACTAGCTGCAGCTCGCAATGCGGGCAGCTGCTGTGACTCTAATGGTGGTATTTGATGAATTAGTGGGCCTTGTGGGCTAGAAGGGACGTGGAATATACTTCACCATTGCCACCACCAAGGTCTGAAGCTGCAATGTGAATAGCATGACTGGGTATGCTTGCAGAGCTGTACCAGCTGCAGCTTGAATTACAGGCAGTCGCTGTGACTCTACTGGTGGTCTTCGATGAATTTGTGGGCCTTGTGGGCTAGAAGGGATGTGGGACATACTTCACCCTTGCCAGCGATAGGGCTTGAAGCTGCAACGTGAAGAGCAACGCTGGGTATGCTTGCGGAACTCTACCAGTTGCAGCCTCGGTCAAGGGTGGCTGTCACTCGATAGTCGATGGGTATGGGGCCTGGTTGGCCAGAAAAAAGCGGGTGCTTACATCGAAATTGCGCCCGTCGGGATCTCCAATCCCGGCGTGAAGATCGTCAGTGAAGGTCAGCAGAGAGTGCCAAAATATGGAGCTTCTTTGTTTAGAAGATACAGTCACTCTAGCTGCGAGTGTGAGGGACGGTGTAGATTATTGGAGGCTTAGATAGGTGCCATCACTGATCCATTGGCCAGGTATCCCACTTCTGAGAACTCCGCATTTAAGGACAGCAGCATGTGCATGATATAGAGATCGAAATGGAGGTATGCTAGCCAGTATACGAGCCTCGAGATCATCGATCATCTGGTGGTTGGCAACGAATTAAAAAGTATGTGTGTTGGTGTGTTTAAAAGTAAGAGGGAAAACTTAGGGAGTGAGAGCGAAGATCACTGCGAAGTCTGTCAGTGACGCTGCGCTAGGCTGTTCGTACTTTCTTCCCCATTCTTACCTAGAGCTTAGTAGGTGGGTTTTGGATGGAGAGGACAAAGTTGACAAACGACATCTAGGATTGTATATAATTTCCAGAAGGATTGGAAGCTTTACTACAATGCCATTCCAAGAGTAGGAAGCGAAGGGGTTGTTTGTTTGTAATAAGACAAAAAGGTCTTTTGGCAGCGAATCAGAAGTGTACATTATGTAGATAGGCAGATGGGTGCACACATGTGGTCTGCAATCATTAGAGCCGTAGTGGGGTGATGGGATTTGAAGTGAAAAAGAATGAAGATCATGACTAAGCCAAGTTTAACCAGCATCGGCGCACCCCTGAGCACTTTAATTAGACGGAAGAAGTCGTAATAATGTTCCCAGTAAAAGTCTAGCGGGACCTGATTCACACCAAAACTCGCTTGCCCCTACACTCTTCAGTTTTTGTCTCTTTTCGATCAGACACGAAGACTAGTAACGAAGTTTTTTGCAAAAAGAAGAGAAAACTTTTGTCGAAGCTGAATTTACAGAATTAATTGGAGTCCGTCTAAGTCTTTTACTTTCTTTCATCGATTTTCTAACCAAAATTCTAGAGCGAGCGAAGAAAGACTATATCTAAACCAGATATACAGCAAATTTGGCAGGTTGCTAGGCTTTGAGTGGGAGGTAACCGCTATACACACCCATTTCTTTACACGTACGCTCCCTTGAATGAGAGTAGTCCTTTGCAATGCCGGCTTCGATTTCAAGGGAATGGCGGTTCTTACATACCGTTTCGTCAATTTTTCCCTGCTCCATAAACCATTGTATGAGTGACTTCTAAAACGTCCAACGAGCCTAAAAAATACTTGGGCTCTAATACCTTGCACATATACTACATCCAGCCTCTAAGCATGGTGCCTGCTATGTCTCCCTGGAGCAGGTTCTTTCGCGACGGACGCACTCTGTGGGTGGCAAAATATCCCGAGTAAGGTGCTATCGGGACAAGTTCCCGATTATGGAATTGCACCCTGGTGAAAGGTGTGGAGAACTGAAGCAGGTTGACAGGTGCCACAACTTTTTGCCAACATACTTGTCTTGGAAGACCGAATCTATAAGACCTTGGCTTTTTTTCCTTCTTCAACAGCAGTCAGCCAAGATTCCTTAGTCTCGTGGGACTTTTCTATGCATACTACAGACTCGAGTGGACTCTGATTCCAAAACCTTTGATGGTTGGAATAGACTGAGGCTTCAGTAACTGCTGGGACACTCCAAAAAACACAGAAAATGTACATCAGCTAGCTTAAGTGCTCATTTATGTGCATCAAAGCAGACCCCAGAGTCATCTGAACTTGACTCACCATTGCTTGTCAGAACAGGCCCAGATATTGATATGACTAAGCAGCAAGTGTTTCCATTCGTTGACCTTACTTTGAAAATTATACCGTCTCTACACGTAAGTCGACCGACTGTCGTTCAACTTGACGGCGGGTCGTGTAAATAAGCGCTTGCCGCCCGTAGATAGCAGTGAGGTCTATCAACGAGCTTTTTGTGGGTTTTAAAATGAATATTTCCCTTGCCATATAGACTGTCGCGCCTATCAGCAAACTACTTAAAGTAGAGAAACGAGGTGTCACTCCTCTCTTTTGTAGTCCTTATAACCTTAGCGCTAATACCCGCCCGTCCCTTCCCGTCTTTAGGGCGACTGAAGAGTGAAGTGATGAAGACCAAGCTTGTTTAGACAGCATGACATTGTGGCAAAATAATATATGCAGGCTCGTCTAGAAGCTTGACTGGATGGATCAGCCTAAGATTGACGGAGAAAGAAAGTACTAGGCAAAACGGCTTCTTGCATAGCGGCCACAAAATTTCTTAACCCTGGATCTACATCGTCCTGCGTTCTGCTGCAAAAGCAATGCCTTATGCTACAGCTTGACTGAAATCTTGGCGAGAAGCAGGCTTATCTTCTAGTCTACACAACATTAATCCAACGCGATTTTGGAGCCGCCTATCAAATCCTAACCGCTGATTCTGAGTCCCTCATCATCAAGGCACGACAACATGGTTACACAAATCTTGAGGTTCATACGGTAAGAGCATCGGGCGAAAGTTATGCATAAGCGGAAATTTGGTGGGTCGGAAAACTGAAGGTTCTAAGTCGAAAACCAGAGTCAGAATTGAATTTCATTTGTCCCACAGAATAGACGGCGCAATCATCTAAGTTGGCCTTGCAAAATATGGGACTCATTCCGTCTTTGAGTGCTGTGCTTGATAATCAATCTGCGTCAGATGTATTGCAGTCCATACTTTACAGCGTGCCAGCAGCGTCTGACACCTTACCGGGGATGACCCCGGTAATGCGCCAGCCCAGGTCCACTTGTATGACCCTAGTGATAACATCATACAGTAGGCCAGGTATTTGTGGTCTTATTTTGGGTCGCAATCTCCGAGACGGGGAGAGGGAGATCCATGACGGGGAAAGAGCCCGAAAGCAAGTGCCGGGCTGCATGGAATACATCAACCAATAGACGTTCACCCTGAGACAGCGAGAAATTGGCTTTTAAGCGCCCCCCCCCCGGAAAGTAGTGATCATCGTACGTATACCCCCTTCTCTGATACATGGATATGCTCTCAGATCTTGCTAGTGTCCGCAATCACGGCTCACGTCGAAGAAATTTTCTCACATCCTTCCCGATCAAAGCAGTCGAATCCGTTCTGCAGATTTGCCACAAAACAAAGCGACTTTGATCTGCATTGCACAAAACTCCTCACAACCTTAAGTTTTGAAGTGGTCGGACCCGTCTTCTGCAGCAGTGTCTTAGTGAAACAGTATACTTCACACTATGTTTTAGCATACACCCAAAAATGCCTCACGCCTTTGCAGATGTCCGAGGACTCATATACCGGGGGAAGTCTCTCGCCAAGCAAAAGAATAATCAGGTGTGCTATGGCAATCCGGACAAGGCTGAGTATTACTCTGCGCGTTCTCTGCTTCTTCTATTCGGCTCCGCGGTCTTTTAGCCGCGCTACTTTTACCGGCTTACCTTATCATACAAATGAATCTTAAGTAGGCCACCCTCTCCAGAAGAACTCAATGTAAGGTAGAAGTGCATCGTTTTAAGCGTCTAACCGCTTAGCGAATAGCGGGTTGGACTGTGGCACAAG